TACCGTAAGAACGCGAGCGTTACGCCACCGCCACGCACCGCTGGGGAGGTAGGGGTCAACATGTCACAATATTTACGACTGCATCGGGTAGTATATTGCCACATTATGGAGATGGTACAAATGATGGAACACCTGCTGGCAAAAATCAATGCCAGGATGGACACCAATGGAAAAAAAAATGCAAGAAAAGGCAGATGCAAACCAAAAGGAACTAAAGGAAGACATAAAAACCAACCAGCCAAGCCTGGCAATGTGTCGACATGTCACAATATTATGTCCCTTAATACTGTCAAGCCTGAGAACCTACCTAAGCCAATCAGCATCTCTTTGTTTCAAGTTTTCCTCATACCAGGAGAGATGCTACTACCACAGATTTAGTGCTGCTGTTCCCACAGGAAATTACATAGCATAATTTGAAATACTGCCACTTTGCAAGTAGGTGCAACTAGAGGTTGGTATGCACCTGATTCATCATGCCAAAGTTCCTGTTATAAGAACTTTTCACAGGACTTACAGCTTGTGTAAAAATTTGCATAAGTAACGTCTCATCACAGGCAGTACTATTTACAGTGGACTTGTTCCATTTATTTTTCTTTGGCCAAACAGGACTTCTGTTCTTTCCAAGAGTTCGTCTCCTTAAATATTCAGCACACAAGAAACTTCATAGAAAACTGTGAGGAAACAGTGCTTGCAGTGATATACTATATGTGTCTTGACTTTTTCTGACATTACAGAACCTCTGTATTTGCTATATATTTTACAGAATATCCTGAATGCCTGCCTACGGAATTTGAGTGCAGTAACAAACACTGTGTGCCATATGACTACTACTGTGATGGTGATGATGACTGTCGAGATGGGAGTGATGAGAAAGGCTGCCATGGCTTCTGTGACCCTGCAACACAGGTGAGAATCTTCATTTATGGGAATTAAGCACAGCACAGTCAGTGACAGTAAGACAGGGGATGCAGCCAAACAACTAAGCCTGAAATGGCAAGTCCATATGTTCATTTACAAACAAATAAATAAAAAAATAAATAAAAACTCCGTGGCCTGTAGTCCGCAAACAAGCTATACCAACCGAGTGACCACCGCTTGTCAGCGAAGTTAGTCCCAACTTTTGCGATTAGAGGGTGTCACGTGGTCAGCGCAACGTATCCCCATAGCTGATAATCTCGGTTTTCTAGACCGGAGCTGCTATTTCCTTGAAATAGCTCCTCAGTTATCCTCATGAGGCTGAGTGGACCCTGTTCCAGACCCACTACCTCTCAGGAAATCTGGTAGCGCTAGAAATGGAACCCTTACCTCTGGATCTGTAGCCAGGAACTATGACCACTAGACCACAGAGGTGGTCATGTGTTCATTATGCATTCCAAAATTCTCCTGCCTCTTCCACCTAAGCTCGAGCTCCACTTGTTGCACATTAGCCTGCGGCAGGAATTGTCATTTTCTTAATGGTACGTATGTGGAAACCATTGCATGAAACAAGGGATTTTTTCTGGCCCTTTCATCATAATGAGAGTTTCCTAACAGCCACTCTTTTCCCATAACTGCACTTGCAGTTGTTACTTATGGCCAGCAGTGATACAGATCCCATGTACCTACACTTATTTAAATTCCACAAAAACTGATGTAAATGTAAGTAAGCCAGTTTCTTCATTAGTGAATTGAAGACGTGAAGGCAATTTCAGTGAAGGTCTTTAATGAAAGATAAATGTAGTTGTACTTTCAAATCCTTTTTATATACAGATTTTATGTCAAGTGGATGCATCGTGCCTTCCAATATCCAGCAAGTGCAATGGCCATGTGGATTGTAGTGACGGCAGTGACGAAACCAAGTGTAACAAGACCCGACTTGGCAAAATGTGCAAAACTGATGAGTTTCGCTGTGCAGATGGCAGTTCCTGCATTAAGAAGGGTCTTGTATGTAACAAGCATAAGAACTGTGCTGATGGCTCCGATGAAAAATATTGTGGTGAGTTGTCACTTTGAAAAAAATTGGTTCATACATTTTGCATATTACCCTTATTTTGTGTGTGTATGCATGAATGCAGTACACACATGTGTGTGCATGCATATGCACACATAAACACATTCAGAAGGAATTGAAAAGTCCAAACCTTGACATTGATGTGATGATGATTTTATATATATTGTCATGTGTTAGTGTCTAGGCATGGGATTTGGATTGGTAATTGAATTTATTGAACACTTACAACTACAAGTAACTATAAAAAGATAAAAAAAAAGTAAAACTATCCCTGTAACAGGCCTTGGAGGCCCATAGGGTTGTGAGATGTTGAGGCTCCCACATTTTCTAGACATTCAGCTCACAGATGGCTGTGAGGTCAGCCTTATACGCTGGCCTCTCTATACCCCCAGGAATATTCCTGGTACTCATTTCTGTTATAGGCTGAGTTGACCCCAGGGCTATAATGTGGCTGGAAAGATTAGGTAAACTGAAAAAATCCACCTCATTAATATTCAATCCCATGACCTTCTGGCTTGTAGCATAGTGCTTCAACCAACTATACTACTGTGTGCCCCCATAAGTAACTATACCACTGTCACTGATTCATGCAGTCCGCTTCTCACTGCAGCACGCACTGAGTCTCTGTCTTTTATAGTCTTCACTAATCATTGCTCGGTTATGATTCTAACAATGTAGATTCTTATGCTGTTTTTTTTTTTTAATTAACTTATTGGGGGGTGGAGTCCAACTGGGTCCACTCAGCACAGCGGCCACTGATTGGCCTATTGTAGCCTGCCCCGGGTGATTATGATGATGGAGAATTTGGTGAAATGAAGATCATCAGGGAAAACCGAAGTTCTTGGACAAAACCTGCCCGAGCTCCACTTTGTCCACCACAAATCCCACTTGACCAGACCTGGGATTGAACCTGGGCCGCCGCGGTTCTTCTGCTGTTGTGCTTATGTCATTGCCGCCTGGCTACCATCTCACATTTCATAACTCATTGCCCCAACTGTCGACTCTCAACTCATGGCTGACTCACTCTTCTCTTCTGTGCTCACTGTTTAGCCTTCAATGGACTGTGTAGAAACACTGTTTCCAACCATGTCTTTGATTGTTGCGTGTGTACCCATGTTTACCCAGCCATTGCCTTGCAAGGGACCATGTAATCATGATGCTATATATATATATATATATATCATAACTATTACATATGGGCATGTTTCCTTTTGTATTCACTAGGGATATGTTCCCAAGATGATCACAAATAGTGAAATTCATGAACAAGGGTGTTAGCTGTGATTGAGCTTGTACACAGTGTAACAAATTACAGATTATTCTCTTGTCTCTTCACAAGTTTCCCACTTTTGTGTACCTTGAAAACATCACCTGTTATACTTTCTGGATCGGGATGCATGGTGGCACAAGAAGTACAGAAATAAAGACACCAAACTTTGTAAGATGTTTGCTGGTATAGCAGCAAGCCATGGACTGAGGGAGACCATGACATAGTGAGCATGGACTAGAAGCTATGAAGTTGCTGCAAATGCACCTCAGGAAACTGTTTGAAGAAAATCAGTGGTAATGTTTCAGTGGGAGCTCTACTTTGAATACACTTAGTTGCAAATATAAACCTGAAACTTTGATAATTATGCAGTTTGTCTATTGCCATGAGATTTTTACAGTTAAAAAATATATCCACTTAGGAATTTATTATTAAACAGCAGTATACTGTGTCGTCACTTGTGTAACCTATGAGGCAGCGAATCACAACCTTATGGTGTTCAAGGGATCTCATGGCCTGAAGGGATTCTTAATTTCTTACACATTCACTCATCACTAATTTTAACGCCAATGTTTTTTCAAGGCTGTGAAGTGTTTTATGGTGAGACTGTAGGCATACCACATGGGACACTTCACATTCTTTCTAACCTCTGGTGTTAGCGGCCTCCGTAGTCTAGGGGTAACGTTCCCACCTCGTGACTCAAGGTACGCGGGTTCAAACCCGGCGAAGGTCGTGGAATTTTTAAGGGTGGAAAAATTCAGGGAACAAGTCCTCTGAGAGGGACCTTAAGCTGTGGGTCCCGTGTCGTAGCTTTATGGCACATAAAAGAACCTCATGTCCTAATGGGACCACTGAGCCAAATTCAGGATATTTCCCGCCCAACAGTAGTCTAACGCCTCTGGTAGATGGGGGAAGCATCGAGATACCGCTGAGCCAGTAGAGGCTGAACTCGCTGGCTGAGTCGGGACTGATGGCACGCACCAGTACCGGTAGGGAATAGAGACTGGTAGAATATCATAAGGGGACGCACAATGGACCAACAGTTGGTCTATGTGCATGGGGAATCCCACCCTCTCCAATACAATACAGTCCTCTGGTGTTACAAATATTTCAGACTTCATCAGATTTATTGTGTACTGGAGCTTAGGCTGCCTAACAGGTGTATTGCCCCTCCATACTCTTTTTGTAGAAGAGAAAAAGCTGTCAAAATATGCATAGCCATATTTCCAGTTATGAATGAATGAATAGATATGGGGTGCACCATAATAATCTGGCCCTTGCACCATGAACTTCAGTGATCTTTTATGCTTTATTTCCAAATATACTCCACATATGTATCAGAACTACTTTTTCTCATAATATAAGGTATCTGTCACCCTTATCTTTAGTTCATAGATAAACTTTACATTTTGGCAGGTGCCTGTTGTTGCCATTGGCTCTTCCTTGTATCTTTATTCCACACATTTTGGCTTTCATGGGGTATATTACTTCATATGAAACACACAGTACTATCTTACTGCCAGCCCATGGCTGGGATTGTAAATGTTTTTGAGCTGGTTCATTATGTCTTGTTGCATCTTACTTTCTACAGAATATCACAGTTGTCATTGTTTTTTGCTGGCATAATCTCTTCATCAGTGAGGTGTAGGTACTCTGGAAGCTTTTCATATTACTGAAGAGTAATAAACACTTGTCTTACGCTGGGGCATAGTAATATCTTCTCAGAAACAGCAACTTATTTGTGTCACAGTCAGATATATATATCAGTACACCAGTAGTTACTTGAATATTCTAGCATTGATACCGTCTCATGTTGAATCAGGTATGTCTTTTTGGTGGGAATATTAGTATGTCAGGCAATCTATTCATGAAATGCATCAACAAGAAAGAGAATGGTAGTCTTCCATTCTGTTTGGTGATTGTCATGAACAGATCTCACAGAGTGGAAAAACATTTGATGCTACTGTACTTCAGAGTTGAAACATTTTATGTCACTGAAAATGTTCTTTGTTTTGTGCGAAGGTGCTGGTAATACCACATTAGTTTCACTATCACATTCTGAACTTGACTTATCATGTTCATTGTCCCATGAGATATCTCAAGAGCTGTGGATAACCTAATTGTTTTTCTGGTACATGTATCACATCACTTTCTTTCACAACATATGTACATGGGCAAGAAGGCTTTGAATCTGTGACCTTTGCCTTATTGTGTGATTAATGCTGATGAAAACTCACACGTCTCCAAACATGTTACCACAATTTGGTGTTAGTTACTTAACGTGTACATTGGTGTAATGCAACATGACGATGACATGGCCTCATCCTGAGCTTATCTAACCAGCACTGATGCAAGGTGCATTCACTTCTGTACCTGCACTGATGTGCGATGTGTTTAACTGTGTGATTGATTTTACTGTCTTATGAGGAGGGTATTAAGGTGAGGATTTCTACAGCTAGAAAAATAGTAGTACTGAAACTTTCACTGTTTCTCATCCAAAAGTTTGTGTGTTATGCAAAGAAAGTACTGTACTATGTTTCATGTTCATATAGAGCTGTCTAGAGACTTCATATACCACATAATAGAACAGTTTAATGCATAAACTTTGTTTTCACTGCCTCACATTCAAATCCGTGAAGTCATAAGTAAGACAAGAGTATGAATCACAATAACTCCTCAAACTCTTCAGTGGATTAGGATGGTCAAAAATGATAAGTAAAATATATTTTCTCTTTCCATGTAGCACCATGTTGAATTGTGTTTGCCTATTTTCAGATCATGTCTGTGAGTTACATGAGTTCCGCTGTGGTGATGGCGCATGCATCAGAAAAGAATTTGTATGTGACGGTAATCAGGATTGTATAGGAGGCTCTGATGAAGCAGTTTGCAGTATGTATCTAATTTTTTGCATGCAGAAAATGTGTTATAGATTTTTGTTAAAGCCAATTTAAAACTTCTGCATAGAGAAGTATCAATTAATTTTATTACCTTCTGATAGAAGAAATGTTATTGCAGTAAAGTTGCACCTTACACATGGGTTACTGGAACCAGTCCCTGCTCATTCCCAATTAATATAAGTATGCTAGATATAATTATCCCAGCCTGTAATTAGTTGAAGCAATGCTGTATTGCACATAGCCTCTGAATCATGAGAGGCCACATGGCTAGTCATTGAGTGAGACAGCTGTGTGGAAGCTTTGTTGCTTAAAAAATCTGGAATTGGTTTCTTGTGTGTCAACCCAAGAGGCCACCAGGTGGAGGTCAAAGTTAGTTAAAAATGTCATGTGATTTCTTGGATTTGAAATATATGGGTTATGTGCTGCCTGAAAGGTTGTGTGAAAACTGCTTGAGAGGCACTGTTAGAGAGTGGGTGCAAGGTGGTCTGCAGTCATGCTAGACTGTAAATTAACAAAGCGTTGGGCTAAATATCATAATTCCAGTATTATGTAATCATCATATTGTAGTGTGAGTGGGACTAGTCATAATAAAGATACATTATGTAAAGGGCATTGGTAAGGCGGATTACAGTCTAAACTCAGTGTGTAAACCCAAAATTGCATCATCATCATCATCANTATCCGCCCCTCTGTCTTTCCTTCAATAACTTCTTTTAGAAGGCAGTTTCTGCGTAAAACATGACCAATCCAATTAGCCTTCCGTTTTCTTATTTCGTGTAGGATATTCCTCTGCTCACTGACTCTAATTAACACTTCTTCATTTCTCACATAATCGGTCCAACTGATCTTCTGCATCCTTCTCCAACACCACATTTTGAAACTTTCCAGATGTTTCTGATCTACTACCCTAAGTGTCCATCCAAAATTGCATATAGTCAGAAACCCCTTGAAAATCCCATAAATCCCCCATAAAGTACATGCTTTTGTTTATACCCTCTGTATGTATAAAGTACAGAGTACATATACAGATAAAACATGCAGTAATTTTATTTTTAATTACATAAAAATATAGAGACAGAAGAATGAAACAATAAAAGAGGAAAACGGTAAATGAGGGGCTAAGTATGGCTTCATGTCGATCCAGGAGCTGCAGGGACAGGCTTGGGTGACGGAGAGTGAGTCGTGTATGAATTGTCTGCATTGTTTAATTTATTTATTTATTTATTGGGGAGTGTATGTTTGAATTTGCATAAACTAAATATATGTATCGTGTGACTCCAGCATACATTCTACCCCAGTGTTGGAAAACAGAATTGGAAAATTTGACCCCATACAAGCAGTGCCATGAGACTTAATGTGAGATGTGGCACACTGAAGTGAAGGACAGGAAAACAATGTTTTCTGTTACAACACACTTGTATTTTACTTGTGTATGAACCTAAAATCGATTGTGTTATTTATAACAGATGGCGCTGTACACGAAGTAGAGAAGTCTGTAGTACAGATCACAACAGAAGCCCCTTTTGAGTGCCATTATCCCTCACAGCTGTGTGACAATGGAACCTTCTGTCTACCGGTTGACTGGCTTTGTGATGGCAAATTAGACTGTGAGGATGGTTCTGATGAAGGACTTCGCTGTGGTAAAGAATTTGAATGAATTAATTTCCATATTATTTTAGTAAATAGCATATGACGTTTTTGCTCTTTGTGAGTGAAAGCTATGATTGATAAATGGATGCAACAACAATGAAGTTGGAACATGTAAAATATGAACATGTATTTTCATAATGACTGCCACTGTGAGGAGTTCACAAAGGTTACAAGTTCTTACCCCAAATACAGCATATTTCTCCACTTCTAATGTGATACCTTTCCCTATTACATAATATGAAGCTGTTATAAAGTTGTACGTACAATACCTGTAAGAGTCTAAGGATGCTTATTTGGCTTTTGCCTAAGAGTTCTATGATAGTATGTTACTCTGTAACATGTCACGTGTCTGTAATTCTATCAGTGAGTCTTCAGTAAACATATGTTCAACTCCTGGCTCATTCTTACACTGCATCATGCGTATTTTAGTTGTTACTCACCGTGACTTCTTGTTACGTGTTGTAATTTACTGCCTGTCACCTATACTTTTCAATAGTTTTATCGTATCTTGGTTTTTGTTTTGTTATGTTTTTCATGGACTTGAAAACAACATTTAAAAATGCTTAACACTTTGAAGAATGCATTTCATTAAATAATATTTACAATTTCAGGTTGCACCTCACAGAGAACAGTGGCTCCATTACAAAGACAGCCAATTATTGCTGGTTAGGAACATAAATGCTGCTTTTTATAAGAATGATGTACATCACATAAATACACTCTGAAGGAAAAATAAGTTTTTTAAAACCAAAGCACTTAGTACGTATAGTACCCGCTGTTCTTTAAAGGCTTAAAGAAATTACATCAGTTCAAGCACCCTGAATGAAATGATGTGTAGTTCTCTACAAGCATTAAAATTAGATATATATCTGAAAAGACTGAAAGACTGAGTGAAGTATATATAGTGGCACTATTTTGGCCATCCACAATTTCACACACTGAAACTGCAGAAGAACAAAGCACAGTGATTACTTAGTGAAAATTTAAATTATTTTTTATGAATATGTGGCAGATGTATAATTATAGTTGATAAGTGTCACATTTTAGACAGCAGGCAGACACAGTGTCTGCACTGTTCTCAGGATAACAGATACAGAGCAAAGTTACCAGGCACCACCTAAGATTTTGGTGGATTACCTGGGATAGGAAGTGAAGCTTAGGAAATAAGACAAATACTGTGAAACCCCAATTTAAGATTTGTCTGAAGGACAAGCCATTTATTCCTTAAATGGTGGTGTTGGAAAACTGAGCCTAAAAAAAACTTGGTCGCATCAGTAATAAGACACTGAATCTTGTTCATTTAATACAATAAATGTTTTTTCATTTCTCAGAGTATGCTGCACACCAACTTTCCTCTTCAAGGATTGAAGCTTTCCATAGAAGTATGTTACTTAGTGACAATGGAGGCAACACAAAACACTATGGATCTTCATTTAACAACACAATTGGATTCTTTTCCACCTCCCAAACAGTTTTCACTCTCTCATTTATTGTTAACGTCTTTCTTTTCGGTGTCATAGCCATTCATTACTTTAAAATCACTTGCATAAAGAAAACTGTGACACTCAGATGTAACACTAAAAGAACAGACACTAACCACTTCCAGTTTATGCAGGGATGAATGAAGCACAGATTGCTAAGGAGGAGAGGATAGGCAGAGAGAGCTAAACTGCCTACCACAGATTAGTGAGATGTCTTACTTTCTAGAACTATGCAATAGTGGGCTACATATGAGTGGAAACACACATGAAGTTCCCTTCAATGCTGAAACATGGTCTGAAACATGTATGAATCAAAGTTTCATGTGTAAAATGTGGAACCCTGAGATCAAGAAACACTAAATTGTGGAAAACAGTACATTAGGCATTGGAGCTTTTGCTGGGACCACAAAAACTGTATCTTAAATGCAGGAAAATGTAAAATGTGGGTCCCTTAGATCAGGTACTGTAGACCCCTAGACAAAACAGCCTTAGGAAGCTGGATAAATCCAGAAATGTTCTGCTCAGAATAATGTGACGGAGGATTAGGACTTTTCTTCTAAGGCTATATATCAAGGAGTACACATTTGTTCAACACGGAAAGAATTTTACTTTCAACAATAAATGACCACTTTTACTCTATAATGAGCAAATTTGCTTGGTCAGAAATGAAGCTCCCTAACTCATAGACTGAGAATATGATAGTCCTCTCTGGTCAGAGCTGTTACACACTTCCTGGGATGGTGATGGCTAGATGTGGAGCAGTGGAGGTTTGATGATTACCATGGGAAAACATAAGAAATTTGGAGATAAACCCGCTCCAGTGCCATTTCATATATTACAAATCTCACATAAAATCATCCAGGATGGGACCTGGGTCTCTGCAGTGAGAAACCAGCATCTAAGCTCTTGAGCTATTGCATGACCACATTTCACCAATAATAATTTAGGAAGAGCAGAATGAAATTATATTTGTAAGATTAAAATTGTTCATTATGTAATAGAACTTAGTGATGGATGAGCTGCTTCAGAAGTTTTTGGTAGGAAAAATTTTATTATTAACAAACAGAGACACATGCACTACATAAAGTTCCATACTGCAGAAATGTGAACTTTTTATGTTGTTTTATTACAATAAACGTGTATTTCCACGCAGTATTTCAGGAAATAATAATGTTGTTTCCATATCATCCTTCTTCCCAGTTTTAGGCCTAGTTGGCCTGTTACAGCTATTAAAAGCCAAATTCTTTTTATTTTTAATGTACTTTTCTTATTGTGTAAAAAGAAATGGATGCTTATGAGATCACCTTAATGTCTGTGTGTCTAGCTCTGTATCTGTATATAAATATCTAATTACTGAAAGCCAGAATAGTTTTGCCCTACATATCTGTATCCCCCTGACGTTGTTTGCCAATGGCTCAGTAAACGAATTGTTGTACGCATCATTTTCAATGCAGTCTGTGTTGTATCAAAGGAAAGTAGGCAGTTAGTTCTTCCCAGAACTTCTTATTGTGAGAGAGGTCTTCAAGAATAGTTCTTTCTTGTCAGCTGATAATTTATAACTTGGAGAGATCCTATCAGAGCTCAATATTTCAACATGTGTATTTAACTTTCTTCTGTCATGGTTCATTTATTGAGTCTGATGTTATATTTACAGGAGAGCGGGTCTGTGATCGAAGCAGTGACTGCAGCCATTACTGCCATGATGCACCTATTGGCAGCATCTGCTACTGTCCCAGCCACCTACATCTGCAGCCAGACAAAATGACATGTCTTGAATCTCACCCTTGTGAAGCGTGGGGTGTATGCTCCCAGTTATGCCAGCCGTTAAAGTACGGGCACAAGTGTTTGTGTGAAAAAGGCTATAAGCTCCAGCATGATGGTTTCACATGTAAGAGTACAGGTAATGTTCCTCTGACAATGTGCATGTAGTTTTTTTAAGAGTTAACATGCTACAGGACTACCATCTGATTCTCTAATATGCATTTTTTGTTGTAGTCCGGATAATCTAGTTGTTGCTCTTACTGTCATAGGGGTATGGAACATCAAATCATTATTAAGCTTTTCCAGTGGTAAGAGGTCTTCCATCAGCAGTTAGGAGTTTATGTGTAGAGTACATACAGAATGAATGAATGTATACCAAATTAATACATTTAGAATACAATTAATAATTCAGGTGAATGAAACTTCTGATTTTAGCATACTTTTTTCTGTGACAGTTTTCTAAGTCAGAATTATCCTGTAATGAAGCAATTAAAGTCCTGAAGAGTATACCAAAAATTAGTTCCTTATGAGTAGTATGAGGTAGAGTTCTCATTATATTGAGGGGCATATCCATCTTACCATTCGGGAACTAGAAATTGAAAAATGGCAAAGATATATAATGACTACTTTTGTTGATTATTAGTATAGGGATATATGGATTTTTCCATATTCAAAGGGAGTTCTGATAGATCACTACCAAAAGTAGGCACTAGAGGTGGAGATACACTATTAAAAATACTGAAATGTTATATCTGTAGTAGGCAACAAGCCAATAGCAAGTTCACATTTCAAACACATAGTGAAGTGTTGATTTGATTATTTTATAGCATATTTATGCGTTTTGCAAGGATCATGGCTTTTTCTTGTCATGTTATCATTGTTTTATTGTTTGGTTTCACTGTATGTGTTACAAGGGAATCTAGATTTGAGATCTGGCAGCTACTCTCGTTTATAGAACAGTTCTATGCCCATACAACCCTTACCTTCCTCAGGAGGGTGAGTGCAGTCACACAGTCTAATGTAATCGTATGTTGCAATTACAGAGAACGCAACAGCTTTTGTTATCTTCTCAAATAGACATGAACTACGAGGTGTTGATCTTCAGACTTTCAACGTAAAGGCTTTAATTTCAAGCCTTAAGAACACAATTGCTCTTGATTTTTATTACAAGGAAGACTCGAATACAGTTTCCATCTATTGGACTGATGTTATTGATGACAAGATCTACCGTGGAACACTTGTGGGTGGTTGTAAGTACCAGTTTATGAATGTGTATTATTATGTTCTTTATAAAGATGGCACTTGTTGTTATGCATAATAATGCAGAAGATTTTCTCCTTAATATCAAATGAATTGGTTTGAATACTGTCTGAAGAATAGATGAAAGCATGTTTGAAATTGCCAGAGCATCATTAAAAGTTTTCCTTGAAATTGCTTAGTGAAACTGGTTTTAAAGATGATAATTGTATGTTCTCTTCTGCATCAGAAACCAATACAACTTCCTTCTCTTTAAAGAAATAAAACTTGTGAGTGTTCATTATTCACATTCATGTCACACTTTCACAGTTCAAGAGCACTTCCTCTTGAAATTTACAAATGGGATATTACGTGGTGCAATCCAAAAGTTCCCGAAATATATTAATAAAAACTATTACATCTTACCTAGATCTTATTCTGCACCATCACCTTCAACGTAGTCCCCTTGGGAGCGCATACACTGATCCCAGTGTTTCTGCCACTTTTCAAATGCATCCTGGAAATCTTTCTTTGTTAGGGTGTTTAGTACCGTCTGCGTTTCCGCTTGAATTTCCTCAACTGTATAAAATCTTCACCCCTTCAACTTGATTTTCATCTTGGGGAAGAGAAAGAAGTTGCATGGAGCTAAGTCTGGCGAGTACGGTGGGTGGGGAACAACTGCCATCTCGTTTTTAGCCAAAAATTCCTGCACAATGTAAGCCATATGCGGTCGTGCGTTGTCATGGTGGAGTACCCAGTCGTTCATGCGCCACTTCTTTGGACGTTTTCTCCTCATGTTCTCCCTCAAACGCCTTAAAACATGAAGGACAAACTCCTTATGAACAATCCCATCAATATCAAAAAAAGAGATCAACATGGACTTAATGTTACTCTTGACTTGTCGAGCTTTTTTTGGCCAAGGTGAAGAAGGGCTCTTCCAGTGTGACGATTGTTGCTTGCTTTCAGGGTCGTAGCCATAAACCCAACTTTCATCACCACTGACAACCTTCGAAAGAAAGTTTGGATCCTCTTGAAGCTGTTGTTCAAGTTCCCTGCAGACTTTCAAACGATGCTGCTTCTGTTCATTTTGCAGCAGTCGTGGCACAAACTTCGCCACAATCCTCCTCATGTTCAGTTCCTCTGACAAAATTCGTTGACATGTACCATAACTTAGTCCCAAGGTGTCACAGAGGTCTTGGATGGTCAGCCTACGATCTTGCAGAATCAGATCCCTAACTTTCACAACATTTTCTGGTGTTTTGCCCGTTGACAGCCGTCCCGAACGATCGTCATCATCAGTCAATGTTTGGCCATTTTTAAAACACTTATACCAGTTGTAAGTTTGTGTCTGGCCTAAACTGTTGTCACCAAAAGCTTGCTTGAACATTTGGTGCGTTTCTGAAGTGGTTTTCCCAAGTTTAAAACAAAACCTTATACAGACAGGCTGCTCTCTCAGGTCAGCCATCGCAAAACCGCAAACTCACGGAAACACAACAAAGGAAATACTTTCACCAACAGTAAACCCAACCGCTCAACTCGACGCCGCTTGCCACACTGATTCAAGAAGGATGTGTGAGGAGACACCTAGCGGTATTTCGATGTACTCATAACCATTCACGCGCAAAATTCAAATTTCAGAAACTTTTGGATTGTCCCATGTATTAGTCACTGTTTATAAGATGAAATTGCTCAACCTATGTCTCATGTTTTTTTCTTTTCCATTTTACATTTAGTACTTACAATACACATCTTTTATGTTGCTTCTTGTCCACTCTCTTGTATGAATATGAGGAACAGGTTGAATGGGCAGTGTCCTGTGTTGTGACTCAGATTCTGTAAACTGTGCCTTAACTTCCACTTCATTTCCACCTGGGAACTGTATCATGATGTATCACGGTTATTGTCACCTTGAAAATACTCGTAAAGGCAATTTAAAAATTTTAACCTGCTATCCCAATTGTTTAAAATTGAAGGCAAAAATAAAATGAAATAAATGTATAATTTATGATCAAATTTTCAAAAATGAAAATGTATAACACTGAATAATGTCAAATCCAGCATTTTCGCAATAACTTAGCTACTTATGAGAGATTAAATGCTAATTAGGTTGGGCATGTGTTTATTGCCATCTCAAAATATATATTCTGCTTAGAAATTGTTTGTGTCCAGTAGATGAGACTGGTTCTTTTTAACAGGCCTAACTGACCTCCCTTACTCTGACGACAAAACAGATCCAGTTTGAAATGGCTCTAGATGTAAAAAATAATGCTCTTGTCTAGGTTACATACCATCATCAGAGTACTGTAGACTTAACGGAATTTACTGACTAGCCAAATAGCTTAGCTACATGTATGTCTGTAATTTTAATTCCAACAGAATGTGTGTGGACTTAGTCTGTTTGGTGTTAGACGATCCGTCGTGTTCTCACATGTTCAGTTATTCAGTGAAACTGATTTCAGATTGTATACATTTTGATTATCAAACAAGTAAAACAAAGTCATCCATCAATACAAGTCTATTTGCTGTACAAAGAAAATACAGGAATACTACTATTGCTGTTTTGTGTAATCTATAACAATTTGGAGTTGTATTATTAAAATAATGATTGCTGTGAACTGAATTATATTTTTTTTAACAGAATATATTTATGTTTGCCAAAATCAAAAAAAAAAAAAAAAAGTCATATGCTGGAGTCTAGTAAATGGCTCAAATCAAATGTTCAAGTCCTGTGCTCCATTAAGTTGTTACTGTGACTTGTTGACAGCATTAAGCAACATTGAGGTGGTAGTTCAGACAGGCCTGGCAACTGCTGAGGGCCTTGCAGTTGACTGGATAGGAGAGAATCTATATTGGGTTGAGAGTAATCTTGATCAGATAGAGGTAGCAAGACTGAATGGAAGCTACAGGCGAACTCTAATAGCTGGAGACATGGAATCTCCCAGAGCAATTGCACTGGATCCCAGATTTGGGTAAGTGTATGCATATGAAATTGTAGTTTATATCCAGATATGCCAAGAAACTCTGAGTTTTTAACACAACTGAAAATTTATATTGCTTATTGAGTGTCTGCAGTTTGTTATCCTATAACAATATGTTTTGCAGCTTGCTGTTCTGGACCGATTGGGATGCAAATGCACCTCGTATAGAACGCTGTAGTATGAGTGGACAGGATCGTATTATTGTAGTGCAAGTGGATCAGGTTACAGATGGAGCTTGGCCTAATGGGCTCACTCTAGATTATATACTGAAGAGAATATACTGGATAGATGCAAGGTATGTTAATGGCATGACAGCATTTGTGGTTGAAACTGGGGCAAATGGGTCTGATGAAAAGAACAACAGAAAAGTCTTTTTTTTTTTCTTATTCTGCTTGTGCAGGTAAGTTACCCTTGAAGAATGTCATCTTCTTGGATATGGTGCCATGTAGATATGTGTTAACTGACATTTTGGAGGAACATATCGCCTCCATCTTCAGGTCTGCAGCAACCTGCTCACCTGGTTCATCACTCATGGATATCTTATACCCTGAAGATGGAGGCGTTGCTCCGAAATGTCTGTCAACACAATATCTGCATGGTGCCACATCCCAGAAGATGGCATTCTTCATAGTCACCACTGTGGAAACCTCAAATCTTACAACTTAACCTTTCACACCAGATCAGGAGTATTTTAAAACAAAATGCTTAAGGCTTTGGGCGTAAAGAGAGGTAAACTAACAGAAGTGGAGGAAATTGCATAATGAGAAATGTCATGAATTGTTTTATTTGTATAGTATTGTTATGGTGGTTAAATCAAAGATACTTGTATCGGGAGGTCATGTAGTATGCATGAAAGAAAGTACGGTACATTTTCCCTTTAAAATTTCATGGACAGAAACAGCATTGGAGACTGACATGTCCACTAGGTTAGATGCGTTTATGACAACCCTTTTCCATTCTTCTCTTTCTACCAATAAGCTTTCCTTTTGTACCTATATCAGCTCTTCTCTTTTTTGCCTTGTTCTCATATTCTTCAGTTACTGTTATTCAGTACTATAAATTTTTTAATTCTCATTAACCTTTAATGTCTGAATGACACATATATATGACGCAAGCAGCAACCGGAGTTGGCTGAATGGCACATATATGTGACGCAGGACACGTGCACTCTTTGGGAGTGCTGACAGTTTGACCTTGGGTTTGAAACCAAAACAAACCTGCGTAAGGTCATGTCAGTGGTTCATTCCTTAGCTCTGAACAAAGAAATCGTTTATCTCGGTCCTCGTTTCGAAACTATTTATGTTTATATATGACTGTTTGTGACCTGGTCAGCCAAATATAGCCCAGCTTTGTTCCGAGAACTGAAGAGGAAATATTCGTCAGTGCTTGCAGATCAGTGCTTCCAGAGCTTTCAAGGAAGTGTGCCGTATTCAAGGATTGGTTTTCAGTGGCGAATTATCAGTTAGGAAGTCAGTGTTGGATTGTGTAATATTTCTTTTTCACTTAAAAAGTTACTGTCAGACTTTCATATATTTCTTTTTATATTATTTTGTGTCTCAGAAGAGGTATAAACCCACCGAACCAGTATTACTTTGTGAGTAGAAGGCATCTTCGTCACTGTGACTTTCTGTATCAGTGTCTGGCACCTTTTCGACTGCTATTACAATTATTAAATTTTATTGCTAGTGGGGTGGGACTAAGTCCTTTGTACTACTGCCACTTCTGGCCTATTGTACAATACATTTACGGTTACTTTGCATCACTATTTTGCTAGTCTTTGTCAATCAACATAATTTATTCGATTTTGTTGGAAACCCCCTTCCCCCAAGATGGAACCTCAAAAACGTGCCTGATATTCCAAACTTCTCAATGCAGAAGAACTGGAGGAAATATTGATGGAAGAGGAATCTGATGAAGAGTTAGAAGATATCAGTGAGTTCATTGAACCTCGAGCAAATATGTTGTTGTCGTCATCATCATCATCATCAGACGAGGCAGAGGAAACAGAAATTAGGTTTCATGATAGAGAAGACCCAGGGATTCACCAAAGGTACTAGACTTCACTGGTCCTCCAAGTGGAATCAACAGATCAGCTGCTCCCAATATAAATGCACAGTCGTCTCCTTTTTCCATTTTCATTCTGTTTTTCCAACAAATATTCCAAATCTTGTTATAAGAAACCAACAGATATTTCCACCAATTTATGGCATGCCAAGATGCTCCAGGCCCTTCTGTTCAACTGCCTGACGTTACAATTGAAGAGATATATAACTTTTTGGCAATAATTATTCAAATGCACCAAGATCAACGGGACACCCTCAAAGATTATCGGTCAAGAGAAGAGCAATACTACACTCCATTCTACCGTAACACTATGGTACAAGACTGTTTCTTCCATATTTTGAGATTCCTACATTTTGAAAATAATGAAGCTCCTCCTGATCGAGATGACCCAGAGTATGATAGGCTCTGGAAAATTAGAAAAATTTTTGACAATCTCAACAAGAAATTTTGTGAACTTTACAATCCAGCAGAATGTCTTGCTGTTGATGAAGTCATAGAGTTGTTCAAAGGGAGAGTGATTTTTCGTCAGTATATTCCAAAGAAATGCAAAAGATTTGGTATAAAAATTTACAAGCTTTGCGATTTTTTTGGGTATACTTATGACATGACAGTTTATTTGGGCAAACAAAGGCAACTTGCGACAGAAGAAATTACATCGACACATGGCATTGTTCTCCAGCTAATTCAAAGAGTAGAAGGCTTGGGACACAGAATTAACATGGACAATTATTTCAGTTCTCCTACTTTATTTGATGATCTTTTAGACAGGAAAATGAATTCATGTGGCACCGTTCGCAATGATAGGCGTGGAATGCCACAAAAAATTTGGCCCAAGTCAGTGAAATTGAAAAAAGGGGATGTGGTTACAAGAGTCAAGGGGCATCTAAGTGTTGTTCGTTGGAAAGACAAGTGTGATGTGTATGTTCTGATGAATATGCACCCTCCTCCATTGGAAGGCAACTTCCAAGATGAATCTGGCCGTGCTGTCAAACCCCATGTAATTGAAGACTACAATGCACACATGGGCTTTGTTGATAAATCTGACAGGATGGTAAACAGTTATGACATTGCTAGGAGAACATGGCAGTGGACGAAGAAATTGTTTTTCGACCTTCTAGATATGACTATTCTAAATGCATATCTATTACACAAGTCATATGGTGGAAAAATGACACACAAAAAGTTCCGTGAAATATTGGTGCGGGATTTGATTCTTCAGTCGCATGAGGTGAATATCACAGTTAGTGTCGTTTCTCGGGGGAGGCCAAGTTCATCTGGGGCCCAACTGAGTCGACTGGAGGTGAAACATTCACAACACTGGCCAACCAAAGGAAAACAAAGATGTCATATTTGTTCTCAGAATAAGAAGCGCAGAAGCACACTCTGCTACTGTAAAAAGTGTGACATTGCGCTATATGTGGTGGACTGCTTCGAGAAGTGGCACAAGCATGTCAGAGTGTGAGTTATCGTAAACTGTGAAGTGACACAGTTCAAACTCGCGTACAGTCTGAACAAAATATTATTGTATGTAGTGTAATTATATTTACAATATCACCATGATTCAAGGTTGAAGAAAAAACCATGGGTAAGTCCTTTGGAATTTCATAACATATATAATAAAGATTATATTTTGCATTTCATGACAAAATATTCACAGTTAATTTTCGTTTGTAAAACTTGCTCTTTTATGTATATGTAGAAAATTTTATTGTCTTTCAGGTTCTTTTTAGTTCATATTTCTATGTTGCATAGAACAGAAAATATGATTTTTTTTCTGAAAGTTTGCAGTGATAATTAATTAGGGTGATTTAAATTCAGGCCGTACAGGGCTGCTGTCAATTTAAAAGTCCGTACGTTAGAGGATAAGTATTAACAAAGGACAAATGATGTGTAGTCATCATGAATTTGTAATATGTGACATGTTTTATATCCAGCCCTATGGGGAGATGATTTGATTCATGAAGTGAAAATAAACTTCTTAAAGTTCTGTAGAACTTGAGGACCTAGTAAAATATTAAAATTTCAAATTGCATCTTTTGCAGACAGGCTGTATTTATGTAAGGTGGGCTGAAGAGGCTTGTGATATTTTGGGAACATAGGTTTGTCCCCAGGAAGTGAGGGTGAGAGTTGTTCACAGTAAAATCACTAGAAATCGAGAGAAAGAAGACACAGTCTCTCTCCAATATATTTAGTACAAGATGGTTCATGTTACAGAAGGGAACTTTTCTTGAAAATGTGTCTGTATCATGAAATTCTGTAAAGAAGATCCAATTTTCCCACTGACACTCATGTTACAATTCCTGTGAACATTTTATTATGTTCACAGTTGCAATAAAAACACATTTCACTCATTATGAATAATATCAGGTACCCAGACATCTTAAATAATGGTAACACACTGCACAGTCTAACATAAAAAGAGCAGCAGCCAAACTTCTCTATCACTGACAAATGCAGTATGCAGTCACAATTTCTTAATAAAATGATAATTTATTTGAAAAAAATTGATAGTATTTATTGTTGTTTTGCATTTTATGTTTAAAAAGAATGAATTGTCACATGTTAGTGACTAGACACGCGGTTTGGATTTATAATTTATTTATTGAACACTTATAAATCATATCTACAAATAACTGTAACAGTCACACTGATCTGCACACTCTACAAATCACTACTGCAAACATTAAGTCTTCTGTGTCTTCAGTAATAGTTGCTTTGTAACGGTTTGTGGCACTGAAGATTGCTGTGTTTCCCTGCTCACATCCTTGCTGGCTTGGAACTGGCTCATAACTCACTAACTTGCATTGTTTGCCCTCTGTATATAGCCTTAGCACAGACTGCATAGAATTCATTGTTTCCAACAGTTCCTCTGTTATATGTTTACTTGTTGCTCCAGACGTGGGTAAACCGTACCATTGCCTAGTAATGGCCTTATCTACACATTCTGCTATTATGGCTCCATCATGTCACAATATTTATCCCGAGTTTCTGTATGGGTGAATTTATGGTTTGTGTTGTGAATTCTGTAGCCACATTTATAATATTGATTATGGCAAAATTCTAATCCTAAACATCCGTGACATGGGTGTATACTTTATATACCACACTGGGTCCAAGGACTTTGCTCAGTTGTATGAAGGTTTCACTGCACTTTAGTTTTGAGTGATCCTAATAATTATATGTATTTTAACTTGTTTACTAGTTGTGTTGTAAATTTTGAACCTATTTTTGTTCTATGTAGATCAGATTCCATTCACACAACATTTTATGATGGCTCTGATCATCGGGAAGTCATGAGAGGCCATGAAATGTTGTCACATCCATTTGCAATTGCACTTTTTGGCAATTATGTATACTGGACAGATTGGCGGACCAATGCTGTTATCAGAGCTAATAAGTGGAATGGTTCAGACATTAGTGTGATCCAGCGGACTCTGACACAGCCCTTTGATATACAGCTTCTTCACCCTAGCCGACAGCCTAGAGGTATGTAATTTCTCTTTTGGATTTAATGTGGAATGATTTAGTGTGTAGTTGATTTGCAGCCAAATATTTCCAGTTGCAAGTTACTGTCTATATTATTATGACTGTAAATAAGAATTTCATATTTTGCACTTTACTAAGTACAAAATTGGAGGGAACTTCTTGAGGTATTCAGTTTTACATGCATTGCCAAATGAAACCAGAGAAATTTGAAATGAAGGAAAGATTCTGTTTATGTAGCTCAAGAAAGATGAAAACTAGATCTGATACTGGGAAAGTTAATGGTAATTTGTATCTGAGAAGATTTTCCATGCAAATATTTCAGCTCCCATTTCATAAGAACAGTATGCATTTAAGTATCCTTTCCTTGAATAATATTTATTTGAGTGAAGCAAATTGAACAGTATTTTGTCATATTTTCAGAGGTTTTATGTGCGCCTTGAAACTGGAAAGTGTGCAGGCTTAAAGGCTGTATATTTGATGTATGAGCTCTGGCTGAAGCTCTTTGCATAGAGGAAGAGCTGACGTAGTTACACTGTCAAATAGTAAAGCTGTTCACATGTTGTCAGATGTGTACTTAGGCCAGTTCTCTTCAGGAGAATTTCCCCAGACTGGGTAAATCATAGATCTAAAGAGAAGGCGTGAAAATGTTAAAACAGTGATTTTAAATTATGCAGAACAATTGAATAATTGTAGTAGTGCAAAAATATATTACAAAAAGAATACGTTATTGTAATCCCTCAATGAGTACAATAATTTCTATTCCCTCTTCTTCTTCAGACCTGTGATTTTATATTAGTGATGTGTATTAAATTTGAGGTCCTGTTTACTCAAATAAATACAGTATTCATTGGTGGTTTGTGTGAGAGACTGTATCAGAGCAGTATTCTAATACCTTTCGTTCATGTTCAGTGAAACCCTGACTTAATGTTCCCTGATAGAAGGTTTTACTTTGTTCAGTGTTTCTAGTCAGTGATTTCAAGTCCATAATCTCAGAGATAGTTACCTCCACTTAAGGTTTTCCTCAGCTTACTGTTTTAATTGACTACTCTCCAAACAGACCTCAAATGTGGGTCTAACTGTGCACATTATGTTAAGGGGGAACAATAAAGTGTCAGATTGTATTGACAGAAATTAAGTGATGTGCATAGAGCCACTTCATTACTCTGCATGTAATGTGAGAGGATCGGATGGCTATCAAGAAATGGGTTCAAAAGAAAAAACTTGTCCTAATGTTAGGACATTTATCAGTAATAGGTAGAAGGATGAATATAATTTTTCTATTGTGGAACTTTTATGGAAATAATTTAATTTTTTAAATAAAGTTGCCTTTTATTCATATTTAATTTTTCTGATACTTTCAGATGTTAAAAATCCATGTGGAGACAACAATGGAAACTGCTCACATTTATGTCTGCTGAATGTGAATGGCACATTCAAGTGTGATTGCCCCCATGTCATGCGTCTAAATGAAGATCAGCGTACATGCGTTGGTAAGTGGCGTTCTAAACCTGGTGATGGTATTTTGGGTTCAGTGCTTTATCTTGCACCACCTGTCAGCAGAAGGTTCTTGTGGTTTGGTAACATTTTTATGGAGGTACCAGTGTAGGAACTTAAAATGGCATGTGGTAATTGATCCTAAAAATATGCAATGTTTGGCAAGGTAATTTTTTATAGAATGTAAATAAAAAATATGACAGGCATGTGAATTGTTTGTTTGATAATGGTAACTAATGCAGTATTGCAACTAGGCATCTGACATTTTGTATAGAGATAGTTCATAGGTGTCTGCAAATTCTGTATCATTAATTTTTTGAGTGTTAACAGTCAAAAACATGGTGACAGTTCAAACCTTTGATGTTATGTTGAGGAAATTTAATGTTGTCGAAGTCTATGAGTGGAAACAATACAGTGAAACCCTGATTTAAGGTTTGCCTGGCAGGGACAGGCTCTCTGTCCCTTACATGAGAGATCTGGGGAACAGAGCCTAAAATGACAGTTAAACTTGGTTAAAGCAGTAATAAGGCACTAAACCTTTTTCATTTAATATATTTTTTTTCTAAGAATATCCCCCACACCATCTTTCCTCCTCTAGAATTTAAGCTTTCTGTAGAGTTATGTTACTTAATGACAACAGAGGCAGCACAAAACACTTTACAATTTCAGTTCAGAACACAGTTGGATTGTTGTCCACCTCCTGAATAGTTTTCAATTGCAAATAATAAACTTAAACTATGCAAGGGTTGCCATACACACATTTGAACATGCAGAAAAATTCCCCTTCAGGAAACACACAAAGTAATCAAAGCTTCATGTGTGAAATTGCAGCTAAAGCCTTAACTCAGGAAACATTAAGTTGAAGAAGGTAACACAGTTGGAATCACGAAGAAGTGCATTGAATGCAGGAAAATGTAAAATGTAGGTCCATTAAATTTTGGTTTCACTGTACATAGAAGTTTGTTTGCTAAATTATATGATTATTAGGTCATAGTAATTGCCAGCCTCACCATATAGACTGGAGCAGTTGAAGTGAAGTAGGCATTCTAAATTCTTCCCAGACTTTTTTATTATTTTCCAAAATGATTTGTTATTCAAACATAAACTTTTATTGAAATGCATTAACTTCAAGAAGTAAAATTATGCAGAAATTAATTTATTTTTGGAACCTACAAGGTATAAGCCATTATATTTCTGTTATGCTCCATGCCAATGACAAGTGATTTTGATATTGTATTTAGTTATGAAATATACTACTGAACTTTAGGAGAGTACTGTATTTCCTAATTGCACCAAGAATGTACAGTAGCCTCTTCCTTTCTTGCAAGGTCATTGAAGTGCTCTCAGACTCATGATACTGAACATTCTGATTGCATGAAGAATGTGTGAAGGCTCTCTTTCTTGCAAGGGCATTGAAGTGCCCTCTTAGTTACAGTGTTACTGAACTTCAGTGTGGGACTGCATTTCCTGATTAACTGACAATGTATGAAGTCTCTTCCTTTCTTGTAAGAGCATAGAATTTCCTCATATTAATTAATCTGATGCATGTGGCTAGTTTGGTTTAACAGATCATTAGTTGCATGTATGAATCAGCTGGATTTCTCTTCCACAAAAGGAGACTTCTGAAGTTTGTTATATTCTGCTGGTCTGGTTTCTTTAGCATACAGTTTCCTGTCTCCAGTGCTTATCTTCTGAGTTTGTATCTGATCACTAAGTCACATCCTAGGGATGTCAATTAATGCCAGAATGTTAACTCATAATTTTCTGAGTGTTATATTTTCTTTTTATTGTATCCAATTCTTTACTGTTTTCATATGTTGCAAGGCATTGTACCAGATGTAACACTGGTTTTTAATACGTTTGAATTAGATTAATGTTTTGAAACATGTCTCTCTTTCTTGGTTCCTGAAAGCTGTATTTTGTTTTATTATTAAAAATTAGTATTGATCCCTGTATTTGAGTAACTGGAATAACCATTAATGATTGACATCCCTAGTGTTTTCCATTTCTACCACTACCAGCACTATGGTCTTATTAGAAACTTACTTTGATTCATGTCATCCAGTTAAACCTCTTGTAAAATGAAGTTGAGTGTGATAAATGTCAACCACATAACAGCCATTATAGGCAGACAGTATTTGAGGTTCGTATTCTGAATTCTTAGGGCTAAAGATATATTTGTGTTCGCAAGGATGAGATTTAATGTGATATTAAAATTCTGGCAGTCTGGTGATCATTGATTACCTCCAAAGCAGACCGGCATATTTTTTGTCACCATCAGTGAAACAACACGGTGACTCGGGTGGTTCAAAGTATGAAGCTTGGTACACTGTGTGTTCTCAGGTTGAGTTTTATAAAGACATCCAGCCACTATCAGACAGCATCTCAGTTGCTTTTATTTGTTTATCCTACAATGAAGCAGGAAGGAAATTGTTTTTAAGGAATTAAATGTTCTGTGAAGTATCTTACTAGTAACAAGGATTTTTTATTTGGAGATATTTTATAGGAATATTATATGATTTACATACCACTATGTTAGCTATATGTGTGTGTTCTTTATAACATTATTAAAGGAGACACTTATAGTACAATAATTAACAGAATCATGCCCAACTGGAAATTCATCACATCACTCCCTGGGCTTTTGTCCAAGAAACAAGTTTTTGGAAACATTTTTAAACACACCTCCAGTATCAAGATTCATTAGATTACTCCCTTAGCCCTGGTTTTTCAAAAGTGGAAAACTTTTGAAACCATATTTTTAAACACATTTCCAATATCAAAATTGAGCATATTATTCCTGTAGCCTGAACTTTACCCCAAATTCTTGCTTTTGAAACCACATTTTTAAACCCACTGTCAGTATTGAACTTCATGAGATTACTCTTATATCATGGGCTTTTGTAATGAGGCAAGTTTTTGGAATGAGTTCTTTAGTGCACCTCCCTTCTTTAAATTCTGAGGAGATTTTCTTCTTCACTTTGCATAAAATATTTCAGTGATGTGAAAGCCATCTACCATCTGCATCATAAATAAGCAATAAATATGAATACTAAACCTTTCTCCACATTGAAAATGTTAAGCAGGTAAGCAGGTTTGACTGTGCTACTGATTTCTGTGTGATGAAGTAGAGCTGCATTGAACACTTAAAGGAAGATAATAAGGTCATATGCTCTTCCATGGATCTTTGTATATATGTATCATGTATTTTCTGCAGTCATAGTGTAATGTTGGCAGTTGGTAGTACTGGAAAACAGTGTGACGTGACGGTATAGTTCCTAATGGAAAATGTTATTGGCATTTAACTAACCTTTTCGGGGTTATGTTTGTGTGTGTGTGCGTCTTTGTGTCCATATTGCAGTGAACGAGCGAGTGCTACTATTCTCCCGAGCCAATGAGATCCGTGGCGTGGATTTAGGAATGCCTTACTATCATACCATCCCCACCATCAGTCTGCCACAGGTGCTTTCACCGTCACAGCTGGACTTTGTTGCTACAAATCGCAAAATCTACTGGACTGACATCCAAGTGAACGAGGTGAAACGAACAGGACTTACTGGTGGCATTACTGAAAGCATCATAGACACAGGTGTGTGGGGTTATATAGCTTGCCTGTTTGCAGTATTTATATGCACACTTTTTATGTCAGTTACATAAGCCCAAAAATTTGTATTGAATCAGCTATACAATTATACCTGAACTGTACTGTATTTGATGTACAGTTCTGATTTGTGTTTCTTTTGGTTGAAGCACAGTGATAGTAGTTATAATTGTAGTTATAATTTAATATATGAAATTATTTTAAAATAATTTTATAGATTAAATCATTTAAGTAATTTATATATTATTTTAACAGCAGCCAGTATGGATTAAATGGTAAATTTTCTGATGTACAGTCATCATGAACTATACACACAATACAGTATAACAAATTATGGAAATCAACATATGTACCTGATGATGGCCCTGTGTGGTTGAAACATACTATTGAATTTACATGAAGGCATGGTGGTTTGCTGAATAATCTCTGAAATCACAGTGAAGACTTTATTTTTATATATACAGTATGTCCCAGGAGGAAAGGTTAATGTTCCTGGTCATTCTAAGCAAAATACTTTAGATGCACATGTCCTGTTCCAAGTGGTTTACAAGAGAGAGAGCTATTTCACTCTACAGTACCAAACAGTTTACAAGACAGAGAGCTGTTTCACTCTACAGTTCCAAACGGTTTACAAGAGAGAGAGAGAGAGAACTGCTATCTCCAATGGGACAAACAGTAGTAAAGGAAACTCTCGATGAGTTAAAGTAACTAATGGTGTCCTGCAAGGGTCGATACTGGGACCATTGCTGTTTATAATATATATTGTGACATGTTGCGCAAAGGAGAAACCCCCCCCCCCACCAGCAGTGACGCGGCGGGTGAGTCAGCGCTCCCCTTCCCCTCCTCCGCACGGTAACGTAACGGTGACACAACAGGATTGTTACGGTAGTAACAGCGGTTACTACCGCTAGCGTTACTAGCAACACAGCGCCAGGCAACAAGGGTGCCTATTACGTGGCCGTTTTCCGTATTGTCCGATCAAGGCTACATAAGGAGCAGCGAAGGCTATTCACAGTCAGTTGTACTGAGTCAGTCAGTCAGTCAGTCCTGGAGCTACCTCCGAGTTAGTTCCGAGTTAGCCAGCAACCAGTCAGTTGTATTGTGGCATTTGGAGTGTACTAATTGTGATACTGCAGATAGCAGTAATCGTAAATCTGTAATTTGGGTGATTGTGAGAGCGGATGTGAAATAAAATTCGCTACATCAAATACATCGAGAAGTTATTTGTCGCGATATACGCCCGATACGCGACAATATGAATTACCTACCCAAGATTTTGGAGACTAAGAGTATTCCCATTCTATTTGCTGATAACGCCAGTCTTTTAATCTCTCAAGACAATCCAATAAGACTTAAAAATACAATAAATGAAATATACAGGATGCTGGTGGACTGGTTTAAAAAAATTTAATGTCACTTAATATAATGAAAACTTATTATATGAACTTCACTGTAAAAAAAATAATGTAGTTAGAGAAACGGGAGGCATAGGAACAGTTTTGTTAAATACAAATCACGTAAAATTTCTTGGCCTGACTATCCAAAATGATATAACTTGGGATAGACATATAGATGAGATAATAAAGAAATTAAATACAGCTTGTTATATGATAAGAAATGTAAAACCAGTGGTGTCTGTAAAAACATTAAACGTGTTTGTTATTCAGACTTCCATTCTGTTATGACATATGGAGTAATGTTTTGGGGTAACTCAACACATGCAGAAAGAGTTTTTAAGATACAAAAGAGAGTTATAAGAATAATAAAAGGACGTGGCTACAGAGAGTCATGCAGAGAACTGTTTAGGAATATGAATATATATCCTTTAAGATCACAGTATATATACTCTCTGCTGATGTTTGTAGTAAAAAATAGAGAAATATTTGATACAAATAGGGATTGCTATGAAATAAATACTAGACATAATATGGATATACATATGAGGCAGGTAAATTTGGCAAAATATGGTAATGGGGTAATTCACATGGCCATAAGGATTTACAATGCACTACCTAATAAAATTAAAGTCACTTCTAATGATGTAAATAAGTTTAAAAACAACTTAAAGGAATTTCTTTATTTAAATTCTTTTTATACACTGGATGGGTGTCTAGAATGATACTGTTGACCTGTTGCTATGCACTGACCTTCAGATAAGTGGTTATACAACAGCGGTTGCTAAGTAATGGCTTTGTAAACAATGGCTGAGTACTGATCATGTGGGCATCCCAACAGACATGTAGGCAGCAATTGAACTACAACAGAGGAATTGTGTTTTCTGTATGGTCCATGCCAAGATGTTATAAGCAGGACAGTTAGTAGAGTGAGAGCTAGTTGAGCTGAGTCAAGTCGAGTGAAGTAAAGAGTAGTTGGTTGATAGGTGAGTGAGTTAGTCAGAAAAATGCTGAGGTGCAGTTATTGTGAGCTGTTTCTGTAGGATGCTGGTAGATGAGACTGGGGACTGTTCACGAACCCAGAGGAAGGGGAATGTCCACTGTTGGAAGCCACTACCAAACAACAGCTAGTGAAGTTGTGTCTGTGGACTGTAGAGAGAAAGAGACTGAGACTGTCTGTGTGTGTACATGTGGGGGGGGGGGGTTCGTAATAGTGGATTGTAACATGTAGTCACAAGCTGTATCATAGAGTCCAATAAATCTAATCATCAATCCAAAACTCAACTATACACGTGACAATACCAAGCAGAATTGAACAAATTTTTTGTAAATCTGGGATCCACATTGAAAATCTGTCAGCTAGAATAAAGTATCTTATTCTTGTTTTTATTAACAAAAGAACAGTTGAAACAGCTACAAATATATAATAGCCAGTTTCTTTCATGCTTGTGGAAAACAGTGGGTCATTGCTAGTGCATGGAGAGAAAAATGATATATCATATAAATTCCGTCCTAAGTGCAACAATTTATTGTAGGTCTTCTGTTTTGCTTTCTTCCACACTACATGTTTCGGCCACAAACAGCCATCATCAGGTGTATACACTCACGTAGCTGTTACACTGCACCCAGTTTAAAATTTAAAAACACAGGTCTTCCCAGTTGGCTAGCAGGATCTACTTCGCTGATATTTGTCTGATTCATAGGCTCCTGTGTGCGTGCCTACACAGAATAACACCTGTACAGTGCTGAAAACAAGAAGTAGCCGCTGCAGCACTATAGACGTGGGGCGAGTAACCGTGAGAATTTTAAATTTTAAAATTTGGAAAAAATTTTAAAGGAATTTCCTAAAATTGGAACTGAAGATTTTAAAATTGCCAGTTCATGAATGTCAAAATTGACGTGTGTGGGTGACAAAGATAATGTACAAATCAGACAGATATCAGCGAAGTAGATCCTGTTAGCCAATTGGGAAGACCTGTGTGTTTTTAAATTTTAAACTGGGTGCAGTGTAACAGCTACGTGAGAGTATACACCTGATGATGGCCGTTTGCGGCCGAAACATGTAGTGTGGAAGAAAGCGAAACGAAAGACCTACAATAAATTGTTGCACTTATGACGGAATTTATATCATATATCGTATAGAGTGTAACAGGATGCTTAAATATAATATTAGAAAAATGATGATAGGATGGACAGTTAGAAGGGCTAGGAGAGCAGTGAGGGAGAAGGAAGAGAAGGAGTTGTTCATAAAAAATCTGCAGAGCCTTAGTCTGAACAAAACTGAATGCAGGAATACAGCTTTGTTTGTATAATGCAGCAACTTGTACTCCTTGTTGCACATAAGGTGTTGAGTCAGTTCTCAGTTTCTGACCATTTCTATCCAAGGATGTTAGTATTAGCCTTTGCTATAGTAGCCCTGACACTGGTTTGTAGTTATATTATGATAAAAATCATATTACAAATCACATCCTTACACTATGTTCATAAATCAAAATGCAGAGGCATGTGAGGCGAATCTTTTGCCTGAAGATTTGGTCTGTCATAGCCAGTATGCCTTCCTGGGAAATGATTATTGAGGGCTTTGTGTACCATTAAGGCCTCATGTGATGGACCCATGTGCTGCTGTAAAACAGTGTCTGATTGTAGTACTTATATCTGTGGGATTACAAATCCCTCCAGCACATCCAAATAACTGTTACAGTACACAAGTTTTCTTTTCAACAATAGAGAAAGATCCGAATACATGATCGTACAATTGTGGATGAGACCACTTTGGGACCACCAATTTGCAGTTCAAAGAACTTAGGAGATTTTCTGAACCCAAAATCTTCATAGTACATCAGTTTACTAGCCCTGAAACATAAAATGTAACACCATCTTTAAAACATGACATATTTTAAGTATTGCTCATCACCATTGGTTCAGTCAAAAATACATGGGGCAAGTAACATCTTCTTGGGCATCCCCAACTTGCAGGAATATAACCAGAATTTTGCAAACAGTTGCTAATGTTATCCCCAACTTTCTAGACATGTCTGTTATCACCCTCTTGGTGTTGTTTAAATGACTCGTATGTGTACTCTACCACTAAATCACTTATGCATTGAAAACAATAATCCTTGTCTACAACACTTCCTTAAGTCTATGAACTGTTTATATAGCTCTGTAATACAATTCCTAGAAGATTTAGTCCTTGTATATGTTGTATGAAAGTTCTGCTCTTTTTGAAAATGTGATTTTGTTTATATAAACATTTTGAGATGCTGCGGCTTGTCTTCTGAAATCAACATTTCATGTGTTACATTACACAATCCCTGGGAAAAACAGAAAGTACATTACAGAACAACTTTTTTAGTTGCTGTGTTATAAAACATGACGTGACAGGAGTTTGGAGAAAACTTCATAATGAGGAGCTTCATAACTTGTACTATTCTCCAGGTATAATTAGAATGATCAAGTGAAGGAGGATGAGGTGGCAGTTCATGTAGTACAGTTGGGGGAGAAGAGGAATGCATATAGGATATTTGTGGGAAAGCCGGAAAGAAAGAGACCACTGGGAAGACCAAGGCATAGTTGGGTGGATCTTAGAGATGTAGGACGGGATTGATGGGATTGATCTGGCTCAGGATATGGAGCAGTTGAGGGCTCTTGTGAACACAGTAATGAACCTTCGGGTTCCATGAAATTCTGGGAAGTTCTTGAGTAGCTGCAGATTTGGTGGCTTCTCAAGAAGGGCTCAGATCCATAAGTAAGTGTTGTAAAACAAAGCTGACCTTTGATTCATGTTTTGTTTGCAAAGACAAAAATAACACCGTCAAATGTGACTATTTAAGTTTTATCATTTGAAGACTCTTCACCCTTGCATGTTTCGATCCCTACGGATCATCCTCACAGGGCATCAATACTTTTTCGGAAACTACTATTACAATAGCTGTTAATTATATACATACACATATAATGTCTGAAATGCACAATGTACACAATGTTCAACCTTTCACATTCACAGCACAGCACACTCTAGAACAGTGTAAACAACACAGCAGGCCACGAATAAACACGGAAATACTAAGGTAGGACAAAAACCTTAAAATATATATACAGTAGGGTCACTGAAATCACGAGTAATGCAATACCCATAATATATTTGCAGAATCTCCTTTCGCAAGATAGACAGGTGGCACAGGATCACCCACCTCCAAGAATAACAACAGGAGAATTGACACGAACCTGTACGGTTTATAAATTTTAAGCTTGAACTAGAAAGTTTTTAAAAAATTTTAACACCAGGAAGGCTGCTGTGAATGTGAAAGGTTGAACACTGTGTACATTGTGCATTTCAGACATTATATGTGTATGTATATAATTAACGTCTATTGTAATAGTAGTTTCCGAAAAAACATTGATGCCCTCTGAGGATGATCCGTAGGGATTGAAACATGTAAGGGTGAAGAGTCTTCAAATGATAAAACTTAAATAGTCACATTGGATGGTGTTATTTTTGTCTTTGTAATTGTTAGTGTGACGGACCAGAATGAAACAAATTAAATTCATGTTTTGTTTGGATATTAAATCTTAACATTGCTCTAACTTCCATGAACATGCTGCATCTTGTTCTAACATTAGTACTTTTCAATTGAGTACATAATTGAAAGAATAATATTAAAATTAATGTTATAGCAGTATAACACACGCAGTCACAGGAGCAAGACACAACACAAAGCACGATACACACACAATAGTGAAAGAGTGCTCCGACAGAAGAGGATAGGTGTGACTCGCATAGTGAGATACGACGTAGGGATGAAATATCCTGAACAATTTTAATATTTTTAACATTTATCAATATATATGATAAATATATATTTTAGTTATTTTAATATGAAGACGACAAGGCATGCAATGAACTAGTTTAGCGTAAATCAAATAAGCACCTGAAGATGGCACTTTTGTGCCGAAACATGTAGTGAGAGAGAGAGGAGGAGATAGATGAGTGTATGCACTGGAAGACGGTTGAAATAAATCATGGATATTAAAATTAATTTTAAAGATGTAAAGGTTTTCAAGCTGTTCCCATGATTGAGCCTGCTCACGGGAGTGCCTAGAGGCAGGCTTATATGGTGATACTGTTGATATGTTGGGTACTGTAGCAGGAAATATTTGTGACCAGAATAGTGAATATTATGTTTGAGGAAAATTTCCTACAATAGCAGTTAAGGGTTCGGGAATACAATTATTGATTATCAGAGAGTGGCTGTAGAAATTTAGTACTGTAGCACAGGAATGAAAGTATGTGTTTGTGATTGTCTACGTGTGTATATGATAATCTTGTTCTGATTGATTGCAGGCATTGAGCAGCCTACAGGTTTCGCTATTGATTGGATCTCAGGGAATATGTTTGTGAGTTCATTTCGCTCAACCAGTAGTCACATCTTGGTGTGCAGCCTGGAAGGGGAAATGGTAGCAACAGTGATTGAAGATGGTTTCCAAATTCGTTCATTAGCATTGGATCCAATTCGGGGGAAGCTGTATTGGAGTAACTGGAGTGGTGATAATTATTCAATATATCAAGCTCGAATGGATGGGAGTGAACAGAAAATGTTGGTGTCTCGTCGAGATGATGAGACTGTGCACAGCCCACAAAGTAAATGAAATCATATTCTAAGTATTTATAATAACTCATGCATTTTAAGAGAGCAGAGACATTATTTTAAAATAAAAATAATAAAAATTATGTTAACATAAAAGCAGTACAACATGTACTTCCTCAACACTGCAATTTACGCTTGAATAACTTTTCTTCATATTGATATCAGAATATAGGAATATCTTATATATAAAATATAGTGAGGTAACTCTTAAGTAACATGATTTATATTCTGGAAAATCATAACTTGGGATAAACAGTTTAATATTGTCATTGTTCTTCTCCTTATAATTAATAGGAGTTCCAGTTGGAGCTCATAAAGTTTGCTTTCCTGGTGCATGATTCCAGTCCCCAGAATGTGTGTTTCTGTCTTAGGCAATGCAAATTTATAATCCATAAAAAAAATCAGTTAGGTTATGGGCTAGAATGCTGGACTTGTCAAAAGGTTGAATCCTGGTTAAGTCAAATGTTTATTGCTTGAAATTATAAATATGTACCTTTGGAGAGGGGAGTTTGCAATTACTTTAGTACAAAAAAATGTGATTATGCCATGTGTGTTGCTGAAAATGTACATTTATGTCACTTTCCATTTTACTCTTAAGTTCTATCATTTAAACAATGCAATATGTAACAATCAAAAAAAAGTGGAACAGAATTTGATTTTAGGTACTAATGGCCCTTTACATGCAAATTGAATTATGGATCTTCACTCTATTTGGAAGTGTCATAAAGAAGTGTTACTTACAGACAGATATTGCCCTTTGGAATTATTTTATATAATTTGAGGTTCTCACAGCAGTGGTTATGAAGAGTTCTGTATTTTGAGTTATAATGTCATATAGTCCATTGAAAGTGAAGTGAATGTAATTTGTATTTTTTATTATTTTAAAATACTGTCTATACTATTTTTCAATGTTGACTTGCAACATACTCCATGGCATTGTATCAAGAGCTGGGATAGTGTAGTTGGTATAGCGACTGGTTTATAGGCTAGATGGCCAAGGGGTCAGAGTTTGAGTCCCAGTGGTGCAAGAATTTTCATTTCTCTGTGTCATCCAGATCAACTTTGGGGCCCACCCAGCCTCCTATCCAATGCTTATCAGGGCCTCTTTCCCCAGGAATAAAGCAGCTGGAACGTGAAACTGACCACTGACCTCAAACTAGTGCTGAGGTCAAGTAAATATAGGGCTATACATCCACTCTCCCATATGTTCCTATGGTGTAGGTCTTAATTAGTTAAACACAAGGACAACTTTACTTTTTACCTTACATGGCATTATATCCCAGAATATGGAACGTTTTTGTATATACAGATTCTGGATGTGGCTAGAAAAAAGCAACAAATTTCTACCACATTTCTATAATACTTAATCGTGGCACTCTTCCATGGTCTTGTGAGCCAGGAAACATAACCTCTGTCAGTATCCTAAGAATTCATTTCCTCTAATTTTCTGTGCATTGCCTCCCTGCTGTACCAACAATGTAATGTGTTGCAGGCTTGTCTGTGGATCTGGAATCTAGGAGACTGTACTGGGTGAATACTGGGAGTGACTGCGTGCAATATTATGATTTCATCACAAATCAAGTTGAAACTGTACATTTGAACAACGATCACCCTACTGCGGCTACTGTTTACCGTGGAAGACTTTATTATGCTAACCAAGATGATAATGCAATTCATGTTGCCAATAAAACGACTGGAGCAGAGAATGTTATTCTCAGAAATAATACTGGTAAATATGATGATGGCAGATTTAAGGTTATATGGAATAAAGCAAAATGTAATGAAATAACACTAATAATGAAGTAAAATATTCATTCGTCTAGACATCTGTGCAACACGGAAGTTGGTTTCAAGAGCTCTGCTCAGAACTTCTTGTTTTAAAGTTAATATTCCTGAGTTATGGATTCAAATATGAGATTTGAACATATTGTCACATGCCTAGACATGGGGCTTGTTTGGTAATTGGATTTATTGGATGCTTATAACTCATGACTACAAATGATTATAACACTCTCACTAATTTTTGCACTCTATATATCACTACAAATACAGCACATAAAGTCTTCTCTTTTTTATTCTGTCATCATTAGTCATTGCTAGCTAGCAGCTGCTAACAGTGGTGATTCTCAACAGCCAACCACAAACTGGCACTGCTCACTTGCAACTCACAAGTCTCTAACTGCCAACTCCAACTTCCCGACTAACTAACTTTGGCTGTTGGTGTTCACCATATATCCTTAGAGCAGACCACACAGAAAACACCACTTCCAACAGTCCCACTATTGTTGCCTATTGATTCATTGCTTTGGAAACAAGTTTACAATACCACTGTGTAGCTATGGCCACCTCTTCCTCTTTTATTGTTCAAGCTTTCAGCCCACATGTCACATTATGAACTGGTACATGAATTTATTTTATTCTGAATTCTTGGTGCATCAATATATGTATGTAGAATATCCCCAAATATATTTTAAATATGGATAAAATATCTTTTATTTATCTATGGCTTACCATAAGATATGCAGCATATGGATTGTAATGCATAGATTATTGTTTTCTAGCTCACTTTGTCTAGGGGCACACGGTAGCATAGTTGGTTGAGACACTGTTCTACAAGGCAGAATGTCATGGGTTCGATTCCCGATTAAGTAATTGGATTTTTCATTTGACCTAATCCTTCCAACTGCACTATGGCCCTGGGGTTGACTCAGCCTCTAACAGAAATGAATACCAGGAATCTTCCTAGGGTTAAAGGGCAGCTGGCACGTGAGGCTGACAACCTCACTGCCATCTATGAGCCGACTGTCTAGAAAATGTGGGAGCCTTGACATCTCACAACCCTGGGCCTCTACGGCCTGTTACAGGGGTAGCTTTAAGTTTCTGTAGCTTTTACCTTTACATCATTGTACCTGAATTCATCCCTTATATAGGTATACAGTCTTGCATAATGATAAAGAGTTCTACTGTTTACTGAAGTACTAACAGCGTACTATGAGAGGACTGCTAATGTATGTCTCTAACAAAGGATATCTGTAGCTATAAGTCTGGTGAGTTCATAATGTGAACTACAGCAGTTTGTCTGTTGCAGCCAGTGTGACATCGCTGCGAATATATGACCCAGAAGTGCAGACTGGCGATAATGCATGTTCAGTAAAGAAAGGCAATTGCTCACATCTGTGTCTGCCAGTCTCGGAAACTGAGCGTGTATGCAAGTGTGCTACAGGCTACTCACCTCATTCTAATGATCCTACAAAATGCATTGGTAAGTAAGTGACTGCTTTGCAGTGAGAGGAAAAGCCCCTGTTGCTCACTGGACAGCAGGCTGAATAGGCCTAAGTAATGATAATAAGAAATCAATATCACAAGCATGATTGACTATTTGTGAGGTTCTCGCAGCGCTGAATTTGAAGATTACGGTCTTCTTGGATGTTACACCTTGTACTTTGTTAGATACCTAATAAACGTTTTGGAGAAACCTGCTACCCTCATCTTCAGGGTAGAAGATGATTCCATGAGATATTGGCAGTTATCTGCTACACCCAAATTGTGTCAACCCAGAAGGCTGTGAACTTCATGCTTCTTACCGTTCTTTGATCTCATTTCTTACAAGATTGAGCTACAGTTGGTATAGTGAGCTTGTAATATGGCAGTCTGTTTAACCCTTTGCTGCACAGTTTACATTCACTGTATTTTTGTACTTTGACCACAGTTCATTTAAGTATCATTTACAAAGTACACTTTAATATGTTATGTGTGGCATTAAACATTCAGTTTCACTACTCTTTGTTGTATTTGGCACTGCAGAGAGCTAAATACATTTCAGAGTTAACCACATTGTTCATTATAGAAAGAGTTTATAATACTTATTTATACTTAGTCTTCAGTGTTCTATACTTGAAAACATTGAAATGTCTCTTAGGAGCGCATGAAATAAATGAAACCACTGCAAATTGAGAGTTGTATTCAACACATTTTTATAAGTGTGATGGATGTATTCTACTTTAAACAGCAGCAGCTGATGACTGTTACTTCTTCTTCAGCGTATAAAAGTAATAACTGAATGTGCTGTAGTCATGAATACTGAATTTAAACAAAATAAATTTTCTTATACAATTACCATAATATAAGATGATCTCTGATATAAGGTGACCTGTTTTTCCAGTGAGAAAGTATTTTCTTTTTGGCAAAATTGAATATATCATTTAGTTCTGAGAGTCATATGAAAAAAAAAGTAAAATTAATATAATTAAATATAATTCCAGTTATTATCACAAATGCTAGGTGGTTCAAATATGACTGGGACTGATTTTTTGTAAATAAGCTGCACTGCGCAGCAGCTGTGCGACCTTGAGAGAGTGAAGCCACAATCTCCACCCTCCCTCCTGTTAGGGTTGGAACCTGTTCAGTCCTGTCTGGAAGTTGCTAGAGTGATGAGTGAACAGAAGGTACTTTGGAGTGTGGAACAACGCATTGTGATCAAATTCCTTGGAGAAAATGTCCCGTCCGCTGAAATTCACTACAGACTCCAAAAACAGTATGGGGAAGAGTGTCTCTCACGCACCCATGTGTTTGAGTGGTAAGTGCTTCAGAGAGGGCAGAGAGCGCGTGGAGAATGAACCGCATGATTGTTGGCCATGAACATCTATCACCAAGCCAAACATTGATCTTGCAGATGCACTTATTCGTGAGAATAGGCGCATCACTATCAAGGAACTTGGAGTAATGCTGTCCATCAGTGTTGGTAGTGTAGAAGACATCATGAAATACCACCTGCACTATCACAAGGTGAATGCACAGTGGGTACCACTCACTTTGACGGATGTGAACAAAATGGTGCGCGTGCAAGTTGCCAGTCGTCTCCTACAGCAGTGTGAAGATGAAGGTGATGCATTTTTTAAGTCTGTAGTGACCACCGATGAAACGTGGGTGCACTACTTCATTCCCGAGTCCCAGCAATCATCACGCGAGTGGCGGCATACCAGTTCTCCCAAACCCAAGAGAGCACGGAGGGGCCGTTTGGCAGGAAAAGTGATGGCAACGTTCTTCTGGGAGTGGCAAGGGTTATCCATGTAGACTTTCTGACAGATGCCAGAACAGTCAATGCAGCTTATTACTCAGACGTCCTGGCAACAGACATGAAGGAAAAGATCCGATCCAAGCAGAAGAGGTGGAAAGCGGGTAGCCTTCCTTCAAGACAATGCACGCCCCCGTACAGCCAAAACAACAATGGAAACACTCCGGAAATTGAAATGGAACCTTCTGACACATCCGCCGTACAGTCCCAATTTGGCATCAAGTGATTTCTACCTTTTCGGAAGGCTCAAATCAGACTTGCAAGGCATGCGGTTTGTGGACGACCCCATCATACAGAATGTTCGGGAGTGGATACGCTGCCAACCACAAAACTTTTTTGAAAAGGGCATCAGGATGCTTCCAGAACGTTAAAAAAAATGTGTTGACTCCGGAGGGGAGTACATTGAAGACTGATATGTGCAAGTAAGTGTTTGGCAATTCTGGTTAAAAAAAAAAAAATCAGTCCCGGTCATATTTGAACCACCTTGTATCATTTAGAATTAGCAGTTAGAATTCCTCATAATTGTTTTCTTTCTGTTTATTCATAAGGACCTGAAAATAAGGTGACCCCTCATATCTGAGAAGCAGTATTGGAAACGTAAACTCACCTTCTGTTTGGGCTAATATGATATTTATGGTCGATGTGTTTTTATAGGTTTTGCGTCGCTACAAGGCATCATATATGTCATATTCATATTATATACTGATGTGGAAAGTTTATGATTATGGATTATCCAGTATTAAACTTAACTGCCTATTCTTAAATATTCTATATTCATCGTGCCTCTCTTCAGCTCTTCTTAGAAAACCTGATTGATTCCATTCCTGTTTTGATATTCTCTTTCGCATGAGTCTGTACAGATGATGAAGCTAATTCATTTGGTACTCTTCAGATATTGACACAATACTTCCAAGCTGCACTGCGCAGCACTGATAATTTGAAACATATAATTTTGCTCAGATATCTGTATTTTTAATCATTGATCTAGTCTTCCACCCTGAAGACTGAGTCGGCAGGTTCCATCAGAAAGGTGGTACCTTACCATGAAACTATGCAACTTCACATCACAGAAAAAGAATATTTTTTAGCAGTGTTATATATTTTTATAGAGTAGTTATAGATTACAATTGTAGCTGGCATTGTTTCCTGTCAGTTTCACAGGAGGTTCCGCAAAGAAATAAAGTGAACCAGCAGTTTAATACCTAGAGATTTTATCTTCTTGCCCATAATATGAAGTTTTCATTTCTAGGAATTGAGGAGTTCCTTTTCTACTCAATTAACTGGGAGATTAAAGGTCTGCCTCTTGGAGATGACAACACAACACAAGTATTGGGGCCGATATCTCGAGTATCCATGGCAAGCAGCATTGACTTTCATGCAGGTGAGATTATGTGGTTGGTGATACAGCCAGCCTGCTTGTCTTAATGAGTCACGATAATTGATGCTATTCTTTCAGATATCAAATATAATTTTTAGATGAATGAAAGGAAACTGTTTTTGAATTTGCCAAATATATTTTAACTGCACATGTCCTGGAAACAACATTGTGATTTTTGTGTATGTTTGATCAAGCATTTTATTTTCATCATATCCATCCACTCTCTCCACAGAAAACTTCACTCTTTGATTGGTTTCAGTCACACTCAGTATGGTATACCTACCATTTAATTTGAAGCAGTTGCTGCCAACATGCTTACCTGTATTATAATGTAATGGATCTGTTCACAGCGTTGCATGGTAACAGACCAGTAAACTCATATCACAGCAGTGAATGCGTGGCAGTAGGGTGTCCATTGCTAGGCAGTGCATAGGCGGACATGCCTGACAACAATACATGATATCTGTCGTTGAGCAGTTGATGTGTTTTCTATGGGTGGCCTGTGCTGAGCCCATATAAGGAGCAGTCAGTAGTTCAGTGAGTCAGTTCTTGGTAGGAGGCAGCCACGGGAAGTTCGTAGTTGAAGTCGACCTGTAAAGACTTAAAGTGTGATTAGAAGTCTTTAGTCATGTGTAATATTTGGAGTGATTTGAAGCTCTAGTTCCTGTATTTTAATTACATTAACAGGAGAGGATTAGTGTGTGTGTAAGTGTGTAAACAGCTGTAGCACTGCACTAATTGTAATTAAGAAGGAACTTGTAACCAAGGTGCTAATAAATCCAATCATCCATCCGAAACTAGAACCTGCCATTTTTGTTACGCGTACCATCCTACACATGACAATAAATATCAGTAGCAATCATTGGTTAGTCACTTTTCCATTAATATGAAAACACCAACAGTTTAGCCTACATCTGCACAGTACAGTGACCTAGAAGAAGTATGCATCCTGAAGTCTTTAAACCTTTCACTGCCAAGCCCTGCCATAGATGTACCTACTAGCCTACTAGAAATACCAAGGCTGCTTAGGGTAAATACAGTTGCATGCACACACACACACACACACACACACAATACTTCCAAGGGGCGACCTTCACAGAACACAAATATATCATGTGGAAGTCTATTCTTTCATCAAAACATCAGTAGGTCATACTTGATGCCATCTGTTGAAAGAAATGCTATAGTAATTGATTATCAGCAAACCACAGCAGGGCACAGATATGGCAGGCTGATCTAGTCACTGCATTATGCCAAAACTTAGCAACTGCTAAATGTCCCTTCAGCTTTTCTCTTACAATATAATGCAGAAATCTGAGTGTGTGATGCAGTGAAATGGTTTGGGTCCCAGAGTGTGTGCTCTTCACTTTGGCATCTGTCATCCAAAAATTATGTTCATAACATTAACAATTTTGTATTTCAGAGATGGATTACCTATACTGGGCAGATAGTGATCATGGTACAGTGACTCGGATCAGACGTGATGGTACAGGCCGGCAAACTGTGGTAGAGCATTTTGAAACAATGGAGAGCATCCCAGTTGATTGGTTGCCAGGTGAGCCAAAGTTTGTGGGATGTGGAAATGTTTACATGTGAGGAAAGAATTTGCATGCAATTACAGGCACAAGGTCTATGTAAGATTTTTAAATTTCTTGAGTCACTCGCTGAAGCTGAGACAAGCAACTTTTGGCATTGTTCCAAGTGAGTTTCTTGTTCTCGGGATATTTCTTACAAAAAACTGTAGTGAATACATGCCTGAAACAGTCTTGTAAATGTAATATGTGTAAATGTTTAGTCAACAAATGATGTAAAATCTACTAAAGTTCAGTTTGTTTTGTCCCTTTATTTCATATTTGCTCTAAGTATATATAGAGACTTGTTATATAGTGGAAAGTCCTCATGTCTGTAAGAATCATGTAATAAACTAAAATCTATTTAAGACAGTAATCAAATTCATAGATTTGTGTTGGCTCTGACAGTTAAAGGAAATTTCCTGTATTCTGAATTATTGTTAGGCCTGGCTGTGGACTGGATAGCAGGAAATGTCTATTGGACAGATCCCAAGTTTAATGTAATAGAGATGGCAAGGCTGAATGGTTCTTGCCGTTACGTAGTCGTGACTGGGAACCTGGACAAACCAACAGCTATTGCAGTGGATCCACTGCATGGTTTTCTCTTCTGGAGTGATGCTGGCAAGGAGCCAAGACTTGAACGGTCAAGACTTGATGGTTCAGATAGATTTGTACTGGTGAATGACACTGGCAATTCCATTAATGACATTGCACTGGACTATGAGGTAAGAGCAGTGCTGTTTCACCCATCATCACAACAATTGTCAAACTGAAGAGGTACTGGAATTATAATCCTATTGCATGAAAAGATTGGTATTGCAACGGTATTGAAAGAAATCTATTAAAGAGTGAGAGCATGCTGTGATTCGAGTGATCATACCAGTAAGACTGCAAATACATATCCTTTTCTGTCATCGTCATCATCATAATCGTGTTTCATGAACATTTTTTCCATTTTATGAATTTTTTCGCCAATATTACATATCACCTGAATTATGTGGCACAGTAAATACAAGCACAAGCATTGTGGGTGGCTCCATTGTGAGATATATTAATAATATGACTCATTCAGGCCACAAGTAGGACTCACCCATCTCACATAGTTCTGTGCTGCAAGATGTTACATGTACACCGATGCAAGAAATGTGGCAAATCAAGGTACTCATACGCCTAGAAGTTTGCTGTTTGTGAAAGGGTAAATTGTCTGAGACAAATGTTATAGTGAAATAACACATATCTGAGTGTTTCAGTGCCTGTACTGTAGACACCAGTTTTGCTGGAAGTCTGTACTGAAGAATGCCACATTTTTGGTGGACATGATCAAATCCAGCAAAATAAATGTGATCTGAAGTCACACAGACTTTGTCATTTTGGTTTCCAGATAGCTAGTATGATCCTTCTGTAGCTAAAGCCACCAGACCCAAGTTCTTCACATGGTTTATAGACAATGTCACGAAACTTCGAACAAGGCCCCACATTCCTAGTCAAATCCCGCGCATAGCTTGTGGTGGGAGGAGTTTCTTATAACTGGCTGCCTGTCACTTCTCACACTCTCGAACCCACCCCCTTGTCTGAAATTTTTCTTCTGCACATTCAAGGTTACTCTTGGTCTTGTTCGAAGTTACATGATACTTGCCGTAATTTTGTACACTGTAGTAGTAATAGTATTTATTTATAATTTTGCATTTTTTTTGCAGAACCAGATGCTGTACTGGTGTGATTCAAGAACCAACAGAATTGAAAGGATAAGCTATGATGGCTCTAACCGTGAGGTACTGCTAGAACAGTCATTAGACAGTCCACGAGCCATCACTGTATACCAGGATACAGTGCTCTGGATTGATATGTGAGTATTAGCAGTAATAATATTGTGACATGGATGGCACAACAGGATGTAGGGATCACGTGAGCTCTGTGTTTCTGTGAGTGACGTCACATACCCCCACTCCTTCCGTCATTACACAATGCTCGGTAAACACCCCTCCTGGCTAGGCTGTGACATCACTCAACGGATGAGTCCATGCAGCGACTGTTGCTAGGCAATCGGTAAACACGGTGATTCCACAACAAGGAAGCGAGATGCATTTTCTGCTGTCCGGCTGAAGGTTTATAAGAGACGCTGGAATGCTTAAGCATTGCAGTGGAAGTCTAGCATTCACCAGAGTTAGTTGAGCATTAGCAGTCGGTTTCCAGTCTTCTAAGAGATGAGGTGAAGTCCAGCAGTTACGAGTTGTTGAGTAGTATCGAGTGAATGGCAGGGACTACAGCTGGAGATGTAATTATTATACTGCAGATGGCAGTAATTGTGAAACTGTAAATTATGTAAATCTAAGAGTGAGTGTGGAATAAATTCGCTGGATCCAAACAGTGTGAAGTTATTTGTCGTGTCACATACCCAACACATAACCTATGTTACAAGCTTGGGGTCCAGTGCTCTGGGAGTTGACTGGTCACACAGTGTTGTTATATGTACTCAGTGGGGATTTGCATACAACTTTGAAAATTCAAATTAAAATAGAAAAGAATATTATGCTCTTAGATGCAATACAGTGTAGTCCAGTCTCTGACATTTTGGTAGAACATGTACCTGCATTTTTGGGGTAGAAAAGTAAGCAAAGAAAGTAGACAGCAAGAAGCAGGCAGATGCCAGCTTTTTAAAATGATTTTAAAAGAAAGATCTTTAAAATTAAAATAATCTGATTGTACAAAGCAAGAAGAGGCTTCTTAGATGCAGGTTGGAAGGTACAAGGTGGTTCAAATATGACCAGGACTGATTTTTTTTGTAAACAAGCTGCACTGCGCAGCAGCTGTGCGGCCTTGAGAGAGTGAAGCCACAACCTCCACCCTCCCTCCTGTTAGGGTTAGAACCTGTTCAGTCCTGTCTGGAAGTTGCTAGAGTGATGAGAGAACAGAAGGTACCACAGAGTGTGGAACAACGCATTGTGATCAAATTCCTCGTTGGAGAAAACGTCCAGTCCATTGAAATTCACCACAGACACCAACAACAGTAGAGTGTCTCTCATGGACCTGTGTTTTTGAGTGGTGTAAATGCTTCAGAGAGGGCAGAGAGCGCGTGGAGAATGAACCGCATGATCGTTGGCCGTGAACATCCATCACCGAGCCGAACATTGATCGTGCAGACATGCTTATTCGTGAGAATAGGCGCATCACTATCAAGGAACTTGAGTAAGATCCGATCCAAGCGGAAGACAGGTGGAAAGCGGGTAGCCTTCCTTCAAGACAATGCACACCCCCATACAGCCAAAACAACAATGGAATCCCTTCGGAAATTGAAATGGAACCTTCTGACACATCCGCCATACAGTCCCGATTTGGCCCCAAGTGATTTCTACCTGTTCAGAAGGTTCAAATCAGACTTGCAAGGCATGTGGTTTGTGGACAATGACGCCGTCATCCAGACTGTTCGGGAGTGGATACGCTGCCAACCACAAGTCTTTTTTTTTTTGGGGGGGGGGCATCAGGATACTTCCAGAAAGTTGGAAAAAATATGTTGACTCTGGAGGGGAGTACGTTGAAGACTGACATGTGCAAGTAAGTGTTTGCCAATTATGTTTTTTTTTTAAAACAGTCCTGGTCATATTTGAACCACCTAGTACATTGAAATTATTGTACCTACTGCAAATTGATACGCATACATTAATTATACCATGTCTTTATTTTGTTAATATTGTAACCCAGTATCACTGGAACACAGTATGCTTCTTTTATACCTTTTAAGTGTCCCAGAACTTTCATGCACAGAACTTATCATCTTGTGTGGCTTCCTTCCAGAAAGAAGAAAATCTATTGTTTGCTGTAGGTGAAGTGACATGTATATATCTTGTTTGTTTTAATGGAAATTGAGGCACAAATAAAAAAACATAATCTTTCACCCTTGTGGGAACTAAGGAGTACTTAGTGGCACAAGGGTCCACAGAAAGCAGCATGTCTGTTATTTGTTACTGCCACCGCGTTGTCTTTTGGAATTGTTTTCCTGCTTTATTTGCTAATGTAATTTGTGGACTGTTTGCCCAAAAACTGTGTCTGAATATTGTAGTATGTAAAAATGTGAATATATGGAGGAATATATGATTCCTTGGTGAACACTGAGTTAAATTCCCCTTGATGAAATTTTGACCAGTGCATCAGTTTGGCATAGAATGCTAGTAAAATTGTATGCAGTGTGGCAATACAGGACGGACGTCTTTGCCTACAGAGTCCACCACGTGATTCATTGTTTAACATTGAGACAGAAATAATCCTTGATAAAATTTTGACCAATATATAGTGTCCATGGAAAATGTGATTTTAGTTCCCTGTACCATGTTGCCACACTCCATTTACCTTTAGTTGCCTTTTTTTTTTATGTAGTTATCAAAATGTTTTTCCCCTGTAAAATTTCTTGCCTAAAATTAAGGCTACATAAATTGTGAGTAAATACTATGTGTTTCTTACCCTTTTAACTACCTCTATTTATATATTATTCATTTTACTTTCTTTTTCCCCACACAAATTTAAATGGGTTTACATTGCTAGTGGATTTTTGTGTTTGCTGTCTCCAGAGCATATGAGCGTGGCAGCATCTTGTCAGCCCCTATGACAAATCTTTCGGATCACAAAGTGCTGTTGTCTGGAGCAGGTGATTCTTTGAAAGACATCCAGGTCTTCACCAAAGCTCGCCAGCAGGGCACCAACCCCTGCGCTGTCAACAATGGAGGCTGTTCAGAGTTATGTCTGTTCAATGGGACACATCCTATATGTGCTTGTGCACATGGCAAAGTCACAGCCATTGGTACCTGTGAAGGTGAGAAGCACCCTGGTGACACAGTTTTTTTAGAATTCTACACATGTTCTAATAGATTATTTTACTAAGAAGTACCTGAGGTGCCACATTTGGACTACCTATGTATTTTCATTTTTTTGATCTTATGTTTGTGCTTGCTTCTACCTTATACCTGCTCTCTGTACTAACAGCTGCAGTTTTAAATGATTTATGTTATATCCAGTATTATACATTTATGATAAAAGTGTTGGACTTATGTAGTGTTTGATCTGAACTCAACTCATGAAACCAATATTGAATTTTGATTAAATGACGCACAGAAACAAACTGAAATTTGGCAGGAATTTAGACTTGTTTACAGTTGATCCTGTTGAATATGTAATACATTTTCAGTTTAATTTGTAACACAAAATGTGTTTAGAATGTTTCTGATTAAATTTTTAGGCATATTACTTACTTCAAAGAAAATCGGTGAGGTGGTGGAAAATAGTTTTCTTTCATATCTTTGATGTGTACAGTAAATTCCCTTGCAGTGCATAATAAAAAGACAAAAAGAACATCCCAATAAAGCTGTTCTAACAGATGATTGCTGAAGGCCTGTTCAATGATCTGGTGCAGGATATTCAAGAACAGGCCAGGGAGACATTTTTATAGAGAACTGTGACAGCACCGATAAAAGTGAAAGGACAGTCTCAGTGGACATGCGAAGTATATACGGACAGTAGCAAGAACCAAACAAGAAAAGCCGCAAGGAGGCTTATGTCAGTGTATTGCCAGAAGTATATTGTGGGCCTGTGTTTATGGGTGTGTTTTAAAAATTACCACAGTGTATTGCCAGAAGTATATTGTGGGCCTGTGTTTATGGGTGTGTTTTAAAAATTACCACTTCAAAATAAATTATTGGGTGTGATCCTTTCAAGCAAACTTGAATCATCTAATGAAAAGTTTACTGTGTTTACAGTGTGTGTATCTTTGTTTGTGGGCATTTCTGTTGTATCAGCCTTAATATGGCTTCCCCTAACAACTACCCATAAGTAGTCTATTTTTGCAAGACAGTTGAGAAAGGTTTATATTTTTGTTTCCTCATATGTTGTATTTTTACATACCCCTGGTCTGAAATTTGTAAAAGAATTGACAAAATTTTATCTATTTCAATGTATTAAATTTATTAAAATATTTCTAAATTAAATTAAGACATGCCTAGTTATAGATTCCTGGCAGGGACAAATTTTTTCTGTTTTGGCACTGTGGACATGGCTCTGCAGTCCGTCCAGCCTCCTATACAACAGGCACAGTGGATGGAACATGAAACTGACCACTCATCTCCATCCAGTCCTGAAAATCAGATTATATGAATCCATACCTGTACTCTCCCACACATGTTCATGACACAGTGCTTAAGCATGAAGAAACTTAGCCAGACATTTGTAGATATGAGTTAAATTGCATTTAATGTGTATAATGGCCATATTGTAGGATGTCAAAATCATATTTATTCTTTTATTTACAACAAAGTATAATAAGATGGTAGCTGGTTGGCATCTAGAATATCATTTTGCCTCAACTACACAGCATCAGATCATCTTTCTTCTTAGAAGCAAGAGAGCAGAAATTAAGTAATACAAGTGTGTTATTTTGTGCGTAACAGGAGAGAGGTGGCGTATTCATGTCTTTTTGAAGGCAAGCAATTGTAAAACTCTGCATGATTAAGAGAAACAGCATAGATTATAGTATTACATTTGTTAGGAACATGATTATGCTGTGTTTGGTTATGTTAATTTTTCATAAAAAATGGGCAAGTGGGAAATGGTTGTAGTAAAGATTGTATTTTGAAGTTTTCAATTGTCCATTTTGGGATGTGGTTTTCCCCCTTTTTTTCTTCCCCCCCCCCAAATACTTATATATTTAAATTTTGTCTCTAGAACTTGTTAATATGAATACTTAAACAACACAGTCATTTTTAATTTATTTTTTTCCAGATTATGATAGTTTCCTTGTCTATTCTCGTGTCGTGCGAATTGATAGCATTAACATGTTTGATGAATTCAACCGCAATGCGCCGTTCCAAAGCATTCAGTCTAAAGACTTTATGAGGAATGCAATTGGACTGTCATTTGATTATGAGCGCAAGAGAATATTCTACTCTGATATTCAACGAGGGAGCATCAATTCAGTTTACTTCAATGGTTCGAACCACACTCCTATTGTTGAAAGTTAGTATGTGTTACTATCAAATTAAGGTTTCACCCAAATCAGAATATTTCTTTATGTATGCATGTGGCTTATATGTGTTTAGAATTGAAGATTTGGAAGCTCCTAATTACATACAAATTATGCGAGCTAAATAAGTTTTTTTTTTCACTGTCTTTAGAAAGTATTTATAAACAGTGATGAGACTTTTTGATAATTTTGAAGTTGCAACATTGTTTTACTTCCTGTGCAGTTTGATGTTGTTTTCAAAGGAGTCAAGTGAAGTACCATATTTCCTGATGTATAAGACTTCATTGTTCTGCGAAATTGCCCCTAAATTTGTCTTATACACCAGTGAACAGAAAACAAAAACATTTCTTAGTCTCTCTTTCCTAAACCATAATGCATCATGTAGATTCTTCTGTGCATAATGCATCTTGTACACCAGGAAATATTGTACTTGGAAATTATATCATCTAATTATGTACTAGATTTCTAAGAGAAGCTGTAGAGAATGGTGAAATGTATGTGTGATGGTTGTCCATTTTGTATAAATATACTAAACAGTTTTCAGATTAATAATAACATTAAATATAAGAATGATAATTTATAGAAGATTTCAGGCTTTCACAGTGGTTGCATGTTAATGTGGATCTTTTATTGGGTTATAGTACCCTGTAGGTACAGACTGTATTACTGACATTATGGGGGATTTTATTGTCTTTTCTTCTATAAGTACTACTATCAGCAGAGGTCATTGTATAGTGTCTTTGCCTGGGTGTCAGCATTATAGTTTTCAGTTACACAGTGACATAACCGAGAAACAGGATCCACATTAATGTTAATACATGCATGCATTCATTTTGAACTGTAGAGTGCTTCCATTTCAAGGCACTTTGAGACATGCATATGGACTTCCTAAATGCACATTTCTAGTAAAGAAAATATGGCTGGAAGTCATGGGTAAATGAATATGTACATATTTACTGATTGAAAGGATTAACAGATGCTCCTGTTTGTGTATGCTTGGTTAATAATCTGAGGATACAGAAGCAATCAGACAAATTATGTTTGATATCTATCCATTTAATATTACATTGTAGCATCAAGTTCTTTTGTCTTCTCATCTGTTGTCCAAAAACATAAAAATTAGAATATACAAAACTAATTTTGCCTGTGGTTCTGTATGGCTGTGAAACTTGGTCTCTGACATTAAGGGAGGGTGTTTGAGAATAGGGTGTCGAGGAGAATATTTGGACCGAAGAGAGATGAAGTGACAGGAGGTTGGAGAAAACTGCATAATGAAGAGCTTCATAACTTTTGCTTTTCTCCAAGTATAATTAGAATGATCCAGTAAAGTTGAATGAGATGGGCAGGCCATGTAGCACGAATGGGGGAGAAGGGGGAATTCATATGTGATATTGGTGGGAAGCCAGAAGAAAGAAAGACCACTGGGAAGACCAAGATGTAGGTGAGTGGACAATATTAAAATGGATCTTAGAGAGATAGGATGGGATGTTATAATTGGATTTATCTGGCTCAGGATAGGGACCAGTGGAGGGCTCTTGTGAACATGGTAATGAACCTTCAGGTTTCATAAAATGCTGGGAAATTCTTGAGTAGCTGCATAATTGGCAGCTCCTCTAGAAGGGCTCAGCTCCATGAGTAAGTAAGTTGTAGCATCATGTTACACTTTTCACTTAGTGTTAATTAGTTCTACAGTCATATGTGCAACAGTTTATTAAAACTTACTAAAATCTAGTCACGTCAGAAGTTTTTACTAGATGTTTTGACCATAGTTGTTATCATCAGGTGGTAACAGTTGTGGGTAAGGAAACTTCTGTCTTCCTGCATTGATGTATGGTTCTCCTAGCGCGCGTGTGTGTGTGTGTGTGTGTGTGTGCGCGTGCATGCATCACAACGCCCACATCAATGGAGAAAGACAGCAGTTTCCTTAGCCACAACTATTAACACCTGATGATGACCACTTAGGTCAAACACGCTGTAAAAAAAGTTTTAATCTGTTTTAATAAATTGTTACACATAAGACTGTAGAACTAATTAACATCTATACCCTTTTTTTTTTCCCCAGAGACATTGTGGTGCTCTATAATATGCTTACATTTCTGTGCCATTGGTTTTATTCTTAGACAAGAAGTGACTGTTTTAGAATTTTACTCTGTTCTAGCTCAAATAATATTGCATTTTTGTTTCTAGGACAGGGTTCTGTCGAAGGTTTAGCCTATGAGGCAGTTAACAACATGCTCTATTGGACGTGCAACAATGATGCAACTATCAGTAGAGTAAATCTTACAAACAATGAGACTAAAGTGGAGCAGGTAATCAGACTGGGACCAAATGACAAACCCCGAGGCATTGATGTTGACAGCTGTAACATGTATGTACATATATCCTTATTTCTTTATTAGTGATGTCAGATGTGTGGAAAAAGCCTCTGTATGAAGTACCTCAATTTAACGAAAATGTCGGTACAAAGGCATTACACATTGACCTTGCCTATATTACCTTGGAAATAAAGTTGATTGTCACTTGATAGACCATTGTTGGTAACTGAATCACAAACAACTGTGAACTCTGTCTAACCAGTAAAGCTGGTTTTGACAGAAGCAGCATTTCACATTTGGGCTCCTAGTACACACTACTGTTATTTTCCTAGAGACATCATCTGTGTTATTTTATTTAGGGGTACAGTCTTCATAGACGAGTGGTATTGAATCAGAACTGTTGCGGTCATTTTTGAGTGTGTGACCATTTTGTTTTGAGTCTCATTTAAAGAGACCCTATTTTTGATACTAGAATGTTCAGATTTGCTGGGCTTCTAACCCATATTAGATAAACTCATAAAAGTTGAATATGAATTAGATCTGTCTTTCTGTTCAGGCACTACTGAAGTCACATCCACACACACACACACTTAAGTACATGCAAATGAACAGTTTTCTGAACGCCACGGGGGGAAAGGGGCCTGAAAATGTGCAAGTCCATCAACACTTTGAGAGTCATTGTTTTCATAATCAAAGTATTTNATTATTATTATCATTATCATTATTAGTGGGGTGAGACTGAGCCCACTTGGTTATGAAGGCACTGTCAGCCTATTGTACAAGCCCCAGCTGATAGATGATGGTAATTATGTAGCAATTGGTGGAATGAAGATTGACAGGAAAACCAAAGCACTTTGAGAAAACCTGCCCTAGTGCCACTTTGTCCACCACAAGTCCTACATAACCTGACTCGGGCTCAATCCCAGGCCATTTCAGGGCATCTCTATAGTAGAGGCTGGAGCAGAGACATATTAAAACTGCATGTTTTCAAATGTGTTTTTAGAGTACAGGGTTTGAACTTCAGATGTCTCAGATATCACATTTAATTTCCATTGCATAGCATAAACCTTTATATTTTCATGCCTATATATTGCATTCTTTATCTTTAAGTGCTGTCATTGTTTAGTTTCTTTAGTGATTAAAAGTTAGGTTTGCATTGCAGGATAATTCATTATTGTCGAGAAAATAAAATGGATGAAAATTGAGTACTGCTGTATACAGGTTGCTATAATGAGCAAGATTGACTAAACGTAATTTTGTTTCATCGTACAGATTTTCCAGGTTACTGAACTTTGCTATAATGCAATTTCTGTGAGTAATGACATTTGGATGTGAAACATTTCTCTCAGTTTAGTAAAGTATGGAGAACATTATGATCATGAAATGCAAGTTATAAAATACATTTTTCCTTACATCTCTCTTTGAGCAGCAGTAACGATATGAAACTGTATAATTCATTTGATAACGGTCTTTTCAGGCACATATATTGGACCAACTGGAATTCTCACAATCCAGCCATTCAGAGAGCACATTTCACTGGATATGACATGGAGAGCATCATCACAACTGACATCCGTATGCCAAATGCTCTTACCTTGGACCATAAAGCACAGAAATTGTACTGGGGTGATGCTAGGCTAGACAAAATAGAACGAACAGATTATGATGGTTCAAACAGAGTGGTGAGTTAGTTAATTTAATGAAACAAATATAAGAAGAGTTTTGTCTTCGGGGTTGTATCATCACATAATCCAATAGAATTTCAGTGACTTGGAGCAACATACTGCCTCCATCTTCATGGTTGAAGAACAAGCCAAGCAATAAGCAGGGCAACATCCCAGAAGACAGAGAACACTGACAAAATCTCAGATTCAGCAAACAAATATTTATTTCTCATCCCTCAGATATGATCATGGTGATTTCACCTTGCCAGTAAAAGTGCCAAACACTTTCATATGGAAAACCCAGAGAAAGTATAATACAGAGTAACTCATCTGTGTTGTGAAGAAAATTTTCTTTCTGCCCCCTTGTGCCTGTATGGGCCCCTCCTCTTTAACCTATTGAGCATCCAGAGGTAAAAGAAGGAAAGATAATGTCCTTGACTGGATAGTACTAAATCTACACAGAATTAACAATAAAGACACAATATTCATTATTGTGGAGATAGTGGAAAGTTTGATGAATGGTATGGAAACAATTTTTGCATGTTTTATTCACTTTCATTCCAGGCCTTCTTATTATGTCTTGGCCAGAAACGTTGACAGAATTTACTTCAGCAACAGCTATAATTTGGCCTTAACTTTTGAATATGTTCATTTGTATGCAGGTTAAAAAGTGTGTGACCTCTCTACTTTAATTACTGAATTACTACTAACGTTCCCGTTTTGCAAATATGAACATTCCCAGTGGATAATAAATATCAATATGGTTAGTTATAATTTCACAATGAAGAACTTTCATAACACATTTTGTTGTAAAGGTACTTGAAATATTGGATTTGTATTGATACAATGGCAGCGTCCAGCACTTGTGTTTATATCCTTATTTTGTCGTGTGGTTAATATGGATGTATAAGTGATGCATTTGATGATTGGTGCTCAGAGCACTTCTGCCTGTGTCCATTTGTAGACTTTTGGGTGTCTAGTGCAACAGGAGGACATTACATCACACATCGGGATTGCTACCTAAACAAGCAAATATCTGAGCTTTCCTCTTTTCCTGTCAGCAGAAAGAACTTGAATGCCTGAATGACCTGTGCTGATGCTTAAGTTCATTCTCCATTAGTTCCTCAGTCCACTTTGTTGACTGGCCCCAAAATGCTGGTAGTGTATATGCTTTGCTTTGTTTTAGATCCTGGCTAAAGTTACCCCACAGCACCCATTTGATCTGGCTGTGTACGGTGACTATATTTTCTGGACAGATTGGGTACTTCATGCAGTAATTCGTGCTAATAAGTACACGGGTGAAGATGTTGTATGGCTCAGAAAGGAAGTGCCAAGACCAATGGGCATAATTGCTGTTGCTAATGACACAAATGATTGTGAGTTCACTGAGACCTTAACTGCTGTCTTATGTATGATCATTTTACCTTTTTATTGATAACAAAACCTTCAACTGAATGAGGGCAGCTGAGTGTATATTTGAGGGGTACATTATTTGAATTCCAGCTAGTACCAGCTATAATCACTTCAGTCCTGATTGTTTTCCTCAGTCTTTATGCCTTCATATTCATTTTTCAAGTTACTGTAGCCATTCATATGCACAAATAACTTTATCTACCTGCCCTGTACACTGAACTTTATAGCAGAGAAAGAAAGATACAGGTGATTGCATGGTTTATTTACTTATTAATTAGGTTATTTGATTTAACCTTTATGAGCCTAGCGACACTGTATGGAGACCTTTAAAGTGTAGCTGAGTGGCAATCCATGTGTGCGCACAGTATTTTAAAATCTAATTTTAAGATAGAAATTCTTGATCTACTTACATTATTTTTGGGCACCCACTTTATAAGTAGACGTCACAATTCATGACTTTGTCCATATGTAACTCTGTTTCCCACGCGAAAAGCACGCATGACGCCTCAGTCTTGAATTAGAGGAAGTCAGCCAGTGATGTCAAGTGGCCTCCTCTAATCGTAACGCTTATAAAACATCACAATTTCAACTATCCACCATGGCCTCTTTTCACATGGAAGAAGCTGAAATTGAGAGGCAGCTGATAATACGCTTCCCATGCTTGAGTGTGAGTGGGGTGAATATGGATTGAAGGAATGTTTTTCCAGCTTGTATAAATGACACCGATTCGGACTGCGGTACAGACGACTCTGAAAGTGGCGAGGAAGCAAGGGGGCAATGCAGGCTATTCTGAGAACAGTACCTCTGTGTGGCTAGTCCGAGATATACACAGTCAGAGTTTCTGAAGGACAACGTACGATAAGACTTCGACCACACTTGTTCATACAGAACGGTTCCAACGTGACTGGAAAATGTGCAATACAAATATAAACCTCCACCCCTTTTGCCAGATAAGACATAGTAAGACAGGATGTCAGCAGCATGCATTTATACTGCAGAAACTGTATGCATATTTGTTGACAGACGCTTGAAATTGGGGAAAAAATTTTTTTGGAATCAGTGTAACAATTTTTACAGATTTTAAAATCTGTAGATTACGGTATCTGATTCTATATTCTTTCTAGATAAAAGCAGCATTTATTCGTTCGTTTATCACAAAAATTGTAGAAATCACAGCATTTTCAGTAACATGCTTACAATTTGTAATACTCTATGATGGCGGACATTTAAATTAACTCCAGCTTGCTGCCATTACCGGAATTTAAATGGCCCATCTCTTGAAAGGTTAAGGGGAGGCACTTATAGGTAATAAAGGTAGGATTGGTTGTAAGAAGTTGGGTAATCGTGTGAAGTAGATCAGCTAAAGGTAGCCTTCTCCTGACTGGTGAATTTAGTAGGAAAATTGATAAGGATCTGGTAGGATGGGCAGAGCTTAATAGAATGATAATGTCTCCATCCAGCGTCAGTTGACGACAATAACTTCAGCGGCCTGACACTACTGTCATTGCTGAATGATCACAGTTGTAAGAAAGGTGTGCTTTAATTGGAATTCCAGGTCACACAATTATACTTTACACTTCCATACACTTTGGTGGGTCTGAGAAACTAAACTGGATTTAAAAGGAGATGTAACATGCTTTAATAACCCCAAAATTTAACTTCTTCATGTTGTTTCATTACATATCACTTAAATCATCTGGGCCAGAATACTTTAATGAAAATCGGCAATAAATGATCTTTGTCCAGGTTCTGCGGCTGTCATATGTAGTTGGTTTAATTTAGAAAAGGAGCACATTACAAACACATCTGACACCAACGAAGTCAAAAACTCAGGTCCCCTATACACTTGTAGGTGTCAACATTCCATCCTCTCTTGAGCAGTTTCAGTCTGAAGCAAACATTCCGACAAATGCTTGTGTCTCATTGGTCACTTAGAACTGATCCATTTACAACTTACAGGGTGCATTGAAACTCAGCACACTGAGACAATAAATTACTTTAAAAAATCACCCCTGTCACACCTTTCCCCAAGACTAGTTGTGACCCCTCAGTGTCACACTCAGACTTCTGTTACCAGAATAGTCCGCAAAGCAGTATGTTGCATCTTTTAAGTTTCATCTGAATCCAGAACATTAAAAACAATGCAGTATGTCACACAGGCACAAATATTCAATATCAGAATTCCTTGAATAATAATATGCAGAATTGACATTGTAAATAAGAAGTCAGTTACTATAAACCATACTTAAATATTAATGTAATTTGGGCAGTTACATTATTATCCATTTCATATTAGGGAAGGTGTACATGTATATAATAATGCACACACACTACAAATTGTAAGTCCATTTTTTATAAAATAGCTATTTTCTCAGAAATCAGATTGAAGAAGTGTATGTTACATTGAATCTGATGAATCTACTAATTTCAGCTATCCTCAAATTATACTAGGAGTCATTGCTAGTGTCAGTGAAAGTGAATAAATGTAAGACATAGAACATCAGAAACAGCATTATTTTATTTGCTAACAAAAATGTAATTACAGTGGAACCTCGCTTAACGAGCATAATTTGTTCCAGAATCTTACTCTTAATGCGAAACACTTGTTAAACGAAACAATCTTACCCACATAAATTAATGTAAAATACGATAACGCGTTCCATGCCAAAAAAATACTCAAAATGTTTTATGTATAACGTTTATTCAAAGAAAATCATATATACATTGTTAAGGAGTGTGAATCATCTTCATCTTTTCTTCTATGCGGAATGAACCAACCTGGAATGCGAATTCGATTTGCAGAAAACAAAAGAAAAATCCATATGAGGAACAACCTTTCAACATCGTCAGGAATACGTAACTGTTGCATAGATATTCTTGTCACTCCCTTTGAGGCATCTATCTCCTTAATCTTGTCCTTGTTCTTGAGGATAGTGCAAAACGTTAATGTAGACTGATTGTATGTGAGTGCTGGATCAGCCATGCTCACACCACATTCTCGCTTTTCAGTGATTTTACATTTCATTTCTACGGTTATTTTTATTCTCTTATGGCTGTCTTTTTTGCGGCTTTTTCTTCTGGAACATTTTTGCAAGTGCTATTAAACTTTGCACAAAAAAAATCACAAATAATATGACTGAAAACAAGTTTGGAAAAATGTGTGATCAAGCGACACTAAGATGCTAGCGGAACGAGTGCTAAACACAAACTGATGCAGCAAGCGCACAATCCGGGACTTTCCCGCTCGTCACTCGTTATGCGAAACATCGCTCATTAAGCGAGTCATTTTTTTGCAATTTGTTTTGCTCGTTATGCGAATTACTCATTATGAGAGGTGCTCATTAAGCGAGGTTCCACTGTACTTCTTTCAAGGATCTTTAATGTAAATGTTAATGGAATGAATTGTGACAGATCGTTGACCACTTTTGGTACACTGTAAAATAGCCCAGTTAATTATGTTCCTTCACATAATATACCATCAGCATTTTAACCCATAATGTTATTATGTATGCACCTATTCCAAAATGCATGACATGTACAAGGTTTATAAGTCATTAATATGTCTACAGTTCAATTCAAAAACTGGATCGTGAACTGTTGACCCTAATGATCCTTCTTGGTGGCTTTCATCTGAATTGTGCTTTATCATCTTAGCATTCTACTGTCAAACTGGTGTTCCTCTTTGTTGTGGTATTTAATAAAATCGATTGTATTTACTTGTCACGCCAGGCCTAGCAAATAAATGCCTGATCGAGAATGGTGGATGTGAAGATGAGTGCCGTCTTGATGAAGCAGGAGAAGTTGAATGCCACTGTTTCTCTGGCCGTACCTTGATGGAAGATGCTCAGAGATGTACCAGTGAAAATGCAAGCTGTAAAGCAGAAGAATTCCATTGCTCAGCTGGAGGTTGCATCCCTTACCATCTGACCTGTGACACAGTCTCAACATGTGAAGATGGCTCTGATGAAGATCCCGTTTTTTGTGGTATGTTTGTCTCTTGTAGTCAGTGTTAATAGACATCATTTCAGAAATGTTCATACATTATAGAAACTTCTTCACAAAGTTGTGTCTGTAGTGCAAGCACAGAAGAATCTGAATCTTAATCTTCAATGAAGCCATTATATTGAAATGGTGGTGACATTTATTTCAGATATGGGGCTTATTATGCCATATAATATATTATTGCAAGTGTACAGTATTATTTATCATATATGGTCTCTTACAGCATATTTACGTTGGCTGTTTTCTCGACATGTTTTGACATCTACAATGTCATCTTAAGGGGTGTGTATTTTTATTTTACAAACTGAACATTCATTCAAGATTATTGTGTTTGTTTGTATACGCTCATGAACATTTCAGATGCTTAAACAACCACAGAAAATAACTCTGAACTAATGTTTAGTTTGTAACATAACTGTATAGCCCTGAAGATGATGTAGATGTTTAAAGATGTAGGGTAAACAGCCAACTGAAATATGTTGTAATTGACCGTATATGATAACTAAACTGACTCAATGGAGCTGAACCCTTCTTGAGAAGCCATTGGTTTTGCAGCCACTCAAGAACTAACCAACATTTTACAGAACTTGGAGGTTCATTGACATGTTCACAAGAACACTCCACTGGTCAGTATCCTGAGCCAGATCGATCCAGGCCATACCACCCCATCTTATCTCTCTAAGACCCATCTTAATATTAGCCTCTAACCTATGTCTCGATCTTCCTAGTGGCATCTTTTCTTCTGGCTTTCCCACCAAAATCTTATAGGCATTCCTCTTCTTTCTCATTCATACGACATGCCATGCCCATCTCATCCTCCTTGACTTTGTCACTCTAATTATACTGGGTGAAAAGTAGAAGTTGCAAAGCTCCTTGTTATGCAGGTTTCCCCTACCTTCTCTATCACTTCATCCCTCTTTGGTCCATACATTCTCCTCAACACCCTGTTCTCAAACATCCTAAATCTGTGTTCTTCCCTTAATGTTGGAGACCAACTTTCATACCCATATGAAACCAGAGGCAAAATTATGGTTTTGTATATATAATTTTTACATTTTTAGATTGCAGAGTAGGAGACACAAGGTTCTGGGCTGAATGGTAGCAAGCATTACCCAAATTTAGTCTCCTCTGAATTTCCTCTTGATTCAGATAAAACATACAAAACCAGAGGCAAAATTGTGGTTTTGTATATATAATTTATACATTTTTAGATTGCAGTGTAGAAGACACAAGGTTCTGGGCTGAGTGGTAGCAAGCATTACCCAGATTTAGTCTCCTCTAAATTTCCTCTTGATTCAGATAAAACATACAAAACCAGAGGCAAAATTGTTGTTTTCTATATTTAATTTTTACATTTTTAGATTGCAGAGTAGAAGACACAAGCTTCTGGACTGAATGGTAGCAAGCATTACCCAAAATCAGTCTCCTCTAAATTTCCTCCTGATTCAGACTTTGATGTGTTACTGCCATTCCCAAATATTTTAATTGTGGCACATATTTAAAAGATTTGTTAGCTGTAAGTATGTCATGATTTTGCCTACGTTCTGGTGACAAGACAGTAACATATGGTTTGCTCTTCATTTACCTCCACACCAACCTCCTTAGCATCAGTTAGAGCTTCTGTGTTTTTCTTCACGGTATCTATGTTATCTCACAATAGATTCACATCAGCATAGACTAGCAGCTGATATATCCTACTTAATTTTAGTCCCACCTAGTTTTCCTTGAACTTTCTCATGGCATATTCTAAATTAAAGTTTAAAAGCAATGGCTTGTTTTAGAACATTTTGAATATGAAATGTGTCAGACAAATGTTTACCTGTACAGACTTTACTGTAAGTTTCTCTTAAACACATTTTAGTCAGCCCAATTAGTTCCATGGGTACTCCAACCTGTATGAGAGTATTGTGCAGCAGAATCGTAAGCTTACTACAAATAAGGTCTCATTGCAGTCCCCACCCCCACCTTTTCCCCAGTATCTGACATGTGCAAAAAAAATCTGATACGTTGTTGATCTTTTACATTGAAACCCACAAACATGATCCCCAATAATTTTGTCTGTTTATGGACTTGACTTTGAGAGAAGGATATTGGATACAATTTTGCATGAAGTTGATAACAGTCGGGATAATTATTACAGTCAGTTCTAGTGCCCTTCTTGTGAATTGGTACAATAACAGACTCCATCCACATACCAGGCAGTTCTTCCCTATTCCAAATAGAATTAATGAGTTTATGGATCTCAGACTGTAGTTTCTCACCTCCTGCTTGAATTGGTTCTGCCAGAATTTGATCACTATCTGGCAATTTATACCTTTTCAACTTTGCAAGTAGCAGTTTCAGAAAAAAGTACTAGGAGCAGGTACTAAACGGCTCACCTATATGTGTTTTAATCTGCCTAACTTTACTGACACCATGTGCATTCAGTAGCTGAGAGAAGTAGTTGTTCCACCTATTCAAAATATTGTGGGAATCTGCAAGCAGATTCTAGTGCACTAGCTGCATGCACACAGCAACTGTGCAACTACACAGGCTGTGTGATGTGTTTACAGTCAAAGGGACATATATAAGAGAAATCAACATTCACACCAGCACCCATGAACTACACAAAATATAAGCACATGCATGCTGTTAAAGATTGGGCAAATAGGTTCATAAGAAGATTGGAATTAACTGCTTATATAAATTGAATATTGCTGACCTATTTAAAGTGAATTTTTCATTTTCATTTTCATTTTAATTAAGGAATACCGATAATTGGCTACATGGAATTGTGACATAGAGTACAGTACAACAGTTTAGCATAATGACAGACACTGGATGATGGCCATGTATGGCTGAAACATGTCATGAATGAAGAATTGAAGTGACTGTAACGTTTTATTGCATTAGTGACGGAAATATACATCGTATGAAATAATTGTTTATATTTGTGCAACAGGATGCTTAAATACAATATTATGAATTTGTAAATTAGTTATAGTGATTTACAAACATGTAACAAAATTCATATTGTGGTTTCATGAGTTATAACACCATGCCAGCTGGTGGGGGGCACCAATACTTTAGGGTAAACACTGTCTCACTCTTCTTCTATTCTGTAAATGGAGATATTATGTACCTCAGAAACATGAGACCCACTGAGCAGGGTACACAATATCATAATCTGGAAGAGTATGTTACAGATTTTTACTGCTGCAGGACCCCTAATTTGACATTTAAAAACATATTCACAGCCCTGCGCACATGTCCACCTGGCTACTTCCAGTGCCGCAACAATCGCTGTGTGTCAAGTAACCAAACTTGCAACCAGGTGAATGACTGTGGTGACCTCAGCGATGAACTTAGTTGCTCGTGTTCAGATGATCACTTCCTCTGTGCTTCTGGTCAGTGTATCCATGCCAGTCTCCGCTGTGATAATGAACCTGACTGTACAGATGCAAGTGATGAAATGCATTGTGAGAGTGAGTATAGTGTGTTTCGTTCAGATGATAACAGCTGATCTGGGCTGCAGCTTTACATTCTTGCTGCCAGGCTCTTTCATTAAACTTAAGCAACACGTGCAAGACAAGCAGAAAGTAAACTAAACTAAATGAAAACTAAATATGTTATTTGGTTATGCCATCTCTCACCATATACAGTGAAACCCCCATTTAAGCTTTATCTGGGAAGCAATGAGTTGAACATGAAACTGAGACAATTTATTACTGAGATTATTGAAATTCAATGTTGAGTGAGGGAAAGACCTTAAATCAGGGAACACTGAAAGGGGGTTCCTTTGTATTGTCATGTATATGAGTGATTGCCGACGAGGTTTTGGATTTATCGACCATTTTAGCACATGACTCATGACTACACTTAATTATAGCGCCATTGCTAATTTCCACAGGTTACAGATCACGACAGCAGTGGTGATATCCGTTCTATGTAGAACATGGTGAACTCTTTAAATCATGTTACTGTTAGCATGTATTGATTTGTAAAAAGTGAACTACATCTAAACATACGTTAAATGTTCTGCCCAGCAAGATATTTTTATGCAATTCGTAATGTTACATTTCCCAACATTGGAATGTGATGGAAGAAACAAAATCTAGGTTGTAAATATCAGAATAGCTGCCTATGCTACTATTTACAGTTTCTGTATTAGTACCTGGCTACAAGCTAAATCTGAATGTTTGTGACAGTGGCCAGTAATTGCTTTTTTATTTGTATTTTTTATATGGTACACTGTCCCAATTTTTTGTAGAAACTGCATTTCAGTAATTGGCTTTGTTTACAGAATGTTGTGGTTTATAAAAACTGGAATGATGGGATGTCTGAAAGTTTACTTGGTCACTGTTTAAACCACAGTGTTTAATCTGATGTTTACAGTATATACTTACATTGGTTCCAGGATCACGGAATTGTTCAGAAGTGACAACTTCAGGGATACCCTGCAACTATACCACATCTTGCATTCATGTGAATTGGATCTGTGATGGAGAAAATGACTGCTGGGACAACAGTGATGAAGAGAACTGCGATCATCATGCAAGTAAGATATGAGAGACAGGCGTGTGAATATATTGCCTAGAAATTTCAGTCACACATAAAGTTGGCATTCTCTCAGATTCTGCTGGATATTGAAAAACACGCTTTTTCTGTGTCATGTAATGCAACATTCACATGACACACAGAACATTTCTTCAGGTTGTCATGTTTTACATCGTAACTGTCATGGTTTAAATTGATTTCCCCATCAATTATTGCCATAGCACTTGTCCATGAATGGTGTGACCTCACAATGAAAGTGAACTGGATACTTTTGTCACTGAACCTTTCTGATGCAAATTCCCTTAAGCAACACAACAGTATCTATTAGAACTGGTATAAATCATGGCCAGGAGAACTCATTTGAATTAGTGACATGCTACAAGTTAGCCAGGGTACAGTGCCCAGCAGGGGTAAGATATTCTTCTCTACTACACGTTATGCAGACTGATTCTGGGGTTCACTCAGCCTCCTATACAATTAGTACCAGGAGCTCTTTTCCCAAAGGTAAAGTAGCAGGAGTTATACCTTCTTTCCCCCATATGTCTCCATGGCATACTGCATAATTGGTTAAGCACAGAGACACCTTTGCATTTACCATACCTTAATGGCATACATCAGTAATAAAACGAGTCATGTGTCATAAACCAGTATGTGGATATGGCTGTAAATATTTATTTTTTCTAAGCGTTAACATCAGATAGAAGTTTTATCTTTGGGAAAAGTGTCCCAGATGCTCATTGGATAGGATGTTGGGTTTACCTCAGAGCCAGTCTGCACATGGTGGTGACAAGGAAAATCCTTATCTCTGCTTGCAATTGAATCTTCGTCATCCTCTTTACTGTCGAGTGTACTCACTTTAGTGACTGATGTGTTAATAATCAAACTTTAATTCCAACATTGAATTTAATTAATTATTTAAATTACCTCTTTGCTGTTTGTTTCTAGATATTTTAGAAGAAATATTTGAGAAGTAAGAATTGAAATAAATGGAAAAATAATAGAACAGGTATCTGGTTTTATTAGCTTAGGAAATATGATTTCAGAACTAAAAGACCACAAGGCAAGTGGTATAATTAAAAGAAATTTGGGAAGACAGATGTCAGTGTAATAGTTATGCCTACATAACATCATATCAGCAGTAACCACAGTAATTAGCGGTAGCACAAATTAATTTTTTTAATTCCAGTCCTGGCTTCATTAGATTAGAGTAGGAAAAGAAATTTGGACATCAGAGGAACATTGAAACCTATAAAAGACTTTGTGGCATGTAGTCCACAAGCGAACTATACCAACCAAGCAACTGCTTGCCACTTGTCGGCAAAGTTAGTGCCAACTTTTTGCAGATAGAGGGTGTCACATGGCCAGTGCGATGGATCCCCATGGCTATTAATGTCTGTTTTCTAGACTGGAGCCACTGTTTCATTGAAATAGCTCCTCAGTTATCCTCACGAGGCTGAGTTGACCCCATTCCGGACCCACTACTTCTCAGAAAATCTGGTAGCTGGGATTCGAACCTGTGACCTCCGAATCTGTTGCCAGGAACTCTGTCTACTATACCATAAAGGCGGTCTGAAACCTATAACTGTAGTTGAAAAATCAGTGATACCAACAAAATTGGAAACAGTGGGAAGAGGCTTTCTATTACTGACCAAGGGGATTGCTGAGACTTATGATAATATAAGCATCACTGGAGAGACTGAGACTGAGAAGCAGAATTTAACTACCTGTTCCAACATACTGTATAAGCCCAGTGGTTAGAGCTCCTGGCTACAGATCCAGAAGTCCCAATTCGATTCCCAGCGCTACCATATTTTCTGAGAAGTAGTGGGTCTGGAATGGGGTCCACTCAGCCTCATGAAGATAGAGCTATTTCAAGGAAATAGCTGCTCCAGTCTAGATAACCGAGTTTAATGGCCATGTGGATTCGTTGCGCTGACCACACAACACCCTCTATGCACAGAAGTTGGCACTAACTTTGGCGACAAGTGGCAGTCACTTGGTTGGTATAGGTTTGCTTGCAGACTACAGGCCATGGAGTTTTTTTATTTGTTGCCATATAGTCAGGCTAAATTGCTAGTTCATGCCTGTTAAAACCATCATCATCATCATCATCGTTATTGTTGTCGGCTTGGTTGTTGTATTTTATGTTGTAATGTTCTTGTCCAGCAATACTTCGCTTTTTAGCTGCTCAGGTATTGTAATTGTGTATCTGTGTGCTGCACTTTTTATAAAACTTTTGTATTGTATTCCACCATGAGGTTATAATGTTATGTAAGATCTTGGGGAAGTTGTCCAGTAATTGCATCACTCTGTGTGTTGTGCAGCAACATTTGCCCCACAGCAGTGTTCTCCTAACCATTTCCGGTGCGCTAATGGCCACTGCATCATGAAGTCATGGCAGTGTGACAAAGACAATGATTGTGATGATGCAGTTGGAGGTGAACCAAGTTCTGATGAGAAAAACTGCTGTACGTATTCTGTTGTTTCATCATTCATATATTTCAACTTGCTCATAGAAATGTGTTTCAAGTAGGAAGTTCTTTATAAGAACAAAACATACCCTGGGTACAATCCTGTGATTTTTTATGTGTATCAGATGTTATCACAGCAATTATATTCTGTATTTGAGACATCTGTGGCCTGAAATTATGTGAATTTAAGTCCAAGTTCTTGCCTGGCTATGTGGCTCTTGCTGGTTCAGCCACCTGCAATTATCCCCATCAACTGCCCTTAAGAATTGGGGTAGGGCATGGAAAACCATAGAAAAAGGTTTTTCTGCTCAGCTGAGCTTCAGGGAATGAAAAGTCTTCTACAAAGTTATGAGGCTTTGGGCCACAAAATAATGTAGTGAAATCTACAGAAATTTACTTCTCAGCTGAAACAGTCTATAATGAAATTCCGATTACTGGTAATGTAACAGTATTACCCAAACTCAGAGCAGTATAATTTTCCAATCCTGCTCACAGTCAGCTGACTTTCATCCATAGGACTAAAACTAATGTCCGCAGTCTTTGAGGAGCTGTAATGATCTTGTCTGTTTTCTGAGTAACTACTTACGCTTTGCTGGTTTTGGGGTTCTTCTTACTTCCTAGGTAATGGCAACTGAACGACTAGTTGTTACTGTATTCCATAGCACAGTACTCTACCAATAGACAGTTGTATAGGTGTGCTGGGTCCAGTTACAACATCTGTATAGAGGATTGCATATGAGGATAGTGCACAGCTGTATTATTTTAATGGTGTAATTACTATTGTGACATATTTGCCAAAAGCTGAGGCCTGTTGCTAGGTACTGGTGCAATGAACACATCTCAGCGACAGCAATGATGTGAAGCAACTCCAGGAAGCATTATTTTCTGAGCAGCCTGCCGTAACTGCCACATCATACTTTAACAGTGTGGCTGTGAGAAGAGGTGTTTTCTGTAGGGTCCACCCGAGGTTGTATCTGGAGTATCAAAACACAGCTGAGACAGTCCAGTAGAAGTTGAGTTTCGAGGCAGGCAGTCTGGGACAGTCACTTGGCAGACACGTGGGAGACAAAGGAGCCCCAATTGTTGGAAGTTGAGTAGTCAGTGGTTAGCAGTCTCAGAAAGAAGGTCCTAGGCCCTAGGGAGGACACCAGCAGCAAAACAGTACAGTCTGGAGTTAGCTGTTAGGTAGTGCAGTCCTTCAGCCTTAAGGGTATGAGTTAGAAGGCCTTTGTTAGGAGACTAACCAGGCAATGCCTAGTTGAGTTGTGAGATAGATGTCAGCCAATTACAACAGGAGCCGTTGAACATCAAAGCTGAGGAATCTACAGCATTAGGAGCTGGTACCAGACAACAACTTGTGAAGAGACAATAGCCTTAGAAAATTTTGTGCATGCTGGTGTGAATTAGTGATAGGGCAATAATTACTTGTAATTCCGAGTTTTAAGTGTGCATTAAATCCAGTTACCAATCCACTCTCAGTGTATAGTCACTTAACACGTGACAACACTAATATTTTTATGAGCCAGTATTTCATATATCAGATGTTGATATTCTGACTTGCAGGTGTCATTACATAAAGGTTAGCGAATGTTTAAAATGTTATGGCCATTCACATGAAGGAATGTAAGTCACTGCTTAGAGCAATGTTGCAGTAACTGTAACGTAATTAATTGAGAAGTATGTGCCAGTATCATTTCCACTAAACAGAAAAAATAATGATAGCGATCTATATAATGCTGACAGGAACTGTTTCGCTTACAGATTGAATAATCCTTGTTTCTTGTGCATTTCCAGCATACCTCTGTCGTCCAGATCTGTTTAAGTGCAACAATTCTGATTGCATCCCTTCAACTTGGCGTTGTGATGGCATTCCTGATTGCTCTGATGGATCTGATGAAACTGAACAGTGCAGTGAGTAACATGCTCAGAAGAAAAGACCAAATTAGATATTATGATTGTAGTGAGACAGAACTTCAGCTCTTATCTATCAGCAAATACCAGTCTTTAATTTTGACACTTCTTTTTGTACCCAGTCAAAAATTGTTTAACGATTTTTGAATTGCAAGAGAGAGAAGCGGGATTTTATGATGAAGGTTTCTGTCCTCTTGGATGTGATGAGTGACCTTGAGGGAGTTAACCAACAGTTTGGAGGGCAGAGAATGATGGTAGCACATTCCTCTAAATCATGAGTAATGTTCTTCGAGACTTCATGTCCTCACTCCCTAGAAGACAGTAATCTTTTTTTTGGGGGGGGGGGTACTGTTATCTTCTTTTTCAGTTTGTATACCTCATTGGGCTTGGGGTTAAGTTCACTGGAAATGTAAATCTCCTGTACTTAACTAGTCACATGGTATAGTTTAGTTAGGAATCATTTTACATTTACCTTGTCAAGTTGGGTTTAGTTAGTTTAGGTTAGTTTGTTTGTGCATTGATGGGAAGCTAAACTGGATCTTAGAGAAACAGAAAGGAAGGATGTGGATCAGTTTCATTTCATTCACTATGGGGACCAGTGGCAGACTTTTATGAATATGATGAACCATTTGGTTCATTCAGAGGCAAAGAATTCTTTAAGTAGCTGAGCTACTGATATCAAATAACAGGATAATTTATGAATAATTAATAAAAATTATGAGACTTACATGCTGCCTGCTGTGCTATGTGGTAGTGTAGTTGGTTGAGGGGCTATGCTACAAGCCAGAAGGTCACGTGTTCAAGTCCCGATGAGGTCATTGAATTTTTTCTCTTGACCTAATCCTTCCAGCCGCACTATGGCCCTGGGGTTGACTCAGCCTCTAACAGAAATGAATACCAGGAATTAAATAATTTTCTTGGTGAGTAAAGCGCAGCTGGCGCATAAGGCTGACAACCTTGCCACCATCTTTGAGCCGATTATCTAGATAATGTGGGACCCTCAACGTCTCACAACCCTATGAGCCTTCACGGCCTGGTACAGGGATAGCTTTACTTTTTTTTTTAATAAAAATGATATTGAAGGAAGCAGGCATGGCCTAATTTGAGGTTCTGTCAGAAATACAGATCTGTACACACACCTACAGATGTACAAGGTTTATTCAGAAAGGAATTTTTAAGAAACTGATTTCATTACAAGATAACTAAGTATAGGAAAGTACAGAAAACACCTTATTACAACTTCCCTGCATAGTCTGCTAACATATTGTAATATGGGAAAAGTATTGTATATGGCACTTGTGTATCCAAATTGTATTCAAATTGTTTACCTCTAAGCTATTTATTAAGCGCTGGAAGCAAACAAATGTCAGCTAGTGCAAGGTCATAATTGTGGGGTGGTGGTTGTTGAATTTGTTAGGGAACCACGTGTCTAAGAGCAGTCATTTTTGATGTCTGTGTACCAATTTGGAAACAGTTACATCTGACGTATTTATAATGTTACCATACATACATTACAAAATGTAATATTGTAAAATTATTGTATTTATTTATCAGTTATTGGACTTTTAAACTTACTCTTTGAATAATCCTTATATGTGCATATGCATGCATGCATACAGGTTTACAATAGTTCATGATGTGGTGTTCTATGTAATATTGAGATATGTATTAGCACATTTTGGGGGCACTCGGTAGTGTAGTTGGTTGAGGCACTATGCTACAGGCCAGACAGTTGCAGGTTCGAGTCCCAGTGAGGTGGATTTTTTTCAGTTTGCCTAATCCTTCCAGCTACACTATGGCCCTGGGGTTGACTCAGCCTCTAACAGAAATGAGTACCAGGAATCTTCCTGGGGGTAAAGAGCAGCTGGCACATAAGACTGATAACCTCACCATCATCTGTGAGCCGTTTTTTCTAGAGAAAATATGGGATCCTCGATGTCTCACAACCCTATGGGTGTTCATGGCCCATTACAGGGGTAGCTTTACCTTTATTAGCACATTTGGTCCATGTGCCTCATCATTAAATCAGTCTGAATTATTGTTACACAGTTACCGCTTAAGAAAGAACTTACCATTCGGACACTAAATCATGAAGACAATGATGGCAGCAGTGTCATTGTCCCACAGAAGTTCTAGCTGCTGTTACTGGTTGCGGAGCCATTTGCTTGAGCTCACACATAATAGTGACTTTCTCTGTAACATGGTGTGTTAATCCACAACATATGGGGCCTAATGTTGTATTCCTTCATGCATGCCTTTTTCAAAACTGGAAGAGATCTTGAAAAGTGTGGGTAAAGTGTACTTGACACGTGTTTGTAAGTTTTTGAATTCTGAATGTTAAAGATTCCATAAATGATTGGCTAGATTCTTCTGTTGTCAGAAACACGAGTGTGTCCAAACACAGACTTTCGCTGTAACACTACTGGGCGCTGTATTCCTTTGTCTTGGACTTGCGATGGAGAGGATGACTGCAGTGATGGTTCCGATGAAAGTATAGAAGTGGACTGTCCCAGAGGAGATACTACTCTGTGCCCACCAAACCAGTTCCGTTGTGCAAACAATCAGTGCATTGATGAGGTATGTTGAAGAACACAGAGGAAGAAGAGATCAAGGTGTTCTGGAAATAAAGTAGTGATGAAAGCGGGCAAATTTTGTATGTTTCCACTGTTTGTCATTCTTGCAGACAGAGCTCTGCTTTTNTTTCTGGACCTTGGCACTAGGTTGAGGTGAGTGATCAGCTTCATGGCCCAGCTGCATTACCCCTAGGGAATCAGCCCCTGATAGCAATTGTATACAACACTGTGGGGGCCTCAGAGCCAGGCTGGACATCAGGCAGAAGAGGAAAAGTCTTTCCCTTACTAGGAAGTGAACGCTGACTCCTTAATAGTCCAGCTCATAGCCTGTTTGCTTTACTAAGTTTGCTAACCTGGCTCTCCTCTATTGTTACACTATAAATTGTGTGTTAACTAGAACTGCCCTCTTTATGAAAATGTGGACCATTCTCATCACCCTTCCTCCTCCCTGTGCTGAATGTGGAGGCAGAGGCACTTTAAAGTCATGAAGAGAGGATTCATTGTCTTTTACTCTGTTTTCTATATGTGCTCATGTGGTGGGTGTCAATAGGGTAATTCAAGAATGTTTTGAAGGCTCTGAATGTTCATGATTAGCAACTTTCAGTGTTTAAAAAATCATTGTAGTGATTGTCAGTCACTGTGGCTTCATCCCATGTGGATGTGTGTATGTATGTATAACGGGTGGACCATAAAATCCGGCTCTTGCACTGTGACCTTCAATGATCTATTGTGCTATATTCCATGTGTAACTGATAGAAATATGTCCTTGAAATGCAGTATACTGTATGTGTGTATATGCCCATACAGTGCCACTTGTTATTTCATATCTTGAGTCCGAAATACAATTGTGGCATATTTGGGTGTGATAAATATGTGTGGGCCTAAAATCAAGATAGATAAATCATAATTATTTTACTTTTTCAAACAGGAATACTTTTGTGACAGAGATGATGATTGTGGAGATGGATCTGATGAGCCAATGTATTGTAACAAGAAGTGTCGTAGTAATGAGATGGTTTGCAACAATGGGAAGTGTGTTCTTGCTGCGTGGAAGTGTAATGGAGTGGATAACTGTGGGGACAATTCAGATGAGGAAGACTGTCGTGAGTACAGAACTGTTCAAAAACTTTCAATTGTAATATTGAAATCAAGGTAAAGGGTAAAGTGTGTGCTTTGGACATTGTAATGCAAGTCCCACTGATCATTTTCGGATCCTACCGAAACGTTTTCAGACTGTATTACAAACAAGTTTTTATTTCACTTACTGGCTATACCTTCATACTCCTTCACAGTAGTCTGTTTTCAGGTTAATATGACATGGGGATCTCTTCAGAATCCCTGCTTGCCACCAAGGGGAGGGTCTGGAAAGCATTTAGAAACCACCCTATAAATCATGTTCAAGCATATTTAAATGCATCATGTAGGGTGAATATCTTACCATATAAATTTCAGTACATATTCTTTGCACATTTGTATTGAACTTTAGGCAGCATTAAAAACATCTTTTATTCGTTGTTGTTCTTGGTAGAACTGCTTCACTCCCTGTCACCATAGATCTAAACATTTAGTAAGCTCGTTTTGTATGCATTCACAATGAAAGTTGCAAAAGTCTGCTTGTTAGCTTTGCCATGTCTGTCTCTGTCTGTCAGCATATAACTTGAGAACCATTGAATTTATTGTCTTTAAATTTGATATTGGAGTGTTTTACTGGAATTTGTTAACATATTCCAGTTTTGGTTATAAATTGGGCCAATATAATGGACACTTTACATGAAAATGTATGTGCATTTTTGCATTTATCTTCAGCATAACTCACTCATTATGTATCAGAATGAAATGTATTTAAGTAAGAGGATCAAAGAAAAATGAAACAGACATTTTTTCCCCATTACACTTTTTCCATGAGTCTTACTAATTGGGCTAATTAAATGAGGTAGTAGATGTGCCAGAATTGTCGTACTATACACCACATTTTATAACTTGTAGGATTTGAGTTTCTCACAGCAGTGGTAATAAAGAGTTTTATCTTCTGGGGTATAACACCATCCTTGCCACCTGCTTGCATGCTGGTTTCTTATTTGGCTTATTCTTTGACCCTGAATATGGAGACAGCATGCTCCTCCAAAACGTAAGATGACTTTCAACGGACTGCATGGTGCTATATCCCAGAAGAGAGAACTCTTCAGTCTGTAACAGTATCTTTCATTTAGAATTCCTGCACTGTTCCTTCTTTCAGGCTGGTATCATGAACGCAGGTTATCATCTGCTCCCTTTATGTAGAAATTAGTATTGTTGTTGAGGTTCTCATTACATTATCATATGTATCTGCCATTTCTGTTGTATGTTTTACATGCTACATGAATCAATTTGCTCTTTAGACTGCATCTCAGAAAAACGTTTTTATAAAGGCAGTGATAAAGTGATGCAATTAAAAGTTGTTTGTTTTGCAGAAAACAGTGGAAAGTCAAGTGAATGCAAAAGTGCAGGCACATTCAAGTGTAGCAACAAGTTGTGTATAAACGAGACTTTACTCTGTAATGGGGAGGACGACTGCGGAGACTACAGTGATGAAGAGCATTGCAGTAAGTTGTGTAGACTAGCAACATCACACTGCAGCAAAATGCATAAAACTTAACTCATTTCTTGGGTATTTCTGTTTTTATTAGCTGATTCGTGTATGTTGTATTTATGGTGACTAAGTACAGTTTTAATTTTCCTACTTCACTATCATTGTCCAATTTTTCAGCGCATGAACCCTTATCTGAACATCCTTTATTCTTTATTTGCCACCATAATTTATAGTTGATTTGAACAGTGGAGTGATGGCAGGGTTTGCAAAACAAAGATATTTAGGCAGAAGAGGCCATTGTCTGTGCAAATTTCACAGTTTTACTGCACACAAAATTCCAGTCATTTAGAAGACTTTAAATTGTATTGTATAAAGTTATGGCATTATTCAATGTGATGACACTCAGTGTAACAGATTATCTGCAGAAATTATATTCATGGTTAATATTTTTGTGGAGATGGTATGGTGGTCATCCGGATATTATACTGAGTGGTTAGTATGTTTGTATGGCATGCAGTGTGACAACAGAAATCAGAACACTTAAATGAGGAAAACATGCATTAATCATATTGTGATGTGATGCCTTACATATAATCAGAGTACTCAATAACTCATGATAATATCATTTAATTTAATGATTTAATTTATTTAAATCATGTCACTGCATTTGTATACTAGTAGTAGTATTGGCGGCAGCAGTATGAACTAGTTAAAACTTGTTTATAAAACATACATGAAAACTGTGTAGTGTTCTTACTTTTTCTACATTTTGTATAATGATGACTTACTTTTAAAGATTGTTTTAATTAGGAGGGAGCATAATTGTGCTTGGTGGTTTGCAGCAAATAAAGAATTGTAGCCTGTTTCAAAATATTATGCCAGAATTTGCTTGGAATTATTGAAGAAAACCAGAGATGTCTTAATTAGATAGCTGTTATTAGTTATGATACATATTGTTATTGTACTGAGTGTTCATTGTGCAGGCTTATCAGATGCCCAAGGGGCTTATCAGTACATTGTCTTGGCACATCTGTGGGTGTCCCCAGCAAACTGAAAGGCATTCATTTGGTAATCACCTGATCAGTGAATCAGTCACTGTTATGCCACCAAGTGTTACAGAAGCTTCTTTCTATGGAGCTCTATTCTGTGTCTTTATGGCTCATGTGAGATATAATTAAGAACAAAGAGTTTTCATTTATGTTTGTTATGTGAAAAAGACTCATACAAATCGTTCAGGAGAAAATTTCATCATAAATTTCCCAACACAACATGTCCGTCTGGAGATACAGTTTCCAAAATAGTGAAGAAAGTTCAAACCCATGGTATTTTAATTGACAGAAAGCTGTTAAAAAGAAATTGTGTTTTAACTGAAGAAAAATGTGATGACATTGGTCATCGATTAGAAAATTCTCATCAAATATGTTTGCAGAGATTACCACAACAAAATGGTGTTTCTGTAGGCAGTGCATGGACAGCAACTCAGCTGTTCCGTATTCGTCCATATAAAGTTACTGTTCCTGGAATTAAACCTGTGGATTATGAAAAAAGAGTGAGGTTTTGTAATTGGTTTATCAGTCGTGCATGACGGACTTACTGAACCTGAACTCACATTTTTCACAGATGAGGCTAATTTTAATCTTCTGGGATATGTTAACTCACAAAACAACAGGTATTGGAGGAGTGAAAATCCTAATGCCCTAATTCAACTTACCCTTTACGAGCAAAATATAGGTGTATGGTGTGTGATTAGCGCAAACCATATCATTGGACCGATATTTTATGAAGGAACTCTTGATGCTCAACGATACATAAATGAAATACTCAATCCATATTTTGGTAAATAGGCACCTGCAGAAGAAAGATCTGGTTATTTTATGCAAGATGGCATGACTCCACGCACAGCTAACGAAACTATCCAGGCATTATGCAGTGTATTTGGGGAACTAAATGGGGAGGATAGAATTGTTAGCAAGGTTTTGTGGCCCCCTAAATCGCCAGATCTAAACCCCTATGATCTTTGTTTGTGGAGAGAACTCGAAAGTGTCGTGTATGTCAACAATTCACATGACCTGGGGGCTCTAAAACAGAATATTTGTGAAGCAGTTTACAACATTCTGCAACATCAGTTGCAACAAGTTTCCCAAAATCTGTTTAAAAGAATTCAGATCTGTCTCATAACAGAGGTCAGACATTTTGAACATCTTCTATGATGGTGACTACAATATTACTGACTATATTTGATTAATAATTAATGAAAGATGTAAACACTTTGTGCTAGCATTTCCAGCCGTATGGCAGCACTTTCACAGGAAGTTACTGGCGGTAACAATCAATGTCCAGTCAGCCTGTGCTCTGAACATGGTGTAGTTATTGATTAAGCACCAAGCCATCTGATGAATTTTTTGTGTGAGAGCGGCTGTGACTGACAGAATATGTAACCTTACTAGTGGTAACAGTGCATTGCCATGATATTTCAAGGTGGGGTAAGGCCCTTAGTGATACGGTATTATTCAGACATTTATTTAGATAACCAACTTCAGGAATCAAGTTCAGATCTTCTGAATGTGAAATAAGAGTGATACCCATACAGTCAGAGTACATGCTTATAAATTAAGCATGTGCAAATTCTTAAGAAAGGATGTAGCTTGTTCTCAGTTTGAACATTGATTTTTCAGTCTGAAATTCAAGTATTTTCAGGTAACTGTTTTTACTTTGCACAGTCACACGCACTCGCACACATAAACTGTGTTTCTGGACATAATCAACTGTCCTGTCTTTAGCTAAGAACACCGCCCTGTTTATATTGCAAAATGCAATGTTTCTGAAGACTGAAACAGAATCCAGTCTCAGAAACATTGTGTTTTGTAATATAAGCAGGATGGTGTTTTTAAATGAAGACAGGATGATGGATAATATCCAGACACATAATATTTGTACTAATGCACCATTGTCACAAACTTTTAAATCGTATTGATCCATTAGAATCATAATGGTTGGGTACATGGGAGTTGACATGTCATGAGAATCTGTCTCCCTTACTGTCTGCTGCATCTTTCTCTATTTCTCTATACAGTACCAGCATTTCCCTCTCCTGACCGCAAACTCCTCTCACTGTCAGTAATACCAGTTTACAAGAAGTACAAGGAAGTGTTAACTAGTTTTATAGACTGAGTGAATTGGGGGGGAGGGAGAATATGCTTGCAGAGAATATTCTTTATTCTTGTCACAGATTTTTTATTCTTTTTCAGATTCTTATCTTAATCTTATCTTGAACTGATCAATGCCAAAAATGTTTCCTAAATTGGAACTTCTTAACTAGAATGTAACAGCACTTCTACATGTCAGTATTCAGGGCATGTTATTGGCATCCAGAATTACTCACATAGCCAAAATAAAATGAAAATTTTATCTGAGCTGTGAAGTTAATTTTGTTTCAGATATCAATGAATGTAAGGACCACAGACCCTGTGCTCATATCTGCAATGACAGAACTGTTGGTTATGAATGTTCCTGTCATCCTGGCTACCAGGTTCATCCAAAGGATCCACACCTCTGTTCTGACATAGATGAATGTAAGGATCGACCTTGCAGTCAGACATGTCGTAATGTGCAGGGCTCCTATGTCTGCTCCTGTGTTGATGGCTATGTGTTACGAGCAGATAAACGCTCCTGCAAATCTAACTCCAGTAAGCCAGAGATTCATGTTAATCTTACATTAAAACTCTGAATACTGTGATAAGTAAAGCATGTACTCATACAGTTATTGGAAGAGATTGCCCTTATGTATTTGTTTCTTATTCAGCTGATTAATTCCCTGTTACTGGACTCAAATGTTTCTCATTACAAAATCCAGTCATTTGATACTGTCATTGGCCATTTCAAACTGTTACATCATAACAGCCCATTTCTCTAAAATACTGCTCCCATCAGTGCTTAGGTCTCCCAAGTGATCTTATCTTTTCCAGTGACATGTTTTGTACTAGGCTTTACAAAAATCAGTTGCTTGGTGTGTGTATTACTGGTATTAGAAGTCAAAATGTGACCAACACATTCATCACTTGCTGTTGTGGTTTATATAATAAAATTCTGTACCCAGGAATTTCTCGGATTATACTTGGGAAAATTATTGAAATAAAAATAAGGACATCCAAAATGGCTATATGAAGAAGAGTCACAGGTTGAACCTCCAGAGCTGCATGCTAGGTGACAGCTCAATCAAGTTGATGACTTAGACAGATTATGTAGCACCCTACAAACTCCTGAAACTCACTGAAATTCAGAAATCCTCTTAGATTTCGGATAAGAATTCTAGAACATTCAGTAGTCTTGGATTGTCATTATTATGACAAAAGTGGTATGTTTGGATCTCAAGCTATTCCCCAATATCTCATTCCCAGATACCCAAAAAGTTTTAATAAAATGTTTACTGCGTCTTGTTTCATGCTGGTTTCTTGCATGGCTTACTGTTTGACCCCGAAGATGTAGGGAACATGTTCCTCCAGTGATAGTTGGCTTTCATCAGACTACATGGTGTTATATCCCAGGATGCAGAACTCTTCAAAATGTTTATTCTTCTCTTTCCGTTGCCCAAGTTAGACTTGCCCTTTAAAAATGGGCTTACGAGTGTCAGAGAATTCTCCCCGATTGAGTGCCACTTTATGGCAACAGAACTATTCCAGAATCTTGCTGTAATCTAACATTACTGAACATATTGTCACATGTTGCCTATGTAACGTGACAGCAATTCACACGGGTTTCTGATTTGGCTACTATGTTTATTGGATGCTCACTTTTACACTTGCAAGTACCATTATCATCCACAATTTCAGTATCACAGTTACTGCTTCTGCTATAATCGAAGCCAAACTGTAAACTTCCACTGTTCTCGGCAACTTCTAGAACTCACCTGTCTGGTTCCTTTGAAGCTGGACTTCTATAACCTGGACTTGGACTTAATATAGCACACCATGTAGGAGCCTTTGCTCTCGGCCACTGTTATGCAGTGAACCCTTTGTTGTCCTTTCATCTCTGGGGAAACGCTTTCGTTGCTTAAGGTATTCCTAGGCAACGGCCCACTGGTATTGTGTGAAAGTATAAAATCCAGATTCCTGGCACACCACAATATAGACTATGAATGGAACATAATGTAAAACCATTGCAGTGATTAGAATGATGTATAATGTTAATGTTACTGACATATTACAGTGGGACAGTCTCTTGGAAAGCAGCCACTTCAAATAACCAACCGGGAGACAGGATGATGATATAACATGGGTTTTAGAAAAACATGTAGTGAAACTGTAAATAAGACTGAAATTTTTCCAAATTTTGTCTAATTTTGTCTATTCATGATGTTGAACTGTTGTCAGACTTAAATGGGTGGCTGGCTGGTTGATTCATGTATAGCGTACGGTGTATTGTGCAGGTGTTGACCCAAAGCTGATATTCACAAATCGATACTACATCAGAGAGCTGGATCTCAATGGACACAGTACCCTTCGTGCACACAACCTAACAAATGCAGTTGCCCTGGATTATGACTGGGCAGAGCAGTGCATCTATTGGTCTGATGTGACTGCGCTGGGAAGTAGTATTAAACGTCTCTGTGGCTCTGGTGATGCCTCCTACCAGGTAACCGTGCTAATGTAACAAGAACTCACTTTAACTCTGTGTATTTGATGGTACTTTGTTCAAATCTTGGCAATATCCAGCTATCCTCAATCTCTCCTTGCTAATGTTGGCATACTTGTGTCCTGAAACAAACTGTTGTGAGGCTGTGGCAGTGCTAAAGGTGTGCGAGATTTCACAGTAAGGCGGAGACGGTAGAGCAGCATGAATTTGTCAGAACATGAACACAGCTCACATACATACAATTTACTGCTACTGTGATCATCACTGTAGTGTGTAAACATCAGTGGTGTGTCTGGAATAGGACTTTCTAACCTCACAATAGAGGCTTTTGCAGTTCTTGCAAATTGGTTAAACTATTTGTGGGGGAGGTAATACATATTGTAATGTGGTTGGATGTAGCCTTGCTAGGTAACTGACCGAATACACGCATGTTAACAGTGGGAGTACGGCTTTTTCTATGTGGTTGGTGCCGTGACCGTTGCTATGCAATTGCTCAGTAAAAATATTCCAACAATACAGGCTCTTTCTTGCATGGTCACCGTGGAGGCTATATAACAAGAATAACACCAACAGTATTTAAGTGTGTTTGCTTTGTGAGCAGTCAAATTTAAATAACTAAAAACTAACATAGGTCAGCATTTTAACAGCCTTTATCAGTTGGAGCTAATTGTGGGTATTTTCTAATAGAAAATCTGGGTGACCCTGAAAAGTGAGCATCAACAGTCCACATATAGGCTTGCAGATTGGACCTACTAAAAATCCCCCCCTCCAAACTTTAGTAATGCTAGCACCTTTAGTCCTCCGAGATTCAGATTTCACCTAACAACATCTGATTTGGGCAGCTATCTATATTGTGCTAACAGTCTGCATTATTTAGATCAAGTCCCATCTCTAGCAGTTATGGTGCTTCAGCCAATTGTCAGAAAGTCTCAGACACCCAATCTGTGGGGCTGTGAAGAAGCGATATGAAACATTAATTAATTGAAAGGTGAGCACAGTGGGTTATATGAAAAGAATGTGTGTAATTTATTTTCTTATTATTAGTTTAATTCAGTTCAGTTTAATAACTGAAATTCTTGTGAATTTACTCCTAACTGCTGCTTCATAGATATTCTTAGTACTGCATTACTGAGTCTGATATCTTTTCATCTATGCCTAGATCTCCCAAGTGTTTCTGTCTCAGTTTTTGCAGTCAGGATCTTGTATATACTTCTCAAGCCCTCCCCATCTTGTGTTCCATGATTTAGTGATCTGAAGACACCATTATCTGTACACACTGCTTTCTCCTTTCCAGTGGGTTATATGAAATATAAATTTCCGGAGTTTAAATGAAACACTAGTCATTTATTGCAGGTATTGCACTCAGCAACACTTCAAAATCCTGATGGTCTTGCTGTTGACTGGGTAAGCCGAAACCTCTACTGGTGTGACAAAGGATTGGACACTATTGAAGTATCCAAGTTGGATGGCCGATACCGCAAAGTTCTTATTAACGCAGGATTACAGGAGCCACGGGCCATCACCCTTGATCCAAGGAATGGGTAAGTACTTGCACCTGTCACAAATAATGTAACATATTTTGCAACCCAAATATTTTTAAATTCTGAAGGTTTTTGTGAATTGTATAATGCTTGGGATTACTGGGTTCTTTGGACTTTCTCCAGTGTTCAGTATTGTAAAGAACATAACATTTCAGGCGCTGGGTCTGTTTCTCTTCTCAGATGATGGGTTGGGAGACACCTGCACTGTTGGGTCTATTAGAAAGCAATAACCTCAATCACTGAGCTCTTTCTAACGGACTCTACAGAGTAGGTATCTCCCACCCCACACCTTAGGTTGAAAACAGATCCAGTTTCTGAAACACTGTGTTCTTTAGAATCCTGGATGATGGACAAGTCCAAAAACTCAATACTGCCAAGTATTTCTGTTATTTTTCTGTGATGATGTTTGATTATGTTCAGTTCATCATCATATGCTGCTCGGGTTCTTCACAAATTATGACATAGCAATCCACAAGTCAGAATTACCACCTTCAGGTCGTTTGTTAAAGCTCTATAGCCAGAATTGTAACTCATGAGCCTCCTTACCCTCATAAGAAAGAACCATAGTCTAAATAAAATTCAGAGCTTCGAGAATGGACTGTCCTCGCAATTGGTGTCTGCAGAGTTATGTTTGATGCACAGAAAGAATTAGATAATCCTCTGTGCTGAATTAATTTATCATCATCATGAAGTTTGGCAGTTTAGGCTATTAAGGCCTGTTCTATGAATCCCAAGGGGATCTTCATCTCTCCATAATTTATTAGGTCATCCTAAGTCTCGTCATTCTCTTGGTCAGTAACAGAATTCCAGTTGTGGAAGTTAGGCTCTTCCCATTCCCATCAAGCGATTCTTCCAAATTTGTTGGTATTGATGTGTCTCTTCAATTGTATTTGTAATTTTCAATCTTTTTCTGATACCACCAGACAAGTCCACATAGAGGTATTGCTGTAGACTTGTGTTCTAAAGGTGCTCATTTTGAATTTTAGCTGGTACACCAGCTACTCTGACTGAAGTTTTTCATGGTTCCCCTCAGCCCCTCCAGGAAAGTGCTGGGGTAGTACCTAAGTTAGGCCACGGCTGCTTCCTTCAAAATCCCTTCAAATTCATCAGTTATTCTACCATCTGAACTATGTAATCTCAGGACTGAAGGCATAATTAAATAGCCCATGGAAAAAATTCTCTGACATCAGAATTTCTTTGGTAGTCAAATCTAGTGAACTTTTTAGCATCTAAAAAAAATTAATTTGTGCCATGCTTCAGATTTTACCATAATTATTGCTCTAGATGTGTTATGTAAGCATAATTTTGTATCATTTGACGCTTGTATGCAAATGTGTTACTGTTTTTTTTTTTTATTTAGATGTTTTTTTCTGTCATAGTTGAGCTGTTTGTGACAGAAGAAGTAGCACCAGGGATTTGAGCATTAAGCCTGTTAATATTTCCAGTGAGGAGGAAGCTTTGTGTCTTCCAAGTGGCCCTTTCTTTTATATTTTGATCTTATTAGGACTATTCTATAAAAGCAAATATGTTTCTATGCAGTTACATGTACTGGACAGACTGGGGAGATAGACCTTATATTGGCAAGGCTGGAATGGATGGCTCAGGCCAAAGGATACTAGTCAATGACTCACTAGGCTGGCCAAATGCTCTAACCATCTCATATGAAACAAATGAGCTCTTTTGGGCAGATGCACGGGAAGATTACATAGCTGTCTCAGATTTAGAAGGAATGAATAGGAAGATAGTACTCAGTAGAGGTAAGAATTCTTCAAACACAGAATACTGAAACAGTAATTTCCTCTAGAAAGATAAGTTGACACAAATGCTTCTTTTCTGCATTTGATTTTCCATTTAGAGTCACTTCTCATTCTATGCACATTTGATTTACCCTATTTTGGTTTAATGCAGTTGAAGAATATGTACCACTTCTTAATATACATATTCTCATGTTAACATGCTTATGCGATAAGTAATGAGCAGTTTTTTAATTTATGTTATTTTAGTTCTTTAAGATGATATGGCATTTAGTAACAGGCAGCATGACATACAACTATGTATGTGTCATTTTAGACAATAAATGCTGCATCTCCATATATAACTGCATGCATCTCAAATAAAATAATCCATAAAATGAGGTAACAAATTAAGCTAAATGTTTTACATTAATAAGTCCTCTGCATTGGCTAGGTCCATGCACATTTTCCTTAATTTCTTATCAAACATAGCTCTCAATTTTCGTGTATATAATTTTCACGGTGTCTTTGAGGAGTGCATATACTGCAAATATCGAGAAGTGATTGTACTTGGTTTACTTGATGAACAGAGTCAGTATAAACAAGCACTCATGTGGTCGTAAACTATTTTAAAATCTCTTCCAGAACTTGTAATACTTCTTTTGGTTAATTATGTGAAGTGGTTTCCCAGTAATAAACATAAGATAATTCTGGTCATTTCCATATATTTACATCACATTTTATGAACCATCTATTGAAATGTTGAATTAATTTTATTCAGGATTCATTTTTAATTCTGGGAGTTGTAAACAGGAACAGTTTTACAGTAAAACTGTTTTGTTAATTATGAATACAGTTAATTGTATTCATAGTTTTAAGTTGAAGAAGGCAAAAAAAATAATAATAATAATTAGAAATAACTCTTTCACTTATAGAAGCGTGTAATTTACACCACACAGAGGTTGTAAATTAGCATTGTCCATGCAGTAGAGCTTGTATATTAAAGCTGAGAAAAAACTTTATTTTTCATGAATTCTCCATAATATCAGGATGTGACAATGCCGAACCAACTAGGAAGAGGGTTCAGTAGCATTTTATGCAAAGTTTGTAATAAGTAAATGCTGTGGAAGGGATAGAACTGCTGCTTATGATTTTTTATAATTATTACTGAGTGATTGTGTCATATTATGTTTATGTCACATATGTACAAGATTTTTAGCTGAAATTTTGTCTCCTTTATTCTTATGCACGCTTTAGATTTGTATACATACTAGGAGCTCTTATTCACATGCAGTATTGTCATGTTTAGAATAAAAGACAAAACACCAGTTTCAAGAGTAAGTAAATAAAGCTATCCCTGTAACAGGCCGTGAATGCCCATAGGGTTGTGAGACATTGAGGGTCCCACATTATCTAGACAATCGGCTCAAATATGGCGGTAAGGTTGTCAGTCTTACGCACTGGCCGCGCTTTACTCCCCAGGAGAATTATACTGGTACTCATTTCTGTTAGAGGCTGAGTCCACCCCAGGGCCATAGTGCAGCCAGAAGGATTAGGTCAATTGAAAAAAATTCAGTGACCTCATCAGGACTTGAACCCATGACCTTCCGGCTTAAGAAGTTCTTCTAAATAAGTATTTTTCCTTGAAAATTATGGCAGATAGACTACTACAGGCAAATCCATATACTGTCAGAATTGATCATGTTGTAATCACCATCTTGTGCTCTGTCCTTACACTGTTTTATCACAGTCTCATGCAGCACTGCAACAGTTCTATTATAGACAGAGAGAGTACTCTTTACGATTATTTGTCATAAAACCAAATTAAAATCTTGAGGTCTTTGATTTGTATCTTTTATTTATTTGTGCTATATGTGTTCCTTGCACAGATTATATAATGTGGATGAAAGGAAGTCTTCTCTGTCTGCATATTTCATCTCCAAAACTACAGGGTTATTCAAAAAGAACGAACCCATTTTATTACGCAATGTTTTATTAAAGGAAAGTAATACTAAACTCCAGCCAAGTCACAAGTATTCTACTCACAATCAACTTTAATTTCCTGTCCTACAAGTGTTCAATGTGGCCACCACCTGCAGCACAGGCAACATCAATGCGATAAGAGAATTCCTCCCAGGCGCATATCAGCATATCACGATGCACTGAGTTAATCGCTGTTGTTATTCGATGTTTAAGGTCATCAAGGTTAGTGGGTAGCGTTGGAACATAAACGTGATCTTTTACATATCCCCACAAGAAGAAATCACACACGGTGAGGTCTGGGGATCTCGCAGGCCAAGCACAAAGAGCAAGGTCTTGGGCCCCCTTCCAACCAATCCATCGCTGGGGCACTTTTTCATTTAAAAAAGCTTGGACCATCAGGTGCCAATGGGGCGGTGCTCCATCTTGTTGAAAAATGAAGTGATGCGAATCTACTTGCAGTGAAGTGAAGAGCCAGTTTTGGAGCATATCGAGATAGGTTTGTCCTGTAACAGTGTTTCCTTCAAAGAAAAAGGGACCATAAACCTTGTCCTGAGACACAGCACAGAAGACGTTCACCTTAGGGGAATCTCTTTCGTGCTCAACTGTTTCATATGGGTGCTCTGTTCCCGAAATACACACATTGTGATGATTGACTGTGCCGCTCAAGTGAAAAGTCACTGCATCACTAAAAATTAAACGTGATATAAAGGTTTCGTCTTCCATCATCTCCAGCATCGAATCACAAAATTCCATCCGTTTCCTTTTGTCGTCATTGGTAAGTGCCTGAATGAGCTGCAGTCTGTATGGTTTCAAATGCAGATGTACTGTTAGCATATGCCAGACAGTGGATTGAGGGATCACAAGCTCATGGCTAGCTTGATTTGTTGACTTCCGCGGGCTTCTCTCAAATGCAGCACGGATTCTCGCCACTTGTTCCTTCGAGACTCGTGGTCGTCCTGGAATTTGTCCTTTACACAGACACCCACTCTCTTGAAACTGTCGAAACCACCGTCAAATGTTCTTAGGACAGGGCGGATTACTGCTGAATCAGCTTCAAAAAGCATGCTGCACCATGACAACCGAATTTGTTTTCGCAAACTCGAGAATGCAGAACGCCTTTTGCTGAGGACTCACCATTCCGAGGGTAAACAAACAACTGAACGTTGCCGGAAGAACGACACGACTTCAGCACCTCTGTGGCAGCCATTCACAACTTAAATAACTCCTCTTTCAAATGGTCTCTGACTCATTCCATGATGATGCTTGAGAACTGAAGCAATGCATCATGAAATCGGTTCATTCTTTTTGAATAACCCTGTACTTTATCAGTTTCGACTAATTTTGGTAGGTTGAACTTATGCTGACAGATACAGGACACTATCATGTGACATGGTGACTTGTCTAAGCCTGTTATGAAAGTAACATTTTATAATACTGTAATTATTTTAATTTCAAAGCAGATGTGTGGGACTTATTTGTCACTTATTTTGCAGAAAAAGATTCAAAAGTTATGCTGCATCACATCTTTGCCTTAACTGTGCTGGAAGATTATCTCTATTGGACAGACTGGGAAACAAAATCAGTCGAACGATGTCACAAATACACTGGCACTGAGTGCAGCACCTTGACAACAACAGTGCACCGTCCCATGGATATCCATGTGTACCATCCTCTCCGACAAGTTAAAGGTGATAGAAGATGGTTCAAATTTTTTTACTGTCTTAGTTATGATAGTAACATCTTCATTAAGTGCTGTCAAGATACAATCTTTAGAATTCTTCTGTTGGCCACTTGAAGCTCCAAGCAGTGATATAATAATGTGTCTCATACAGAAAGAAAGAGAACTTGCATGTGTGTGTGTGTGTGTGTGTGTATGTATGTGCACAAATGTTCCATGAATTACTATAAATTCAATTGTCACAAAAGAATAAGCACACCACCTTTAACCTTTAAGAGCCTAGCGACACTGTATGGAGACCTTTAAAGTGCAGCCAAGTGGCCGTGCGACACCGTATGGGTACACGCAGTCCACACGTGTGCACAGTGTTTTCAAATCTAATTTTAAGATAGAAATTCTTGTTCTACTTACATTATTTTTGGGCACCAGCTATATAAGTAGACAGTCTTCCCTCCTGCGTCATCTAACTGAATGTTGCCTTCATGTGGTACTGTTGGAAACATCCGGAAATGCAGAGTTCAACGTCACAATTCATGCACTTTGTCCGGATGTAACTCTGTTTCCCATGCGAAGAGCATACATGACACCTCAGTCTCATATTAGAGGGAGTCGGCCAGTGATGTCAAGTGGCCTCCTCTAATTGAGATATCACTGGTGACACAGTAGGAGGTCGACCCATGAACCGTTGAGGGCGAGGTGGACCCCTTGCAGCATGTTGCGCACAAGGACAAGACAAAATTCTCTGTGTGACAATTTCACGCCACAGGATGACAACAGGATGAAACTGTTCAGAATCATCAGATCCAGGAGATGGAAAAATAGTTTATTTGTCCATTTCCGGGTCCAATGACTGATGCTATAACTGTTTGCCATTCTGTCTGCTTTGTTGACATAACCCATGTGCTTGTTGTAGTCAACAACAATTGCTGGCTTGATGGCATTTCCATGCTCATCACAGAAACTGCCTTCTGCTGGAGGACAGTGCATGTTTGTCAGTATGTACATGTCACATTTGTCCTTCCAAACTAGTGCTGTCAAGTTCTGTCTCACCCTAACACGAATGTCACCTTTCTTAAGTCGAAATTGTCTTCGTCGAAAATCGTCAGGCAAGCCCTTCCGATTAGGTCTGACTGTCCCACAGCATGTTATGTCCTTTTTCATCAGTTTGTCAAACAAGTCTGGTGACGAAAAGAAATTGTCCATGTACAGTTTTTGACCAACGCCCTGAATACGTCTGCATAGGAACCTAACTGTAGCATGTGTCACTGTCACGTCTTGGTCGGCACGTGTCCTATCTTTTTCGTAGGTAAACCTTCATGTCACAAGTATACCTAGCGGCGTCAAAAATTTTGAAGATTTTGGTTCCGACACGTTTGTGTTTCTTAGGAATGTACTGCCTAAAAACCACCCTCCCTGTGAATTTAACAATTATCTCGTCTATGGCCAAATGTTCGGAAGGGTTATAATATTTTTCATATGCATCATTGAGAGTGTTGAAGATGGTCCGAATTTTCCATAGTCGGCCATAACTGTCGGCATTCCTGTCAGTTTCTGTATTGTTTGCAAAATGAAGAAAATGAAGAATGTGTAAAAAACGGTCGCATTTAATTGTGTTAGAGTAGAAAGGCGTGGCAAATTGTTCTACAGTTGACCAGTAGTCCTTTAGTCTGTCTCTAATGTCATGTCCCATTTGAATGATTATTCCTAGAAACAGAATCATTTCGGAATCGGTCACGTGAGGCCACAGAGAAGGTCCGTCTTGAAGTCTGTCTAGGTACTGGTGGTAGTACCTGTTCGTCTCATACACCAGCAGACGGATAATTCCTGCGAAGTAGAGCATGAAAACACAGAAGGGGTGGAATCCTTGTTTACCTGTGGAACTTCATTGATATTTAACCCCACAGCTCCATTGGAATAATTATTCACGGCCCTCCTGCCATGCTGGTCTGGTGGTCCCCAGGTTGCCGACGAAGATGATGGGTCTTTGTCAACTTCGGTTTCTGAGCCCCTTGCTTCCTCACCACTCTCAGAGTCGTTTGTACCGCAGTCTGAATAAGTGTCATTTATCAGCTGCCTCTCAATTTTGGCTTCTTCCATGCGAAATCAGGCCATGGTGGATAGTTGAAATTGCAATGTTTTATACACAACACAACGTGCTAGGCTTGAACGTTCTGGCAGTGCGGGGCTATTCCAAGAACAGTACCTCTGTGTGGCTAGTCCGAGATATACACAGTCAGAGTTTCTGAAGGACAACGTACGATAAGACTTCGACCACACTTGTTCATACAGAACGGTTCCAACGTGACTGGAAAATGTGCAATACAAATATAAACGTCCACCCCTTTTGCCAGATAAGACATAGTAAGACAGGATGTCAGCAGCATGCATTTATACTGCAGAAACTGTATACATATTTGTGGACAGATGCTCTAAATTGGGAAAAAATTTCTTTTTGGAATCAGTGTAACAATTTTTACAGATTTTAAAATCTGTAAATTACAATACAGTCAACTCACGATTATCCAGGGGCAGATTAACCGGTTTGTGGCTTAACCGGGGCTACTGAGGCTTTTTTGAGGCTTATATGTTGTTTAATATTCATTCCCTTTTGTTTCACATGGCGAGTTGTAACACTATTTTCACACTAGTGTGAACCGAGCTCTGCATTCTTTGGTCCCGTTATGCTGACACAATGTTCTAGGGTAGGGGTGAAAGAATGCAAGGATTTGTGGAAAGTTTCAAGGACAGATACATCGCCCCAGTTAGTATCTTTGTATCGACCTTCAAGTGCATTAGCAAAATGTCAGGGTGTAAAAGGAAGCGTGTTGTGTTAAGTATTCATCAGAAAAAGGAAAATGCCGCGAAAAAGTAAATGACAGTATTAAATTCTTTTAAGTGTTAAGTGTGAATATTTCTAAAAAATGTTGGATGTTGTTGAAGACTGTGATTGAAATAACTAATTCATATTTCAGTGTAATGTAAAAAAGTATTAAATAGGCCATGAGATGACATAAATATGAGGTTGAATAAATTTAAATACAGGTAGGCCTATAGTATTATGAAGGTACAGTATTCCAGTACTACTTTTAATAAAATTTGTCTTAACCGGGTTTTCGATTAATCGTGATTTCCATCCCCACCATTATCCCGGATAATCGAGAGTTGATTGTATCTGATTCTACAAGGTGGTTCAAATATGACCAGGACTGATTTTTTTGTAAACAAGCCGCACTCTGCAACAGCTGTGCGACCTTGAGAGATTGAAGCCACAACCTCCACCCTCCCTCCTGTTCAGGTTAGAACCTGTTAGGTCCTGTCTGGAAGTTGCTAGAGTGATGAGAGGACAGAAGGTACCGCAGAGCGTGGAACAACGCATTGTGATCAAATTCGTCGGAGAAAACGCCCAGTCCACTGAAATTCACACAGACTCCAACAAGAGTATGGGGAAAAGTGTCTCTCACGGACCCGTGTGTTTGAGTGGTGTAAGTGCTTCAGAGAGGGCAGAGAGCGCGTGGAGAATGAACCGCATGATCGTGGCCACGAACATCCATCACCGAGCTGAACATTGATCGTGCAGACATGCTTATTTGTGAGAATAGGCTCATCACTATCAAGGAACTTGGAGTAAGATCCGCTCCAAGCGGAAGACAGATGGAAAGCGGGTAGCCTTCCTTCAAGACAATGCACGCCCCCATACGGCCAAAACAACAATGGAAACCCTTCGGAAATTGAAATGGAACCTTCCAACACATCCGCCATACAGTCCCGATTTGGCCCCAAGTGAGTTCTACCTGTTCGGAAGGCGCAAATCAGACTTGCAAGGCATGTGGTTTGTGGACAACGACGCCGTCATTCAGACTGTTTGGGAGTGGATATGCCGCCAACCACAAGTCTTTTTTTGGGGGGGCATCAGGATGCTTCGAGAAAGTTGGAAAAAATGTGTTGACTCCCGAGGGGAGTATGTTGAAGACTGACATGTGCAAATAAGAGTTTGGCAATTACGTTTTTTTTTAAATCAGTCCTGGTCATATTTGAACCACCTAGTATATTCTTTCTAGATAAAAGCAGCGTTTATTTCGTTCATTTATGACAAAAATTGTAGAAATCACAGCATTTTCAGTAGCATGCTTACAATTTTTAATACTCTACTACAGTAGCGGACATTTAAATTAACTCCGGCCTGCTGCCATTACCGGAATTTAAATGGCCCATCTCTTAAAGGTTAAAGGTAATTGTATTTACAGTTAATTTGGAATTACAAACAAAGTTTGAAGAACCAAGTATATATTGTTGACTGGAGTTAGCAGCACTGAATATTACATAATAAAAATTTTTAGATCCATTATTGCTATAGATGCAGTCTGAATGCAGTGTTGCAGGCAAGGTCTCATTACAGATACCAGAATGGAGGTAGATATGAAGAGGGAAAGCATTTAGCTGAAGAATGAGTTGAGTTATGGGGGAGCGCACCAAGGAGAATATGTGGGGAGAAAGCAAGCAAGAGGGTGAAGATCAGATATGAAATGGAGGAAGTTGTTACAGTTAGCGCCTGTTCGAGTCTTAGCACGCTTGGTGGGATGCTGAAATTTGTATCTTGAGTTGGGAACCCTCATGAGGCAATCATCCAAGTGACGGAATTATTATTACGAGAAGGAGTCTGAGATGTTATGTTGAAATAAATGGATGCCTTTATTCTTTGCACAGACAAATCCAACACAGATCCATTTGGGGATTCAGCACACTGTCTCTCCACATGATCATCAAATTAATTTTGTTAAAGTGAAAAATTATCAAGTATAATGTACACATGCACTTGGAGACAGGCTTGTACTAATGATAAAAATATTCTAGCATCTAGACCTGTTGCTATGACCGTATAAACAACCAGTGTACAGAGTAGAACACACTGAACATATATACGCCCAGACAGGAAGTGCACATGCCATATTGTATGATTATATAACGATACATATCGTGAAAATCGCATACCTAATGTTCCACACATTAACAACCGTACATCATAGACACTTGTCTTTTGGCTCCACAACCGGGCTTACTACATGAAAGCTTCTACAACAAAGACCTAAAAACAACATACATGCCCTGTTTCTACACTGTAGCATTGGGCTTCACAACCGGGCTTACTACGCAGAAAGCTTCTACAACAAAGACCTACAAACAGCATACATGCCCAGTTTCTACACTGTAGCTTTGGGCTCCACAACCGGGCTTACTACATGAAAGCTTCTACAACAAAGACCTACAAACAGCATACATGCCCAGTTTCTACACTGTAGCTTTGGGCTCCACAACCGGGCTTACTACATGAAAGCTTCTACAACAAAGACCTTACAAACAACATAGATGCCCAGTTTCTACACAGTAACTTTGGGCTCCACAACCGGGCTTACTACATGAAAACTTCTACAACATACATGCCCAGCTTCTACACTGTAGCATTGCAACCTTAGTTTTTAAGTTGACATACATATTTCTTAGCCTACCATACTAAAATTTTTGTAAATGTATTTTGTCAACATTATAAAATACTTCTGACATTTTTAACATTCCATGATATATTCAACACATTATAAATCTTGACATATGGTATGCTTTTTATATTTTGTATCTTCTACTCTTACACATGACATTATTGTAAATTAACCTCACTGGTGTAGAATGTTTAGACCCAAGGAAATTCTTCCTTGTTAAGCAAGAAAATTCATACATGTAAGATTTGAGGCTTTCACGGCGGTGACTATGAAGAAAGCAGTCTTCTGGNTTCATACAGCTTATGCAAAATCTTGAATTTGAGAATTTGTATATCAGAAAGTCTAGTGCATGAATTTTTCTCTTTTGCACACCTTTGGTTGCAGTGGATAGTTTCAGTGTTATGCCAGACTGGAATAAAAATACTAGAACTATTGATCCTCTTTTTCTCTCTGTGATGTGCATATGTTTTTAAAGGTCTCTTTATTTGCTTATGAGTATTGCACATTCCAGATACTGTGTGGATTATGAATGTAAATATTTGTCCAAAACCTGATTAAAGACTAAGTGACTCATGAAAATTGTTATTTTGGAAGCTTTTAATTTTTCCACAGCACTCATCTTCAGACACGTATGAACACCATTATTAATGATAATGGCTTTGGTCCTCAGACCTGTTTAAACTCTGCCATTTTAAAAGGCACTTCTAAAATATACATAGAAATTGAGTTTCAGAAGCAACTGGTGTAGATTTCTAAATGAAATTGAAAAAATGACAACCCAGAGATAAGTGCATGTCTTCAAAATATGGTACAAAAATTTGTGACTGAAGTTCTTAAATAGGCATAATTGAATATTTGTGTTTCCTGCAGTTAGCATGAAAAAAGGAAGCAGTATGTTGAAAAGAATATAAACACAGGTAGTACATATAGTAACCACTATGATTTGAAGCAGTAACTGTATTCGAGAAAAGATTGTTCTCTTCTATATATGTATGTGTATGTTTTCAGTGGTGAAGCATTTGATAGATGGTGGTGTGACAGATTGATTTCATTAATGTATTTTCAAATTCAGACCCCCCTAGTTTCCATTCCATTGTGTACTTTGAAAAAGAACTGCACACTGATCTTCCTTCTTTCTTTTTCATTCCGTCTTACCTACAACCTCTTGCTATCCATTCAGTGCCTTCAGAAGTTGTGGATAAATATTAAATGTTAGAAAATATGAATTCCCAGAAATTAGTCAATGTATTATGACGTGTCAAACTGTTGTTGGGCAATGGGATGTGGAACGAGTTACCACGAAGACAGACTCTTGATAAACGGTCCGTTGCCAAGTTACACAACAGTAAGGAAAGCAGTGTTTCTCCATGATGTGCTGAGCCAAGCCGAAGCGCTCTGGTTGCTACGCAGCAATAAACAACTCGGCAGCATTGTAAACATGGCGTCATGCAACAGTGAAGCAAGCTGTGTTTTCCGCTGTCCGACTGAGGGTTTATAAGAGGAACTGGAATGCCTGAGGAGTGAGTTGAAATGTAGCAGCCGCCGAAGCCAGTTAGTAGTCTGAGTATTTGGCAGAGTTGAAGTCTAGCGGTTACAAGTTGTTGAGTTGTATCGAGTGAATGGGATCAAGACAGTTGAAGCCTCGAAGTGACTATGGCAGGAGAATTAACTGGGATACTGAAGTTGTGAGTTATGTAAGTGTGAATAAAAGTGTGCAATAAATTCGCTAGATCCAAGACCGGTGTGAAGTTATTTGTTGTGTCACTAGACATAGGAAACACGTTATAGTATGTTACTGGCTCACTTTCTTACATACAATGCATCCTTCTAAAACTTTTTTGAAAGTTTCTTACATGCACACAGTGCACGCTTTAAGCCTTATTTAAAAGCTTCTGTATGTTGCACTGCATGTTTTGACTGACATTGGTCATCAGATGTTCAGAAATTATTGGTGGAAACTGCTGTGCTACTGTTTTGTGGTTCTAATAACTGATGTGTAGTCCTATTTATGCACTCATATATCTGTAACATGTATTAATATAATTTTCTAATGATACTTGTTTATGTACTTACTGTATGTTGCTGGGTGTCTCTTCCTGTTGTTTAAAGCTTTATCTATTGCAGTGCCTCACAACCCATGTCTGTACAATGCGGGCTGTAGCACATTGTGTCTGTTAACCCCAAATCATGGCCACCAGTGTGCTTGTCCAGAAAATTATGTCCTTGGTGAGGATGGAAAGAGCTGCAATCCTAACTGTACCACTGCACACTATGTATGTGCCTCCACTTACAAATGCATCCCATTTTGGTGGAGGTGTGACACTCAGGTACAGAATATCTCACTATTCTTTGTCTTAAATATAGCTATGGACTTCTGATAATGTGTTTGGTGGGTTTTTTTTTTTTTTTTCCCACACTGGGAAAATATGATTTTGTTTTCCCTGCCATGACAGTGTCAGTATGGAGATACAAGGGCTCTTCGGAAAGTAACCTCCATTTTTTTAAGTTACTAATGTAGGAGCAAGGGAGAGCTTGCGCATTTGAAGTAGCATCACATGACTCATTGCCTTGTCAGCCATCACATAATTGGTCACCTAGTGTTTGTTCTTGTCTCTACAGAGTGAGTGATGATATAACCTACAATTGATGATCCTGCCAGCTGCGAAATTCATGCCGTTATCTATTTCGTTCACACTAAAACATTATTGCTGTGGAAATCCATTGTGAATTATGCATGGTAAAGGCCAAAATATGAGTAAATGAATTGTCAGACAGTGGTGTAGAATGTTCAAAGATGTGTGGGCTAGCAGATGGTTCACAATGAAGAGTGAAGTGGTGAGCCATCTGTAGTGACTGATGATCTTGCTCAAATGTTTTACCAGAAAAAAAATTATGAAAAGCTGCTGTTCACTATTTCAGAATTTTTATTTGTATTTACACAAATTTCACACTGTTCTCTACAAGATTGTCACAATTAGGTTAGGGTATCACAACTTTGACACAGCCATACAAAAACTTGTTCCCCATTACAAATGCCTCAATTCCAGCATTGACTACATTGAGAAATAGCTTATGTATGTGGGTATCTTTTGTTTATAATCAATATTTTGTGTTGTTATTGCTTGTTTTGTTAGCAGCTCACTTGGGGCTACTTTCTGAATAGCCCTCACATATAACATTGATGACAGGATGGTTAGTGAACATGGACAACTTGGTGGAATTAGATTCTTATAAATAATTTTGTCATATTATTAAGGTCACATAAGGCATTGCTTCTAGTTTCCTCAAAAAACAGTTATTCACTTCAAGGAAACATTTGTGACATGTAAAGTATTTCTCGGAGAAGTTCATGGGGGTAGGCCTAGGCCCACTGGGGCTGTAGTGCCAAGGAAAAAAAAAGAAAGTATTTCTACCTCACATGCATATAGAAATGTTGTCTGAAATCGTTCTTCACCTGGTGGATGTTTATAGACACTGAATTTTGGCTCTCAAAATAACAACACTAGAAAAGCTATTCATAAAAATGAATTCTGCTGCAGTACAATTCTTTGTTGTGACTGTTCACACTTGATGTTCGGTTTGGATTTGTATGTATTCTGTATCCATTCACACATCTCTCGGTCTACTGAAAGTGTTAGATTATGAAAACAGAGCAGTGTGGAAAGGAAGTAACATTTGTAGCAAGGCGAATCAAAATGAAATTATGGATAATGGATAAGAGTAACTGTAAGGTGCAGAGAAACTTTGTGATATTTGAGAGTGTAGTCTTCTGTATTATTACACCATGGAATCTCTGCAATTATAAACATAAATCACTGCTAGGTTATATGAGTTCTGCACAGCAGAGCATACACACATGTGTGCATATATGCACACACACCCACACACCTATACACACTAATGATACAGAAGTTGTAATTTGCACTTGTCCACCATTATATATGTTCCAATTGTCAAAGAAATTTCATGTTCTGACAGTCTTAGTTCAGCTTATACTTTGGTCTAACCCCTCAGTTACAACTAAGTGGCCCCGCTGAAGGCAGTAGTCAGTGCTCCAGGGTAAGGGAAAAGGAATTGTGCAGATGGTGCACTCTCAGTGACAGAGCAAAGGTGCCAGCTGTGACTGAACTAGAGGATCCTGGAGAATAATTGTTAGAAATGTGTTAAGAGTGCATTGCTGAAAAACTTAACATTGGAATCCTCCCATTAATTTGATTGTGGGCCTGCGTTCACTTCGTGTTGCAGGATGACTGTGGTGATGGCTCAGATGAACACAAGGACTGCCCCAAATTTGAGTGCATGCCAGGCCAGTTCCAATGCAATAACACAAACTGCATCCATCCATCCCAGCTGTGCAATGGTGAGACAGAGTGTGGTGATGGTTCAGATGAATTGGACTGTGATCAGGTTAGTGAAAAAGTGATGTGTTAAAAATAAGTGTTCCATACATATGACCAAATTGTTTTGGTTAAACTGAATTCTTTTGTTGACACAAAAGACATAGTTTTACCCATAAAACAGGTAAGGCTATCCCTTAACAGGCTATGAAGGCCCATAGGGTTTTAAGATGTTGAGGCTCCCAATTTTCTAGATAGCTCACAGGTGGCAGTACAGCTGTCAGCCTTACATGCCAACCAGCCTTTACCCCCAGGAAGATTCCTTGTACTCATTTCTGTTAGAGGCTGAGTTAATCCCAGAGCCATAGTACAGCTGGAATGATTAGGCAAATTGAAAAAAATCCAGTTAACACTGGGATTTGAACCCATGACCTTCCAGCTTGTAGCATAGTGCCTCAACCAACTACACTGCTACATGCCCCTAGGTTTATCTGTACCATATATGTATATACAGGGTGTCCCAGGAGGAATGGACCAAACTTCGGGAGGGTGTTCCTTATGTTAAAGCATGCTGATATAACCCAAAACACCTATGTCCAAAGTTGAACGGTTACGGAGATAATGGCCCGAGAAAAGTGTGGTCTTCTAGCGCGTCCACGCACTATACCTGTCAGCTGTGACTGTTATCTGTTTGTCCTTGAGTGCTGTGAGTCGCACTAGCCTTAATCTCATGCGCTACTTACAGAGCCTACAGTGTATGTTGTGTCAGCGTCGTGAATGGTTAGTAAATTACATGTAGTTGTGCGGTTTTGCTGAAATGTCTTTTGTGTTTTCACACGTTGAATATTGTGATATGCATTTTGTGTATGGATTTTGCGGTGGCAATGCATGTGCTGCTGTTGAAGAGTACCAAAGGCGTTTTCCCGATCGAAGGATTCCATCTCGAAGTGTATTTACGCGAATTCACTAGGCATTGCGTGAGACTGGTTCTCTTCCAAGTGTTTCTATGCAGTCGGAAAGGGAGGATGTACAAATGAGAAACACACAAGAGAACATTCTTGAGATGGTTGAGAGAAGTCCGCGTCTGTCCACTCGTAGAATGGCCTCTCGCAACGGCGTATCACGTATGCAGGTGTGGCGAACTTTACATGATGAAGAGCTGTATCCTTACCATGATCAAAGGGTACAACATCTGGNACTTGCCAGTCATGGGTCATGTATAGTGCTTGGAAACCCTAAGGACAATTATGACATGGCGAGCGAGTATTTCGTACTTCAATTTTATGGCTTCACGTCACTCACAAGTTAGTTTGATGTTACGTACATTATTAACGTTACAGAATCCACATATTCTGCCAGTTTTAATATGTATTTTGAAATCAACAAGTGTGTAACGCCAGTCAAAGTTTGACACTTCTCTGGCCATTATCTCCATAACCGTTCAACTTTGGACATAGGTATTTTGGGTTATATCGGCATACTTTAACATAAGGAACACCCTCCCGAAGTTTGGTCCATTCCACCTGGGACATCCTGTATATATATATATAGATCACACCAGTGTTTAAGGGTATATTATCTAGCATTTTAATTTTTCTCCAAATATGTCTGCTAGATTGCAGAACATCATACTAGTATGTATGTTCTTTTATTGGGAAACAAAGCTAATTTCAAGGCAAAAAAAGAAAGTGTAGTAACACATGAATTCCAGTTACACTTCTGTCTGCATAACTATGTAGCATAACATACAATAAAATTTTATTTGTCATTGTTCTGTTCGGGTTTATACAAGGGAGCAAAACAAACTAAATTTCAGAGACAGCTTAAATTTGGTTTTAGTTCTGAATTTATGGTGTAAAGCTCATTTGTAGTGTAAGCTTGGATATTTTTATTCCATTTTGCATATTTTGCAGACTGAAACATTAATCTTGTGAAGGTCACAGAGGCTCTTAAAACCAACGCGTGTGTATGTAATCCTTGCAGAACAGCACTGACCTTAAAGTGATGCAGAAGGTTTCTATTACAGTAAACATTTGTTAATTGAGTATCATATAGTTCAAACCCGGCGGAGGTCATGGAATTTTTAAGGGTGGAAAAATTCAGGGAACAAGTCCTCCGGGAGGGACTTTGAGCCATGGGTCCCGTGTCGTAGATTTACGGCACGTAAAAGAACCTCATGTCTCTAGGAGACCTATGAGCAAAATTAGGCAACATTTCCCGCCCAAGTAGTATCCAATTCCTCCGGTACATGGGGGAAGTATTAGGTACCACTGCCAGAGGAGGGGGGTCCTCTCTGACAGAAAGGGACTAACTATTAGATACCACTGCCAGAGGACGTTGGAACCTTGCTGGCAGAAAGGGGCTGATAGTAAGCACCAGTACCGGTAGGGTATGGAGACAGAAATTAAAGGGGGACACACAATGGACCACTAACCGGTCTAAGTGCATGGGGAAACCCACCCCCTCAATACGGAATACGGAATCATATAGTTCAGAGTTGTGCATAATTCAAAATAATTGTCAGTCTGTATCCATGAAGACATCTTTCATCCATGAATCTGCTTTGTTGCCTTGAGAGACTTCCAAACAAGATCTAAAGCAAAATCATTATTTTTGACTTTGTATTTGATTTGTGGAAGAGTTTTTTTTCATGAAATCAGCAGAGCCATGTAACTGGCAAACTCCATTCCCCATAAATGCCTGCTAACAGGAATGTTCTGTACAGGGCTGTTATAAATGATTCGGGTCATAAGAAATCAGTATAGTTTCAAAATGGTCACAGATACATACATGAAACTGTATGAAAGTAGCAAGGAAACTCATTAAATTTGTGTTGGCAACATTGATTGTAACATATCAGCCACAAGTGGTACTCTGGTCACTGTCAAACAAATATAGCATCTCAGGTTCAAAAGCCACAATATAGCTTGTGGTTTCATGAGACAAGATTAATGAAGAGAGTACAGTGATGCTTCAGAATAGTGTTTGGCAATGAATTGCCCAAAGCCAGCAGAGTCTGAGGTTGGTATAGGAAGTTTGTAAATGAATGGTTTATCTGCGAGAGTTAAAAGCACTGGCTGGTCGCACATTAGCATGGAAACTCTTGATCACATTGTGAAACTTTCATAAGAAGTCCATGACAGTTGACTGTACAAACCAACAGGGAAATTCATATCCCAGAACCTACAATATGGGAAGTGTTGATGCAGATTTCACTTCAAGCCATGTCATCTCCAACTTGTACAGAAGCCGTGTGATAATGACAAGATGAAATGGAAAGCATTCTGTGAAGACACCATTAAATGTTTTAAAATTGATGAGGCATATGGTGACTACCACACTTTCAGTGATAAAGTTACCATTTGTCTTTCTGGAAAACTGAACAAGAAGAATATCTGCATGTAGGGAAATTTGGAGGCACATGTCAGAGTGAAAATTACCGTTGACTTGCTGAAAGTCAGCACATTTTGTGCTGTGTCAAAGGCAAGGGTGTATGGTCCCTTTTTCTTTCCTGAAGCTGGTACAACACTTAGACATGTCTGAACAACAGTTGTGACCCCAGTGAAAGGAAGATTTCCCAGGGAACCTCTGTCTCCAATAGGATAGATATTTATCATTCTTCCACATGGCTTTGAGGGACTCCTTGAACGAAAATCTGCTGGAGGTGTCGCCAGGACAATCAGGACCACACCTTACTCCCTGTGACTTCAACCTATTGGGTTATGTGAAAGGCCATGTATACCAGCATTCAGTGCCTAATGGGGCACATAATGAACACCTCTATATATTCTTTATGAGTTTCCATGCTGTTTTCAAGTTGTTTCATCTTTGTACTTGTAACTGTTTTGAAAATACGCTAATTTCTTATTGCCCAAATTATTTATAACAGCCCTGTACTTCAGTAATGGTCAGATAAAAATTCTGTATAATTCAAAATGTGTTGTACCTTGTATTGTTTGTTCCATTTTGAAATGTACTGTAGATTTATGCCTTAAGTCCCCCCCCCCCAGTGTATTGTATTTATTTTACCATTACATGTTCCATGGCCTAGTGACTGTGATCCATTTAGTGTTTCTTATTTATCTAACAGATGTCTGTCTGATATGTGCTCTCATATTTCAACTTGAACTGGCATGTTGCAGTACACCTGCCTGAATACACAATATAAATGTCAAGGAAATGGGACTATATCAGACCGCTGTATTCCAATAAGCAAGGAGTGTGATGGTCATCCTGATTGTCTGGGCGGAGAAGATGAACATAACTGTCCGCCAAAGACTTGTCCCCCTAACCAGGTAAAGTACAAGCAATGCAAATAAGATTTCAATACAAGTAGGATTTGAAATTTGTTTGATGTCCAAATTTAGATTTTGGTGTTCTGGGTTATGAGATCATGTAATCTCGTAGGTAGTTACCATTGTTCTAGCAGAACCTACTACCTCCATCTTACAAGGTAGAAGTGAGTCAGACTGAAATGTGGGTAGGTTAAAGGGAAGAGTGTACAAATCCGTGGTGACCTGGAGGATTGCCCACGCCGAGCTATGGGACGGGAAGAGGAGACAAAGTCCTGTCTGGGCCTAAGGAAATAGGAACAGCCCAATATAACATAGCCACATCACAGCTTGACTCCCTTCTGCCCTGATGATGGAGGCAGCAGATTCTCCTGAAGCATATAAATACGAATGGAATCCCCCATGTGGAATGTGGCTTGGGGACAAGTTTTCTATGCCTTAAATGAAGAAAAATCCAAAATCAGTGTTATGTAGAATTCAGACAGAAAATCACACTCTATTTTAATTTCAAATATTTGCTTTAATCTAAAAAAAAAAAATGGGTAAAAATATATTATGGAAGTCTATAAGCATCAGAAGGTAGCGTATATTATGTCTAATTGCCTAGTAATTGCTGCTTGAAATCAACTTCTTTCTTTTTATTCTCATGTTCTAATTTTGGCAATAGGTCTGTAATATATGTCCAGTATTTACACAGTGAAGTACAACTTACACATGTATTTCAAAAGAGAGAAGAGCTTCTTACAAAACATGCATATGTAAACCTGAAATTACCCATGGAGCTTCCCTGAGTACATAAAAAATATGTAAGATGTGCAGCAATGGTAGCTTTTTCTCACTCCTCCTATATTGATCTGCTCATGGTCAGAGAGATGGCATGCAGCCTGCAGGGTCTCATCAGCATGTTTTGTTTTGTTTTTTTCTCATATTCATATTAACATTTTGCGGACCAGTGGCATATTTTTATGCCCAGCGCTTTTAAACATGGTGGACTGGTGGCATATTATTATGACTTTAGGACACTTTATTTTGAAACACACTATACCTTGCACTGGCGCCAGGCAGACGCATGACTGGTGCGTGATAGACCTCTTGAATGTTTGCTTCGTAGTCAGTAACATGACCCCGCTGTTTATGACCCAACTGTTTTCCTTTCTCACTCCAAAAGAAAAGCCTTTGTTCATCTTCCAGCTGCATGCACCAGGCAGAAAGATACTAGTGCAAAATGGATCAAGGTCGGAAGAGGTTGAGGGCCAAGCGTTTTCCCGGAGAACAAGAAATATCTGACTTGTTCTCCGATGAGCTATCTGACATCCCTTGTGAGTCTGCTAGTGATAGCAACTCACAATCTGTTAGTGAGTGTGGTAGGGGGCAAACAAAAAAATGTGGCCACAAACAGTGAAAGTGAAAGTGAAAGTGACAATAGCTCTGACAAAAGTGCAGGTAGCAACATTGCAGGGAGAGCCACATGGGGAAAAGTAGACAAAACGCCTGCTTTGGGACAGTTTACTGGAAATCCAGGGGTGAAGCAAATTCCATCGTACCCAACACAAGTGTCTGAAGTAGCGGAACTGTTTTTTGGAGATAGTTTCTTTGACACGCTATGTCAGGAAACTAACAGATACTATCTCCAACACCGTGAACATTATGACAGAAGTTATAAGGCGTTGAAGTGGGTGGATGTCACTTCAGCAGAAATGAGAAAATTTTTTGCAATAATCTTTCTAATGGGCCATACAAGGAGGGATAATCTGAGAGAGTATTGGTCAACAGATCCATTTTTAGAAATTCCAGTTTTCACAAAACTAATGAGCCATAAGAGATTTGAGCAAATTTGGTGGTGTTTGCATTTCAATGATAATGAACTGCAACCACAATCAACAAGCAGGCTTTTCAAAATTCAGCCCTTATTGAACTTTTTCGTTCAAAAATTTCAGACAGTTTATAAGCCAAACCAACAACTGTCTTTGGACGAATCTGTGATTCCTTGGAGGGGAAGGCTTCGTATGCGAACATATAATCCTGGGAAACTTACAAAGTATGGCCTACTTGTTCATGTAGTTACTGAAAGCACTTCAGGCTATATTGAAAGTTTAGAAATTTATTCTGGTGAAGGAAGGAAATTACAAGAAACTATTCTTTCTGTTTTGGAACCCTATCTTTATCAAAATTACAATGTCTATCAAGACAATTATTATAACAGTGTGGCAACTGCAGAACACCTATATTTTTGAGAAAAGTACATGTTTGTGGAACAATTAGGGTGAACAGAGGCCTTCCTCCAGATCTGAAAGAGGAATGTAAATCCCTGAAACGTGGTGAAACCACATTCAGGAGGAAGGGGGATATTCTTCTTCAGTCCTGGAGGGATACTCGTGTTGTGAATATGATTTCCACAATTCACAATTCGAGCATGGTTGATGTTCAGAGGAGACATGGACAGGTAAAGAAGCCTGTTTGTATTTCCGAGTATAATATGTTCATGAAGGGAGTTGATAGAGCCGATCAGTACTTGGCCTATTATTCTCTTCCTCGGAAAACAGTAAAGTGGACAAAGAAAGTTGCCTTGTGGCTTATAAATTGTGCCATTTTCAATTCATTTTTGGTTTTCAAAAATCTAAACCCTCATTCAAAATTGAAATACAAGGCATTTCTGCTGAATGTGGCAAAAGCCTGGGCTACAGACCACACGGTGGCAGCAGATACAGTCTTAGTACAACCGGGGCCGTCTACTCCCACCCCATGCAGGCCTCATTTTGACCCCCCTGGGCAACTCTCGGGTGATATGTGGAAACATACCCTCGTGAAAATTGTTAAGAGTGAACATGCCAAAGGGAAGCAGCCTTCTAGGCGATGCTGTGTTTGCACAGTACACAACAAAAGGTGTATGACTGTCTACATGTGCAAGTTCTGTGTAATGCCACTTCACAAAATGGAATGCTTCCAGAAATATCACACTCTCAAGCACTTCTAGGAGCATTCTAAGTGTTCTCCAAAAATTTTATTTCATAAAATTAATTAGGAGATTTTATATTAATTTTTAAAGTGAACAGTGCACAAGTTAGGTAGTAGGTTTAAAAATGCCAGTCCAGGGTGATTTAAATATTTAAATTGCCGGTCTGCAAAGTGTTAAAGACAACCAAAAAAAAATTTAATTCTGAAAATAGGGAAGAAACCTCTCTACCATTTGGGTAAATGTGGTTCTAAATCAACATACAAATTGCATGTAGAGACTGGATTTTCATCCACTAAACAGGAGTAAAACATTAAATTAGGGAAATTTATGCATTACTGATATGGTGCTTTGGCTGGGATCACAAAAAGTAGACACAAAAATTAGTAAATCTCTTAGATTAAGAAACCTGAAATTGGGATTTTGCTGTACCTATGTAACAAAATGGTGCCATAAGCTGTAATACTAGAATCTAAATGTTCACAAGCACGAAAATGAGAGATATAATGTGGATATATGTAACATTTAAATTAAGAGGTCTTTTCTAACATTTGAACAGACTGGTCATGTTATAATTACAGTCATCTGATTTGTGACCTGCCATGTAATCTGCTAGATAGGTACCAGCATTTCAGAGGAGCCTGCTGTTCCTGTAGATGGAAGCAACAGGTTCCCTTGAAACAGTGGTGCGTATTTACCAGACTTTGGCTTTAATATCTCAGGCTAGTCATAGTTCATAAGTGTTATAAGATAAGCAGGTTTATCCTATCTAGACTGAATTTAATTCTTTGCATTAACGTTTCTTTCAGTACTCGTGTAAGAACAAGAAGTGCATTCCATCAGTATGGGAATGTGATGGGGACAATGACTGTGGAGACAACTCAGATGAAACCCAGAACTGTAAGGACAGGAAGTGTCCAGCAGATCACTTCAAGTATGTATTACATAATGGTACTTAGAAAGTAGTATACAGGAATTCCAAAAAAAAAAAAAAAAGTGTTGGTCTTCTGGTCAGAGTTCCTGGCTACAAATCCAGAGGCCCCAGTTTCGATTCTCTGTGCTACCAGATATTCTGTGAAGTGGTGGGTCTGGAGTGGGATCCACTCAGTTTTGTGAGGATAATTGAGGAGGTATTTCAAGGAAATAACGGCTCCAGTCTAGAAAACCGAGATTAATGGCCGTGGGATCCATTGCGCTGACCACGCAACACCCTGTATCCACAAAAATTGGCACTAACTTCACTGACAAGCAGCGGTCGCTCAGTCGGTATAGTTTGCTTGTGGGCTGCAGGCCGCGGAGTTTAGTTTAAGTGGTCAAGAGATTCTTTTTCAAGAATATTCCAAAAGATTGACATGATTTACTTAAGATTTTGTTGTGTATGGTGTTCTTTATTTGACAGGTGTCAGTCGGGCCGCTGCATCCCCAAATCATGGCTGTGTGATGGAGATCATGACTGTTCAAATGGGGAAGATGAACCTTCTTCTTGCAGCTCATCTGATTTCCACACCTGTGACCCCACATACTTCAAATGCAAGAATAACAAGTAGGTTGTCATGTCTAGAGATTATAGTGTATCCTAAAACTGTCATTGCTAACTTCATGTCGTTTTGCAGTGAACACTTCTTGGTTGATCAGCCATGCGAAGGTGTAGTATCCAATGTTATATTGATAAATATATGTGACAAAATGTGTTTACCCTGATTTATGGTGGACTAATAATTTTGAACAGCAAGAGTCGAAATAGGGGTAAATAAATTATTTGTATGAAGTTCAGGCTGAAAAATAAAACACCTTATGCTTGGAGATTTTGCAAATTAATAATTCCATTATATACAGATGCATTCCTGGCCGCTGGCATTGTGACTATGACAATGATTGTGGTGATCATTCGGATGAGGATGGTTGTGTTCCACGTGAATGTTCTGAGTCCGAGTTCCGCTGCAGTGATGGTCGATGCATACGTGGAATCCATCACTGTGATGGTGAATATAATTGTGATGACCATAGTGATGAAAATGACTGCAACACCACCTGCAGCCAGAGTGAATATCAGTGCCAAAACCCACATTACTGCATATTTATGTAAGTTCTACTTTTCTGTAAGTTTTGACCTACATGGTTCAAATAAATGTATCATAATGTGTTATTGACTAGGAACACAGGGATTGGATTGATAACTGGATTTATTGGATGCTGATAACACGTAACTACAAATGACCATAACAGCCTCATAGAGTTACACTCTTCAGATCACTACAACTATTTATTTTCCATTCTCTTATCACTAGTCATTGCTAGGCAACAGCTGATAACAATGCAACTCAAGACTGCTAACCTCCGACTGACTGTCAGCTCCCTGGCTTGTCCAGTTGCTTCTCATTATTTAACCTCAGCATGGATCAGTTGCCATGGACACGTGTTTACTGTGTCATTGCCTACCAATGGCCACAGATAACACTGCATCCTTTATTGTTGCATGTTCATTCCTTGCCACAGAGAAATGTTTACAGCGCTGTTACCTAGCATTATTAATCATTATTCTACCTCTTAGCTGTTATGTTAACAGTATTCAATTTGTAATATAAAGTCTCATAATAATTCCTGTATGAAATTGTTTGACGAACAGATGTAATTGATCCTTTAGTGATATAGGTGCTTTCTGTATGGCACAAGTTATGTGGTGTCAAATAAGATGGGAAGATTATTATGAATGACAATTAAATTAGAATTTAGAAAGAACCTGTCATGACCTTTTTCAAGGTTCTGTCCCAGAATTTGAATTGAGGAAGTGAGGAATGTTACAGAAGACCTCAGTCAGCATACATGCTAAACCATCTGGAATTTTTACTACCAATTTCCCAAATAGATATCTTAGGTATTGAAGACTGCTCATGACATGTGAATTTGTGGACTAATTTAACATATTTTTGTTAGCATTTTCTAGTTGCAGTTCTCTGAATCCGGAAAAAATTGAAAGCATATTAGTTTATTTTTCTCTAAGTCTGTCATGCATGTTGGTATCACACAGCTGTTAACCAGAATGCGTGTTGACAGTGAATGGAAATGTGATGGTGACACAGATTGCAGTGATGGCTCTGATGAAGCCAATTGTAATGAATCGTGTCCAGACAACCAGTTTACTTGCCAAAATAAGCAGTGTATTAGCCTCTCTTGGCGCTGTGATGGAGATGACGACTGTGGTGATCACTCAGATGAAACCCAATGTGAGACTCTTGCTTGCCCTCCAGGTCGGCACAGGTCAGCACTCATATTTATTTATTTATTTATTTATTTATTTATGGTTTCTTTAATTATACTGTTACTAACTCAACTGTATAGCATTAAATGGCAAGGTGATTAGTGAATGATGAATTGGAAAGATATGGTTAGAAGCCTGATTCATTGTACTCTCCTGACATTCACATTGAATTACTGAGGAAAAGCATGAAAACCCTCAGTCAGGAATATAGGCTGTGTCCCATGTGGTATTAAGACTGGGCATCTCCTGAATGTAAGTCAGTAGTGTAACAGCCTGTGCAGATTTGTTCATTATGAGTGTGCGTGTATGTTTCCATATTTGAACACTTTGATTCTCATGGTTCTGAAAGTTTTATCCATGTTTTGAGTGGATAGTGTCAAATTAAAATAGTCAATATGAAAGGTAAGAATGTAAAAGAATTTTTAAAAATCTCTAAGTTGATATTTCCATAGATCAGAATCCTCCTTAAGAAGCTAATAATTACTCACCTTGTCAATCAATTCCCTACCTTTTATTTAATTTTAATGTTCATTACCTGGTTTCCAATAACCAGACATTCACTGGTCCTTGTCCTGGGCCAGCTGGATCCATTCCACACTCCCATATTCTCCTTCTTCAAAATTGTTTTGAATAAAATTAACCTAGGGAGAGAATTCTGACATTCCAGGTTCCAAATCTTATACTTGTAAATTATACTAAAGAAGTTGGGCCCTTGTTGCAGGTGCAAGAATCATATTTGTATCTCTCCGGTAAACATCTGTGATGGTACAGACAACTGTGGAGATGGGTCTGATGAAGATCCAGTAGTGTGTAAGTGAAGTTAAGGCACTGTCAACTGTCTGCATGAATATGTCAAGAATTCCTAAGAACAGTATGTTCTGCTCATGCTCATGTATTTCTCAGTAAAGGAGTAAAAACTTCACATATACATACATATATCTATATAAATGTAAAGCATTAAATATGCATTAAATCACTTTATATGTGATGTACATTTAAAAACATTGTCTACCATTTCTGTATGTAGTAACAACATGAAGCAAGTGAGACTGTAATTTATTAGTGAGGGAATAAGTATGGTAATGTCACGATTGAGAAAGTATTGTTTCATGATGGATCATGTTCTAATTTACCTATAAATTTTGCAAACCACGTTGTTACCAACATGATAATTTGCAGGTCAGCAATCTGGCCACTGTGCTGTCAATCAGTTTAAATGTGCCAACAAGATCTGCATCAGCAACAAGTACCGCTGTGATGGGTTTAATGACTGTGGTGACAGTTCCGATGAAGATGATTGTGTTCAGCCACCATGTCATTTTGGAGCTTGTTCACAGATATGTGTAGAAAAGAAGGCAGGAAACTTTTCTTGTCATTGTGCTCCAGGCTTCATAGGAGAAGGGACATCCAGGAATAGGACATGTCTGGCTCGAGGTAATAATGCATTTATCTGGCATATTATTGCTGTGGCTTCTCTTCCATTCAAACATACATACCCAGTTGTTATGAACTCTTCTTTTGTCTTCCCATTTACCATCCAAAATGTAGCATTTAAAAAGAACAGAAAATTTTACTTGTTGTTTTGTGTATGTGTTGAACTTGACCCCTTGTTGTAAGGGGAGAACAGATTGAGGGTGTTTGAGAGCAGGACCTGTGAGAGAGGAAGTAACAAGAGGATGGAAAAAGCTGCATAATGAAGAACTTTGTAATTTGTAATTTTCACCAAAATATTCTTAGGATAAACAGAAGTAGGAGAATATTGAAATTAACCTTAATCTTTAATGTACGGACTTTTAAATTGCCGGGAGCCCTCTGCAGCCGATATTAACCTTTATGAGCCGAAAGACACTGTATGGGGACCTTTAAATTAAAGCTGAGATGGCCGAAGGACACCGTATGGTGACTCGCAGGCCACACGTGTGCACAGTGTTTTAAAATCTAATTTTAAGATAGAAATTCTTGTTCTACTTACATTATTTTTGGACACCAGCTTTATAAGTAGACTGTCTTCCCTCCTGCATCATCTAACTGAATGTTGCATGTCACTGAATGCAGAGTCCGACATCGCAATTCATGCATTTTGTCCGTAATTAACTCTGTTTTGCACGTGAAGCGCGCACATGCAGTGTCAGTCTCGTATTAGCAGGAAGTAGGCCAGTGATGGCGAGTGGTCTCCTCTATTCATAACACTTATAAAACATCGCAATTTCAACTATGCGCCATGGCCCCTTTTCACATTGAAGAAGTGGAAAAAGTGAGGCCACTCGTGAATCACACCATTCAGAATGTGTTACAGTCGATTTTGAAGGGATGTGAAAGCAAGGGGAATGAGGGGATATTCCAAGAAGAGTAACTCTGTGTGGATAGTCCGACATACATGAATAAACAAACAGAGTTTCATAAGGTCAGTGTAGGATAAGAACTCGCCCACACTCTGGTATACAGGAAGCCTACATGACTGGAGAATGTGCAGTACGTAAACATCCTCTCCTATTGCCAGATAAAACACAGACAGTGCATCAGCACCATGCATTTATACTGCAGAAACGTACTGTGCAGAAGCTTTATGCATTTTTGTGGACAGACGCTCAAAATTGGGGAAAAATTTTTTTTGGAATCAATGTAACAATTTTTACAGATTCTAAAATCTGTAAATTACAGTATCTGATTCTATATGCTTTCTAGATAAAAGTAGCATTTATTTCATTCGTTTATCACAAAAATTGTAGAAATCACAACATTTTGAGTAACATGATTACAATTTTATTACTCTACAATGGCGGGCATTTAAATTAACTCCGTCCTGCTGCCACTACCGGAATTTAAATGGCCCATCCCATAAAGGTTAAAATCACCCTGATTAATTAACATTGCAAACCGTCAGAAAAAAAATCCATATTTTCCATTCAATTAAATTAAATTCATATTCAAAAATAGATCCAGATACAGGCTGGGAAACAACCATTGGATATAGAATGAGTCACAGATAAAAAAACAAGCATTCCATTCCCACGGGAACAAGTCAAGGCATTCATAATATAAAACAAAATAAAAGAACATATCAGCCATATATACAACAAAACTCCCTCAGTATGGAACTCATGACTCATCTATTATTTCCATAAAATCCAATACTTTAGGATATGGAAAAGTAATATTAGATAAATAAGTAGTACAAAGAACTAAGTCAAGACATAAGAATAGACCCAGAATACAATTAATCTTACCGACTAGTATATACAAAAAATTCATCCACAGTATAAAATGGGTGACAAGTCGAGGCATTCATAATATAAAACAAATAAAAAAGAACATATCAACCATACATACAACATGCAACATAGAAATAAAAACTAAAAACAGCCTAAAAGACAATAAAATTTTCTACATGTACACAGAAGAGCAATTTTTACAAACAAAAATTAACTGATTATTTTGTCATGAATTGCAAAATATAATCTTTATTATATATGTTATGAAATTCCAAAGGACTTACCCGTTGTTTTTTCTTCAACTTGAATCGTGCTGATATTGTAAATATAATCACACTATATACAATAATATTTTGTTCAGACTGTACGCGATTTTGAACTGCGTCACTTCACAGTTTACGATAACTCGCACTCTGATGCGCGTGTACTACTTCTCGAAGCAGCCCAACACGCATAGCACAACCCACGTCTTGAAGTAGCCGAACACACATAGCGCAACCTCTCACTTTTTACAGTAGTAGAGCGTGCTTCTGCGCTTCTTAATTTGAGAACAAATATGACATCTTGTTTCCCTTTGGTTTGCTAGTGTTGTGAATGTTTCACCTCCAGTCGACTCAGTTGGGCCCCAGGTAACCTTGGCCTCCCCCAAGAAACGCCACTGACCGTGATATTCGCCTTGTGATATTCAGCTTTGAGACTTGGTGATACTGTAAATATAATCACACTGTATACAATAATATTACTGTATGTGAGTTTGAACTACGTCACTTCACAGTCACTTCACTATGATAGTCACACTGACACATGTCCACTTCTCGAAGCAGTCCACACAGAGCAAAATCACACTTTTTACAATAGAAGAGCATGCTCCTGCTTTTCTTATTTAGCGAAACACACGACGTCTTTGTTTCCCTTTGGTTGGCCAGTGTTGTGAATGTTTCACCTCCAGTCAACTCAGTTGGGCCCCCTGATAACTTTGGCCTCCCCCCGAGAAACGCCACTGACCGTGACATTCGGCTTGTGCGATTGAAGAATCATCTTTGGGGAGGGGGGGTTTCTAGCAAAATTGAATAAATTATGTTGATTGACAAAGCGACACTCTCACCTGTTGGTAATATTCGCAAAATAGTGATGCAAAGTAATTATAATACTAGTCGAAAAAGAGTGCCAGTCCGACACATACTGAAAGTTGCAGTGGCAAAGATGCCTTTTTCTCACAAAGTAATACTGGCTCAGTGGGTTTATACCTATTCCAAGACAGAAAATAAAAATGATATATAAAGAAATATATGACAGTCTGACACTGACTCCCTGACTGATAATTCGCCACTGAAAACCAGTCCTTGAAGGCTCTGCAAGCGCTCATATGCAAGCACCAATAAATATTTTCTCATCTGCTCTTGAAACAAAGCTGGGCTATATTTGGCTGACCAGGTCATAAACAGTCATATCCAAACGTAAATAGTATCTAAACCAGTACCATAATAAACAATTTATTTGTTCAGAGCTAAAGAATGAACCACTGACATGACCTCACGTAGGTTTGTTTTGGTTTCCAACCCAAGGTCAAACTGTCAGCACTCCCAAAGAGAGCATGTGTCCTGCAGCATATATACAGGTCATTCGGCCAACTCCAGTTGCTGCTTGCGACCTACATATGTGCCATTCGGGCGTTAAAGGTTAAAGTTGTAGTGTGTGTGAGGAGGTGAACCAAATTTATGTGGCATGGGATGGGGCCCAGTATTGGTGTCCTGATGGCCGCGTCATAGCTCAAGCGGTTAGTTGCTGGCTTCCCACCATGGTGGCCTGGGTTCGATCCCAGGTCTGGTCAAGTGGGATTTGTGGTGGACGAAGTGGCACTGGGGCAGATTTTCTCCGAGTACTTTGGTTTCCCCTGCCAATCTTCATTCCACCAATTGCTCTACAATCACCCTCACCTGTCATCTGGGGATGGTACAATGGGCCAGAAGTGGCCACAGTACAAGGTACTTAGTCCCACCCCACTAACAATAAAAAAATTGCTGTCCCGTGAACATGGTATTGAGCCTTCAGCTTCCATAATGGGTGGATAATTTCTTCATTAGGCGAGTAATTATTAGCTTCTGAATAACTCTTCTCCATGGAGTTTGGTTTATTTTTACTCTTTTCACAATTTCCTAGTCATATTTGGCAAGGATATAATTAAAGAAATATATAAAATCGCTTGACATGAAACTTCCGGTTGGTGTGTTTTTCACATTGTATCATTTTATCAGCTACCAGTTATATGTGAGGAGCCGGGATAGTGTAGTTAGTATAACAATTGTATATGGGGTCAGAGTTCAAGTCCCTGTGTGGGCAAGAATTTTCACTTCTCCATACCATCCAGACCAGCTCTGGGGCCCACCCAGCATCCTATCCAGTGGGTACCAGGGCTCTTTCCCCAGGGGTGAAACTGATCACTCACCTCCAACTAGGGCTGAGGTCAAGAAAACGCAAGTCAATACTTCTCCCTCTCCATACGCCTTCATGGCATAGTGCGTAATTAGTTAAGCACAGGGATAACTTTACCTTACTTTACCAGTTCTATGTGTGTGAGTGAATGCACGATGCATTCAACAGAACATTAAGCAAACACATTTTCATCGATTTAAGAACCTAGTAACTATGCTGAGGAGTTAAGAAATTGTATTCACAAACATGAACTTGAGTTGGCACATGATGAAGAGCCTGATTTGATCACGTGACGTTATAAGTCATTCCGGTTTTGCTATATAAATGTGTGAGGATATGATTTACATCCAACCCACATTTATAGATGTATGAATAATGCTGGAATTTAGCAACATCTTATTGCATTGATTGTTGACTTAGTGCTTATGTAGTCTTCTTGTTGAGTTTCAGTGGCTCTGGCTATTGTTACCTCATTCCACCTTTTTGTTTCACTCTTCGTACAACATGTTTCGGACTATCTAAGTCCATCATTTGGTTGTCTTTGTAAGTTATAAGAGCATGTTAATTTCCCTGTTAAAGGAAGCACAGTCTTCACTCAGCAGTCACGTACACTGTACTAGCAACACCACCACACATATACGTGTAAACGAGGATAGTTCGACTTACCATCAGTGAACGGCATCACATGGCGAATACCAACATTTGTAACTGCTTCAAGAACCTACAAGGAGGAGTTCATTGTGGGTCTTCCATCATTTTGAAAATATTAATTTAACATTTTGACTTCAACATTTATTGAACTCTAGTTAGGGCTTCCCTTAATGGAGAATTATGACAGTGCTGCAAATTTCAAGTATGTGGGGCAATCCAAAAGTTTCTGAAATTTGAATTTTGCGCACAAATGGTTATGAGTACATCGAAATACCGCTGGGTGTCTCCTCACATATCCTTCTTGAATCAGTGTGGCAAGTGGCATTGAGTTGAGTGGTTGGGTTTATTGTTGGTGAACATATTTCCATTGTTGTGTTTCCATGAGTTTGCGGTTTTGCGATGGCTGACCTGAGAGAGCAGCATGTGTGTATAAGGTTTTGTTTCAAACTTGGGAAAACCGCTGCAGAAACGCACCAAATGTTGAAGCAAGCTTTTGGTGAAAACAGTTTAGGCCAGACACAAACATACAACTGGTATAAGCGTTTTAAAAATGGCCGAACATTGACTGATGATGACGATCGTTCAGGACAGCCGTCAACGGGCAAAACACCAGAAAATGTCGCGAAAGTTAGGGATCTGATTCTGCAAGATCGTAGACTGACCATCCAAGACCTCTGTAACGCCTTGGGACTAAGTTATGGTACATGTCAACGAATTTTGTCAGAGGAACTGAACATGAGTAGGATTGTGGCGAAGTTTGTGCCACAACTGCTGCAAAATGAACAGAAGCAGCATCTCTTGGAAGTCTGCAGGGAACTTCAGCAACAGCTTCAAGGGGATCCAAACTTTCTTTTGAAGGTTGTCACTGGTGACGAAAGTTTGGTTTATGGCTACGACCCTGAAAGCAAGCAGCAGTCATCGCAATGGAAGAGCCCTTCTTCACCTCGGCCAAAAAAAGCTNCTGCATATGGCTTACATTGTGCAGGAATTTTTGGCTAAAAACAAGATGGCAGTTTTTCCCCACCCACCATACTTGCCAGACTCAGCTCCATGCGACTTCTTTCTCTTCCCCAAGATGAAAATCAAGTTGAAGGGGCGAAGATTTGATACAGTTGAGGAAATTCAAGTGGAAACACAGACGGTACTAAACACCCTAACAAAGAAAGACTTCCAGGATGCATTTGAAAAGTGGCAGAAATGCTGGGGTAGGTGTATGCGCTCCCAAGGGGACTACTTTGAAGGTGATAGTGCAGAATAAGATCTAGGTAAGATGTAATAGTTTTTATTAATATATTTCGGGAACTTTTGGATTGCACGACATATATACCTAATGATAGCTTTACGTAGATCAAAACATGTATGAACAGTGAAACAAGCATATGGAATGAGACAGAGCCATCAGAACTCAGAAGTTTCATTATTAAGATTGTGATTAAAAACTAAATTAGATGTAGAAAGTAAGATGTAAAAATTTGTTACAGTGGTGTATTAATACTGTTATTGTGATTTTGGACATTATCCATCCTGTTTATTTTTATGTAAAACACAAAATAACCTTTTACCTGAAGATGGAGACAATGTGGGTTCCGAAATGGTGTGTTTTAGATAAGAAAACAGGAGAATGGATAATGTCCAAAAACACAATAATTATTATATAGACATAGAAAGACCCCCTCGTTGGTGGCTCCACCTAATTGTGGTGAGGGGGTTTGAGTATGCCAAGCTATACCAGCGGTAGCGTAGCTACTGGCAGGGCCTCCCTTGCTGGACAGGTCAAAGGGTAGGCATCAGACGAAGAGAGACACCAAAAACTGATGCCGGAAGCAGCGTCATCAGCAGCGACTTGAAGCACAGAGTAAATAATGCTCGAGATGGTTCAAGTTCGTATAGCAACAGGCGTGACCAGAGTGGTTTGAACGGCTGTTGTACTGCGATGTGGAAAGCAAATGGAAAAACTACCACATTATCACTTTTCCTGGATAGTCTCTTTCCAAAACCAGAGATACCATGTATGCGAGATATTTCATTTGAAGGAGAAAGCTCTAGATCGCATCAAGTGGAGGAACTGTTTTGGAAGAGACTGTGGACCTGTCGTCTTGACAGATTACTGATGAATGAAGACATAGAAAGAAATTCATTGAATTTGTGTTACATGTTTGTGCTTTTCAGGAAAACCCGCCCACCTTGTGGTTGCTGGTGAAGCAGATCTAAGAGACTTGAACCCATACAAAGCTGGTGAAGATACTCTAATCCAGGCCCTAAGTAAATCATTTCATGACCGTGGTCACAAAGTAGAATCTGTGGATATATTGTGGGATCTGATAAAGCCAGCCATATTCTGGTCTGACCACCACAGCAAGATGATAAGGAGGTCGTATCTCTATGATTTCTCCTCAACATTGAACGAAACACAATTAAGGAGGGTGCAGCGGGATGATTCAAACATTGTGGTAGGTAGAAGACATAATATGTAAGGCTTTAAAGATCACACAGTTACACATCTGATCCTAACATAAAATGTAAACAGCTGTATAACTGTGGGTTGCCATTTTTAATTTTGTGGGGGAACTTTTCATTGTATATGAAAAATTAATTTTGCAAGGGATATGTGTTAGTTCATAGACTTCTGTCTGCCTTCCATTTAATATAATGAATATTATAAAAACATCAGTAGATGTGAGAGCTGATCTGAGTCTAATTAGATTTAGTGGCAAGGAAATGGGTGTAAGGAAGTAATTTTCAGGTATTCCAAGACTTTGTATTAGATGGAGGTGCCTGAGGAAAGAGTTCCCAGTACTGAATGCATTCCTGAGCTGTTTTGCAGGTGGTGGCCTGCTTTGAGGCCATCCATCCAGTAGGTGGTTACTTTACCATGAGCTTTCTCAGTTCAGTATGCATATATGTGTATGTTAATGTATTAGTACAGTAGTTTTGAATAGCCATGTGTCAAATTTATCTATTTGCTAATTGTATGGTCCAGCTGGCTGAATATCAGTTCTTTCAATGCTAATGTCATTACCACTATTTAAAATATAGTCACTAGACCTGTAGAAGGGGAGGTTTAAAATTCCCTATTCCCTGAAAATAGACTGTTACCCCTAAATTAGAACATGGTTGCCATACCTGTAGCATACAGAAATTTTGAACCCCTATTCCCAGACAATGAAATTAAGTCCAGTTCTTCAGGTTTGAAATATCTGAAAAATACATGGACTGTGTACAGTTTTCTGAATTTTGTTACAGGGATAGCTTTACTTACTTTTACATACTGTGGTAGTGTTAAAAGAATCCAAGTAGTATGAATCCCTTTTGCCCCTCACAAAATGGTATAAAATATTTTTATTGCCTCACTTTTTTGATCAGCTAAATTCTTTTGAGTACGTATGTTGATTTTCAGGCAATGAATCTGGTCGACCCACGTGGGCTGGCTGTGGACTGGGTGGGCATGCGGGTATACTGGGTAGATGCAGGACAGGATGTCATCATGGTTGCGGAATTGAATGGAGAAAAGAAATGTACACTTATAGATGCAGAGCTGGATCAACCCCATGACATTGTTGTGGACCCACAGTCAGGGTAACTTCTGTGTGCATAATACCTTATCAGCAGTTATACCATGCAGATCAGGGATTGAAAGTTATGTAGGCAGTGTAATAAGCATCCCTAAGCTCAGTTTTATTTCTAAAATGCAAGAATAAATTGGTTCCAAATGACTAGCAATTGTACCCGAATCATTACTGTTGCATATTTTCATAGAAGACTTAACATTGAATCAAGTTTACAGGGTCTCTCTAAGAAGACCTTTTGTGTGCGTGTGGGTGTGCGTGCATGCGCGTGTGTGAGAGAGGTTAAACTAATTATGCACAGACTGTGTCGGTTGGTCCAATCTAATCTGTTCAGTGCTCTTCTCATTTTAAGACAACACCATTTTAATTACTGCTGCTACTACTGCTACTACTACTACTACTACTACTAATAATAATAATAATAATAATAATAATAATAACAACAACAACAATCTCCTGCTACCCCCTCCTCTTCACCCTCCCCTTCTCCTCCTTACTGCCCTCTGTTCTTTCTACCAGAGAGAAATGGTACTTGAAGCTCAAGGTCATAGCAAATCTTACAACATATGGGCTCTAAAGCTGTCATGTAGAAGAATCTATACTGTGAACATATTAAATGCATCTTGTAATTCAATTTTGAACACAAAAATATAAATTGCTTGTAGGAAAGGCAGTATTTCAGGCTGTTTTAATTATTGTACCCATCTTCCAGTGCATACACTCATCTATCTCCTCCCCTCACTCGCACTACATGTTTCGGCACAAAAGTGCCATCTTCAGGTGCTTATTCGATTTACGCTAAACTAGTTCATTGCATGCCTTGTTGTCTTCATATTAAAATAACTAAAATATATATTTATCATATATATTGATAAATGTTAAATGTTAACACACGCAGTCACAGGAGCAAGACACAACACAAAGCACAGTACACACACGATAGTGAAAGAGTGCTCCAATAGAAGAGGATAGGTGTGACTCGCGTAGTGAGATACGACGTAGGGATGAAAAATCCTGAACAATTTTAATATTTTTAACATTTAACATTTATCAATATATATGATAAATATATATTTTAGTTATTTAAATATGAAGACAACAAGGCATGCAATGAACTAGTTTAGCGTAAATCGAATAAGCACCTGAAGATGGCACTTTTGTGCCGAAACATGTAGTGTGAGTGATAGGAGGAGATAGATGAGTGTATGCACTGGAAGACGGTTGAAATAAATCATGGACTTAAATCAGTGCAACAGGACGCTAAAATATAACATTATTGTACCCATGTTCATAATGCCTCGTTTATGTCTGAGCAGACAGAAAGACTTGTGCTCCTTGTCAGTAGGATAGAGGTTTTTCTGCCAGTGTATCTTGTTGTTGTTATTGTTATTGGAGAGTGTGGGTTTCCCCATGCACTTAGACAAGTATTGGTCCATTGTGCTTCCCCCTGTGATATTCTACCAGTCTCTATACCCTGCCGGTACTGGTGCATGCCATCAGTCCCGACTCAGCCAGCGAGTTCTGTCTCTACTGGCTCAGCGGTATCTCGATGCTTCCCCCATCTACCAGAGGCGTTAGAGAATACTGTTGAGCGTGAAATGTCCTGAATTTGGCTCAGAGGTCCCTTTGAGACATGAGGTTCTTTTACGTGCCATAAAGCTACAACATGGGACCCACAGCTTAAAGTCCCTCCCGGAGGACTTGTTCCCTGAATTTTTCCACCCTTAAAAATTCCACGACCTCCGCCAGGTTTGAACCCGCGTACCTTGAGTCATGAGGTGAGAACATTACCCCTAGACTACAGAGGCCGCTGCCAGTGTATCTTAATAAATTAGTTTAAAAAAAGTGTTTTGTTACTTCGTTTTGAATCGCAACTTTAATTTCTGCTTGTGTAGTCATGGCTTGGCTCCAGGATTCTTTGCCTCAGCAGGATGATTTCTTGACATCCGGTGGTCCGATTTCACTGTGCTTCATACAGTGAAGTCTTTTTATATTCATGATAATTATCATTCTATTATAATAGAAGGAAGCTGTAACATGGATAATTGGAAACAGTGGCTGGTCCACATGCTAGTAGGCTGCTGAACTCTGTTTGAAGTTAAAACCTATAATGAATTGTATACTATAGAGTTTACTGGTCCTACTTATGGTCACTAAACTGCGAGACAAAGTCTTTCAAGGAGAAGAAAGTAAGTCTTCCTCAGTGATAGTAAATCCTTGGAAAAAATAGGTTTATAAAATTGCAAAAAAATGGAAAGATGTACAGCCCACCACAAATCATCATAAAGCATAAATGAAAAATGTTACTGGAAATTATGTAATGAGCAGCACTTAAATCATTACAGGAAGGTATAGTCAATAACTGAGGGGACTCAGAAAGTTTCACAGATTCCACAGGGCACATAATCTGCACCCAGATAATCTAAAACTCCAAATGCAAAAATTTTGTCTTACAGGCTCATGTTCTGGTCTGACTGGGGTGTGAAAGGTCGTATTGAATCAGCATATATGGACGGGACAGGGCGTCGTGCACTTGTGGACACAATGGTGCAGTGGCCAACTGGACTAGCAATAGACTACCCAGCCAGAAGATTGTACTGGACTGATCCCAAAGCTTATACTATAGAAACTGTAGACTTGAATGGACAAGATCGCCAGGTCGTCAGAAGATTCCCACATAGTAAGTCAGAGTACCAGTTTGCAGAGGAACAGATGAATGGCTTTATGTAATTTCATTATTTATTGGGATAGATTTGTAATTCCATTAATATTGATGTTGATTCTCTTAAATCGCTCTCACACACCAACATAAAGCCAAAATATAGGTTGATACATAACATTCTCCTTCCATGTCTAAGAAATTTTCAAGTAAGTACTAAGAAACAATTATTTGAAGAATGGCTGTTTTTTTTTTTTTGAGCTTGAAAATCAAGCACATAAATCTGTTCATATGCAGATTATTGCTTCCATAGGAGTAATTCTCACTCATAATAGCACTTACCATAATTGACAACAGAATGTAGCTGTTAGAATGCCATGAATTAAGAGGTCTCTTAGAGTGAATGCACAGAATGAATTCGTGTTTTATGAGGCTAATTCTAAATATTTCTGACACTGATATGTAACAGTAAATATGTCTGTTATATTCTTGACATGGCCTATAATCTTGGAACTTTTTAGACACAGTATTTCAGAAACTGAAACTCTTTCTGTCACAACTGGATGTGACACTGGTTTGTAACAGTAGATATGGCTATTATTCTGGATATTGTCTGTCATCAGGAGTTTTATCAGACATGATGTTTGAGAAACTGGGTCAGTCTTCTCATAACTGCACATGATTAAGCTAAGGCTGTTTACCCACTGGTGCAACCATTTCATGAAAATGGTTGTATGTGATGTGAAGTTCTTTCTATTTGCATCTGCCCCATCACTATTCATGAATCCTGTCCCACCTGATGAGATTCAAACATTAGTTTAGCACCCTACAGAGTCACACTTGAGTGCAATCAGATGAGCCGGTTTCTGACAGACTTCAGTTACCCCATTGTACACCAACAGTAAGGTTAGTTTGCAGTGGGGGTGGGGTGCCGCCCTCCCCACATGTTTGTTGTGGTGGTGCAAGAAGATGCATTATGCAACATGATATTTGTGCAGGAGATAGAGAAATATCCATGCGTTTGTAATTATAAGTTGCCTGAAGACATTTCCTGATCCTAAGCAAGAAATGTATCAATCACTTCAATGTGTGAGTGTCAAGTAGAACTGGTTTCATATCACTGGTGTGTGCAATTGGTTTCATGCAGTTGAGTGTGCTAGTAGGGGAGCAGCGTAATCTGGCCCAACTGGGGGACCTTCCCTCCCATACACCTACATGTCATGTAGACAGTTTTTAAAGATTACAATGTTTTAACATTGTGCTCTATGTATATATTGTAGGTGACACGCTTTATCAAAAAATACAAGGCTTTTATGGCAATAAATTCGGACATTCATAATTATAACACGAAGAAAATTAAATTTTTGTGTACAGCACTGTAATACAGCTCTTTTTAAGAGGAGTGTCATAAATATCAGAATTAGTTTGTGTATTAAGGTCCCCGATCAAATAAAACAAAGGGAAAATTTTAACTCATTTAAAAAGGAGTTAAAATTTTTTTTGCTGAAACATTCCTTTTATTCTGTAGATGAATTTATGTCTTTTGATATTTCAAGTGTGTAAATGTAATATATAGCTGAATAATCTGTTGTATTTATGTAAAGACAATGATATTAATGGTAACTAGATCTAGGTAATATTATTCAGACAACAAACCCCCTATATTAGGGTGGTACAGTGTATACTGGAAAGATATGCACGAGAATTAGATGTAAAACTGACAATTTCCTTATCCAAATGGTTGAAATACCTGTATGTATGGATTGTTGAATGATAATAAATGATAATGATAATGAAAACAGATGCAGTCTCTGGAACATGTGTGAAGAAACCCAAGATGATCAACAGCATCCAAAATAATCCTCATGCTTCTGGGGCTCCTCTTTTCACAGCCATAGTGTAAGTTAATTGTTGTGTAGTAACTGATACTTTTGACTGACTCTAACTTTGTAATTTCACAGGGAAAAAACCATACAAAGTGGAAGTATTTGAAGACAATTTATATGTGAGCACGTACCAGACAAACAACATCATCAAGCTGAACAAGTTTGGCCATGGTAATCTGACATACCTGATGCGGGGGCTAAATAGAGCGTCAGATATTCTCATCATTCAGGAAAACAAACAAACAAAGAACAGTAAGTTTCTAAGAATGAGCACCAGAATGAGAGCAGAGTAATTTGTCCACTCAAGGAACAAAGCCCAGAAAGTTTATAATGACAGAGCACAGACAGTACTGGTATGCAGTAGTTTTAAAGCCCTTTGTTCCCACTTTATCTCTCTTTGTCAGATATAATAGATATTCATCAGTGTTGACTTTCTTCTTCTCTTCCTCCTCATCCTTGCTGGTGTTCCCCTCATCCTGGTTCTCCACTAATTATGTTCACAATATTTTAGTCATTAAACGATAGGTATAACTTCAAAGTGTCTTACATTTCATTCTTTCTAGTCAATGTAACGGGTGTTTCACTCGGGGCAGAACCCGGCATTTTGTTAATAACTCGGATGCTAATAAAGATATTGCAACGAAATTTAGAGTGGACTTACCTCAGTTCATGTGAAGTCTTGTGACATCATAACAAGTGCTGGAAATGGCCACCATTTGCATCCAGACAGCATTGGACTCGGCGCGCCATGTTAAAGTCCTTGCCCATACATCAGGTGTCACTTTTCCACTGCTTTGTGAATCAACTGGACGATGAGGAATTATCCATCGGTTATTTCCAGCAGGATGGAGCAACAGCACACACCTCGCGCGCAAGCTTGACCGAAATCCAGCCTTTTTTCAGCAACTGTGTCATTTCCAGGGGACTTTGGCCACTGCGCTTGCCCGATCTAACGCTGTCTGATTATTTTTTGTGGGGATATTTGAAAGCGCAAGTTTACGCCAACAAACTGCAAACCATAGAGGCTTTAAAAGCAAACATAAGTGAGGCCATCCAAGAAGTGACACCTGACGTACGGGCAAGGACTTTCCAAAACATGGCGCGCTGAGTCTAATGCTGTCTGGACGCAAATGGTGGCCATTTCCAGCACTTGTTATGTCACCAAACTTCACATGAACTGAGGTAAGTCCACTCCAAATTTCGTTGCAATATCTTTATTAGTACCCGAGTTATTAACAAAATGCCGGGTTCCGCCCCAAGTGAAACACCCGTTATTATTTCAACATTGTCTGAACTTATAAATATGTCAGTCTGGGTTAATTTTTGACAGTGCAAAATATCCATGGTAGCCTAGTGAACACAATGTTTGCTCATGGGCTGGGAACAACTGTTCAAATTCTGATAGGATTACTTGAATATCTCCTTCTTCCCCACCATTTCCACCATGATTGTGGGGCCTACCTGGCCTTATATCCCATGTGTATAATAGTTTCTTTTCCTGCTAATTTCAGAATTTAGGGTGCATGGAGCTTTTTGCACATACAGCAAAGATACTTAAAAGAAGAATCAAAAGAAAAATAGAGGATATACTTGGAGAGGATCGGTTTGGATTTAGAAGAGGAAAAGGGACCAGGGATGCAATTGGGATGATGAGAATTATAGCAGAACGAACTTTGGAGATAGATGAAGAACTGTGTGCTTGCTTTATAGACTGTCAGAAGGCATTTGACCATGTAAATTGGACCAAATTAATGCAGATCCTAAAGGAAACAGGTGTTGATTGGCATAAAAGAAGATTGATTAGTAAATTGTACATGGATCAGAAAGTTAGAATGCGACTGGACAGAGGGGAGACAAGAAGTATGAAGATTGGAAGAGGAGTTCGACAAGGATGCTGTTTATCACCAATTTTGTCCAACTTGTACAGCGAATGCCTTACCAAGGAAGCTCTGGATGGGATTGGAGACTTCAAATTAGGAGGGCAAATTATTCAAACTGTGAAATATGCAGATGACCTTGTGTTAATGGCTAAGGAAGAAACTGTGCTACAGGGCATGATTGATAGACTAATTGAAATTGGAAGGTGCTATGGCATGGAAATGAATGTGGAGAAAACAAAAGTAATGAAAATTTCGAGACAACCAACCCCAGTCACAATAAAGATAGACCAAAAACAACTGGAGAATGTGAAATGTTTTAAATATTTGGGTAGCTTGTTAACAGATGATGGAAGGTGTACTAGTGAAATTAAATCCAGGATTGCCATGGCAAAAGCTGCATTTAGCAAGAAGAAGAATCTTTTTACCAGCAAATTGGACTTAAATTTGAGGAAGAAACTAGTGAAATGCTACATTTGGAGCATAGCTCTGTATGGGGCTGAAACATGGACACTTAGGGCAGTAGATCAGAAACACCTGGAAAGTTTTGAAATGTGGTGTTGGAGAAGAATGGAGAAGATCAGTTGGACCGATTATGTGAGAAATGAAGAAGTGTTAATTAGAGTCAGTGAGCAGAGGAATATCCTACACGAAATAAGAAAATGGAAGGCTAATTGGATTGGTCATATCTTACGCGGTAACTGCCTTCTAAAAGAAGTTATTGAAGGAAAGATAGAGGGGCGGATAGAAGTGACCAGAAGACAAGGAAGAAGACGTAAGAAGATGATGGATGACCATGGGGACATAAGAGGATATTTTCATTTGAAGGAGAAAGCTCTAGATCGCATCAAGTGGAGGAATGAGCACCTCTCATAACGAGTAATTCGCATAATGAGCAAAACAAATTGTAAAAAATGACTCACTTAACGAGCAATGTTTCACATAACAAGTGACGAGAGGGGAAGTCCCAGATTGTACGCTTGCTACATCAGTCTGTGTTTAGCACTCGTTCTGCTAGCATCTTGGTGTCGCTTGTGATCACTCATTTTTCCAAACTTATGTTCAGACATATTATTTGTGATTTTCTTTTTTTGTGCAAAGTTTAATAACCCTTGCAAAAACGTCCCCGAAGAAAAAGCCGCAAAAAGACAGCCATGAGAGAATGAAAATAACCATAGAAATGAAACGTAAAATCATTAAAAAGCGAGAACGACGTGTGAGCATGGCTGATCTAGCGGGCACATACAATCAGTCTACATCAATGATTTGGAGTTGCACTGTGTTTCACAGCAAGAAGTTGTGGAGGAGAGTTTGTCAGGGAAGGAGGAGGAGGTGACAGCAAAGCAACAATCTTCGGGCGCAATAAGAGAAATGCTGAAAGCATGGGAAACTGTTGCATTGTACATTGAGAAGCATCACCCTAATAAGGCAGTGGCTATGCGTGCTACAAATTTATTTAATGATAATGCTGTGTCACATTTGCACCAAGTTTTGAAGTGTCAGCAAAAACAAATGTCTCTAGACAGCTTTCTAGTAAAAAAGAATTAGATATGTATCATAAATAATAAACTAATTATTTCGATTTTTTTTTCTGCAAATCGAATTCGCATTCCAGGTTGGTTCATTCTGCATAGAAGAAAAGATGAAGAAGATTCACACTCCTTAACAATGTATATATAATTTTCTTTGAATAAACATTATACATAAAATTTTTTGAGCATTTTTTTTTTTTGGCATGGAATGCATTATCGTATTTTACATTAATTTATATTGGAAAAATTGTTTTGCATTACGAGTAAGATTCTGAAACGAATTATGCTCGTTAAGTGAGGTTCCACTCTACTTTTCATTTGGAATGGTTGTGTTTTTGGACTTATAGTCCATCATCTGGTATTGTAAAAAAAATTATGGAGCACAACCTTTCAGAAACGGATCTAGTTTCCGAAACATTATGTTCTCTAGTGTTTTTAGAACACTGGATGATGGACAAAGTCCAAAAACCCAGTAATTCCAAGTGCCATACACCATCGTCAGAACCCTTTAAAATCTACTAGTACTTTTCATAGTTGCCACCATGTGAGTCTCAGATCTCACATCCTCATGGAGTTTGCCATTCATCAATGTGTAGTCATATAGTACTGTTACATATATACTTCCACCAAAACAGTAACTCATTGAATCAATAAATTAAGTGCATTCTTGAACCTTACAGTGACTAATCCATGTTCCTCATCTCCATGCCACAACTCAACTCTTTGTCTGCTGGGAGGAAACCGGAGCCAGACAGTGCCAGGATATTCATGTGTGTGTCCAGATGGTTTAGTGAAAACTGTTGCTAATGACAACAGGAGCAACAGTACACAGGTGAGCTTTGAATCTGCAGCACCTACCCTAAAGTTGTATATTTTGTTCAGTACTATTAATATTACATGGTGGTTACAATGATGTACCATGTAATGTCTTTTTATTGTACAGAATAAATCACAGTTTAGTGCACATGACAAACTCTAAATGTAATATTAGATGCTTCACCAGCATAGAAGTGTTTTATTCCGGCATAATTTGTTGCAAGACTTTAAATTTTACATTTCACTTAAAGGGTGTGAGTATGTATTAGCAAATATTAGACAGTGCTTAGGTATATGCTGTAAGTCCAAATTCACTGTTACTATCACATGTGCAGTAGTTAAAGTCAAATTAGAAGGTTGATATACATATACATATACATATATACAATTAGAGAAGAACTCTGTTTCATAAGATATAAGCACTGGGAATAGGTACAACTTGTATATTGTTTCTTTATGGGCCATTTATGTCACTGCAGTCACTGATATACCTACCATATTAACTTTATGTGATCTGAAATGTTTCACAATTGAACATTACTGTAGGTGTTGAAGTTTAATTAATTATTGTTAAAAAATATATAAGAAAACTCCCAATTTCAGAACACAGTACTCATTTCTATAGTAGCACCCATGAGTTGCCAATATATTGCTTTAGTAGTGGAAGCAAACGGGCAGTAGCATGTAGCAGCTGAGACGCAATATGCACTGTGCATTTTTATCGCAGTAAAAGACAGTAGAAAAAACATGCAAATCTTGTGAGAATTTTGTCACTTACCAATGTAGGAGCTCAAAATCAGATTTAGAAGATTGAATCATATAGCACCATGTTTACAGATGAGGTCCCATTTTCACCTTTATCAAGTTTGTAACAGGAAATAAGATACAGAATATATTGTAATGTTCCATAGTTTAAATTTGATTTCCCTGTTGCCAGGTTGTGTGCATACCAATTGTGAGACCTCCAAAGATCTGTGACTTAGACTGCCAAAAAGGAACATGTATAATGATAAATGATGTTCCCACATGCAAATGTCAGTCACTGTATGAAGGAGACAGGTGTCAGCACTACCGATGCTCACAGTATTGTAAAAACAAAGGCCTATGTTTTGTAGACCTTCTGGCTGCCCACCCAGGTGACTCATCTCCTCCTCTCAAGGTAATAATTAGCAATACTTCCTTTGTATTACCACAGTAACACAGAGAAAGTAAAGCCATTTATAATCTCCAATTGTATGCTGGACTGAGATAAAAGTTATTAGAGTCAGATATAATTATCTGAGTATACTTGTATTTGGTTTATTTTTTGTGTCATTATTACCCTGAAAAGTTTCAGTCCCATGAAATTGAGACATGTCAGTATATTAACAGTGCAAGAAATAAACCATATATACTTAGATGGTGATTTACATCTTCCTCTAATAAGATAGTATATCGGAAAATTAATCTTTATCGGAACATTCTTTTTACTTTCATCAGAATAAGTAAACTTTTAAAGTCTTTGCTTTGCTTCCATCCCAACAGAACAACCATTAGAATCTCATTCACATTTCACTGTGTATAATGAGTTCACTGGTATTCATAGTGTAGTAATGCACTAGCTGTTTCAGCTTATAAAGCGATCATCAGGCAGTACACATCGACACATATTTCCAAACTATTGAACTAAACTTTACATAATTCATTCATAGCAGTGTAATAACTATTACTGATGTGCCTGACGCTGGTCATGGTAGCCGAGCCGTCTAACGCATGCATTGTCTTCACTCAATCAAAAGCCAGGATGATGGGTTTGAATCCCATTCAGGGTGTGGATATTCAGTGTGTGTGTGCGTGCGTGCGTAGGTAGAGGCCTTGCGGTGAGTTGATCACCCACCCAAGGAGTCCTACCAAATGTCTAAGATCTAGTAAACTGAAGTGAAACGAAGAGTTTCATGGAGGTAGGCCAAGGCCCAAATTGGGGCTGTAGTGCCAAAGGGGGGAAAAAATGTACCTAACTTTGCATTCAGTTAATACATTCAACTTTCGTTTGAATTAGTATAAAGTTTACAAAATACCTTAAAATTGGAATGAAGGTTCTACATATAATTGGATGCGTAAAAAAGTACATATAAAAATAGTTTTTTAAGATAAAAATAATTTCTTAAATCATAAAATGTGTTAACGTTGTTATGGTGTATTAAAACATTTAGATGGTGAGTTAAAATTGTTGTTCATTATATTTATGGCACTTATCATGTCCAGATATCGTTAAAAATACATACTGTTTATGTTGGTGTCTGTTAGTGTAATTATAGTGTTGCAGTTATCTTCAGATGTTGTTCATGTTTGATCTTAGGCAGGCTTGTTTTATTTCTGCTCCCATTTGATTTCCAGTGGAGCAGCTGCACTGTTCAGAATCAGTTGTTGTTCTATAACATTTTATTTTATATTTTCAGCAATCTGATTTTTTGTTTGTGTGGGTTCATTCACCACACATGTTATCGTGTCTGGCCTGATTGTGCCAGACAGAGAAACACGAGAGATGGATGAAGAAGAAATGAAGTGAAAACACTTTGTTTTCTCTTTCAAACATAAAATTAAAAATATGTAAATAGTTTTGAAGAGGGTGAAATCATGCAAAAAATTGTGTTTCTGTAAATTGTCTTCATGTAACCAGAACATCACATTTTCAATACATGCTAAGTAACCAGGAGTTTACTGTTACAAACGAATGGTAACTTCCATATTTTACCAATCTGTCACCTGTTCCTCCCTGTGTAGTGCAACTGCCCTCCTCAGTGGACAGGGGAGCGCTGTGAGTTCCCAGTTCATGTGTGTAAGAATCGATGCCTTAACAACGGCACATGCTACAGCCCACATCCAGGTTTGGCACAGTGTAATTGCCTTTCAGGTTTCACAGGTACGTTATCCAAATTATTCCTGTTTCATGTTGTCCACTCGCCACGATTCTATAAGTGGCTTTTATTGCACTTGTGATGATAGCACTGAATTCTCTGTGGTTTTATGTTGTCATGCCACTGAAACTGAAGATTATGGTCTTGTTGGTTATGCTACTATGTAATTACATAGGTGGCCATCAGTCTTAATGTGCTAATTTGCTGCCTCCATGACCATTAAAGCGGGGCACAAAGTTTTGAAATAGGTAAATCCTTAGTTTTATGTATTTTAATCTGCAAGTGTTCAGACAAGGGACAAGAAAATAAAGGATTCTGAATTGGTTGGTGGCAGGCATTTCCTTGGTTTATTCTCCTCTCATCTTATTTATGAATGTGACTTGTATGTTATTTTAATTTACAAATATTTAAACGTTTTCATATATTTGAAAGATTTATTACCTGTTGTTATAATATCATTTTTGCACTGCACTCTGATGAGACAGGGACATAATTTAGTCCTCTCTATGTTTGCATGTAAATCAGTCATATTATTACCATCTAATCAACTTCTGTGTAACATTTTGTGTATATTATGTTTTCACCGAGTAAGTTAATATTGTCACCATACACCACCGGCTGATGAGTTCCATTCAGTTCCATTCCTTCCTGATTTTCTTGAACCTTCTTAATGGCATGTTCTACAGTGAAGTAGAAAAGCAGTGGAGGTAAAGCATCTCCTTGTTTCAGGCATATTTTTATCTGCATAGACTGCATTGTAAATTAATAAATACATTTTAATTGGCCTAAGTGGTTTAATAGTATACCACATTAAATGAGGGAGCTGTAAAATACTTCTGCCTAAGCTGTCCTTGATTTTCTGGCAGTCTATATATAGATAATATAATATTGAAGGACTGCAGAATGTCATACCAGAATATGATCAGTTGTGTCATAATTCATACCAATGATCCCCAAGGGTAAGTCAATAAGTAAGTTACAAATGGATATAGAACTTAAACAAATAAGAGTACTGATTTGAAAAATGCTTTTATTTCTTAACATAATTTCCCTATAGATTGAGGCACTTGTCCCATAATTTCACAAGCCCCTGAAAACCAGGAGCATAAAATTTTTGGGCTGCTGTCAGACCCAGGCGGTGATTTCCCTTTATACAGCTTCATCGTCAGGAAAATGTTCAGCTGAAAAATGATGTATGTTTAAGAGGGCTGAACGAATTGAAGTCGCTTGGAGCAAGGTAGGTGCTATACAGAGGATGCCTGAGGACTTCCAACCTGAAATTTTGCAGTGTCTCATTTGTCTTGTTGACAGTATGGGGACGCACATTGTCATGCAAGAGCAACACACCTTTGGTGAGGAGTCCTGGTCTCTTCCGTTGAATGGCCTTACGAAGTTTCCTGAGGCTATTACAGTAGGTGTCGCCTTTTACGGTTTGTCCTTGAGGCTGGAATGAGGTGAGCAGTATGCCTTCATGATCCCAGAAGACTGAGCATCACTTTCCAGGAGGATGGTGTCACCTTAAACTTTCTCTTGGCAGGCGACGCAGGATGTTTCCACTGCATTGATGCACGCTTTGTCTCGGGCTGGTAATCATCACTCATCACCTGTGACAATTCGGACTAGCATATCATGTCCATCGTGATAGTGATTGAGATGCTGTAATGCCAGACCCATTCTTTGCATTTTGTGTCGTGGGGTCAGCATGCGTGGCACCCTTTGTGCACACACTTTGTGAAAACCTAACCTGTCATGCATTATGAGGTAGGCCATGCCATGTGAACAACCAATAACAGTGGCTATAGTGTCTATAGTTACCCATCTGTCTGCTCGAATTAAGTCTTCAACCTATTGCACATTCGCCTCTGTGGCAATCTCCATTGGCCGGCCGACATGGTGTTCATCTTCAGAGAACTTCTGCACCCAGTTGTAAACAGCTTGACATGACGGGCACTTCTCACCGTAGATGGGAAGCATTCTTTATGATTATTCTTTGATTCCATACCTTTTGCCCACAAAAATCGCTGGATGGAGCACTGCTCGAGGGTTTTACACTCACTCAGAGCCACTGCCATCTTGTAACTGCTGTTTTGATTTTGTAAACATTGATTGTCTCGTGTCGAATATCATCAATTGCCACCGGACTAATGCTGCCATCTAGTGGCGATAGCCTCAAGTGCCTCATTCAAACATGTAGTACCCCACATCAATTTGTAACTTACTTTTTCACTCACCTACATACGTATATGGGTAACTTGAGAGAACAATACTAGATAAAATTTTGTAAGACATTCATAAGACCGATATTCCTCAATTGTCATTAGTCAGTTATTGCACAGATAATAATATTGTGACATGACGAATGAAAGCCAGAACAGCAGACTCAGAAGAGACGTGAATTGCTAGACAACAGCTTGGTAAACATGTTTCCATAGTAATGAATAACCACGCAATGACAGAGGACTGGTTGGAAGCGCCGTTTTCTACACCATCCATGCTGAGGCTATATAAGGAAACCAATGGGAGTTCTTAGTCAGTTGAAAATGTGAGTTAGTTGCAATTCAGTCACCAGCTAGCAAGGAAGCAGTAGTGGAAATTCCATTGTCAGAAGCCACTGAGTATGTGAGGTCGTAAGGAACAAACTGAGAAGACTTAATACATGCTGTAGTGAATTGTGAAGTCTGCAGATTAGTGAGAGCATTATGATTATTTGTAATTGCAAATATAAGCTGTCAGTAAATCCAATTATCGATCCAAACCCAGTGTCCAGTCACTAACATGTAACACTGTGTTCCAACAGCTGTTCTTTATCAGAAACAGAGAGTGTAAGTTTGTGGAGCTTAGATTGCAGTCTTTTGCTTCCTGCTTGGATTGCTTCTACCAGAATTTGAAAAATATTTGGTGATTTATGCCCTTTCATTAGCAGCTATGATCTTAACAATACTAGGTTCCACCAAAAATTGTGGTTGAATGGGTAGCACTTCTGCTTTGTGTTTGGGAGGTCCAGGGTTCAAATCTCAGGACAACCTGCTACCCTGGCTGAGGTGTTTTGCAGTTGCAGTCCACATGGAAAAATGTTGGTATAGTAGCTTGATTAGGCCATGACTGCTTCCTTCCAAATCCTTTGCAAATTATAATTCATCTGTCACCTGTCCCTTCCACATTATATAATCTAGCTAGCAAAAACATCGTAGCCCACAAATAAATAGAGTTACTTTCTTACATAATCCAAATATTATTTGAATTTTCAAATTAATTAACCATTCTCATATTTAACAAGTCTGTTTAAAATAATCTCAACTTAAGCTAAATTTAATATTATATTTCAACATTCTGTTGCTCTGGTTAATGATTTAATTTTCAGGGGCAGTCTTGAAGGTGCAACGTCTCATCATGCTTGTAGACTGTTGGTGTGTTACATTGTCACTTTTGAAGCTGTTACTTCTGTGACTTCTTGAGTTTGTTGTTCAAAAACTTATTTAGTAGTTTCAGTTATTGTTCATTTCCATTAACTTTAGTTAAAAGTTGTTCATTTTTCAGTTGATACTTTGTGTTTCTAGCATTCTGTTTTTTCATGGCTTGTGTGCAGAGTCTTATGGTTCAGAGCAATTGTGTTGTGTGTGAATTTTATAATCGGTACATTGTGGTATCATGTGATTTCCATGGATGGTGGATGGTTATACTACGGGCATGACAAGAAGTTGCACCTTGTAGACTGCCCTGCAACTTACATTAAACTAAATTTTGTTTTCAACACAGGAACATGGCAGAGTGTATCAGTATAAGCAAAAGAGCATGAAATGAAGCATATCATATTTTTATTATCTGGAGATGGAAATGATAATAAAAAAGTGGATCTTAGGTCAGATAGTTTGCAAAGGGGGTAGATAGGGGGAACTGACTTAGGATTATGTCCAGTGGTAGACTGTGTGTTGTCAGTGGTGTTAAGCTTTGAGCTTTACTACCAGAGAATTAGTGATTTTCAAATACGGTATTGTTACATGTTAGTGACTAGATTGGTAATTGAACACTTATAATCTGTAACTACATTTAAGTGTAACAGTTGCATGAATGTATACACACTACAAATTACTACAGTACATGCTAAGTCTCAGGCTATTATGCCTTTGCTGGTGTTGCTTGGTTGCCATTTTCACTATGTGTTGGTAGGTTATGGCTGCTACCCATGATGGATGTTCTTCATGGCCAGCCACGCATTTATTGCTCATGAACTGCACTGACCACCTGCTGAATCAGGCCTGACTCACTTGTTCCGTTGGTTCTCATTATATAGCCTCAGGTCAGACCACATAGAAAACCCTACCTCCAGTGGTTCCTCTATCATTGCATGTTTATTCATTGCCTAGCAATGGATGGCATACCTGTTGGTGCCAGAATGTGTTTACCAACCTTTCCTTCTGGTTCTGCTATTCCAGCCATTATGTCACAGTATTAACTGAATTTATAATAAAGGTGTATGTTAGCATTTTTAAAATGTTCAGAGTGAAACCTAGTAAAGTAAGATATGTAACTGGAAGTGGAATGAGTATGCTTGAATGTTGCAGGGAGTCGCTGTGAAAATTGCATCAACATGTTATGTCAGAATGGAGGAGTCTGTCATCATGCTGATGGTGTTGAAAAGTGTGATTGTCCCAATGGATACATTGGCTTGCACTGTGAAAGGTCTGAGTGTGAAGGTTACTGTGTGAGGGTAAGAACATGTACATTTACTGCCTGGACTTTCTTCTTCAAATTCTATGCTCACTCACTCGTGGAGCTGAGCCTTTCTTGAGAAGCTGCACAATTGTGCAGCTACTCAAGAACTTCCCAGCATTTTATGGAACCTGAAGGTTCATTACCGTGTTTACAAGAGCCGTCCAATGGTCCCTCTCCTGAGCCAGATCAATCCAGTCCATACCATCCCATCCTATTTGTCTAAGATTCTTTTTAATATTGTCCACCCACCTATGTCTTGGTCTTCCTAGTGGTCTCTTTACTTCTGGCTTTCCCACCAATAACCTATATGCATTCCTATTCTCCATCATTCGTGCTACATGCCCTGCCCATGTCATCCCGCTTGACTTGATCATTCTAATTAGCAAATTCTGTGCTAGATTAGTTAAATGTAGTATTTGTTCAATTGGAATCATTTATTACCTATTTTCTGGAGGTTCACTCCTGCTAATACTAAAGTCTACATGGACATAATCCTGAGACATGATTTTGTCCTCATAACCTGTGTTCCCATATCCATCTTAATGTTCCACTGCCTCCTTGGATTACCAAGTGTCCATTTTTGAATGGGTTTCTCTGCCAAAATTCTGTGTGTATTTGTGTTTCTCCCGCTTGAGCCCTGATCATCAACATCTTTCTTAGTTTTGGGCCTAGTTGATATCTTACAGGTTTACACCTTTTTGGAGATCATCCTAAGCATCGTCATCCTTTGGAGCCCTTTTTTATCCCGTTACTTCACTGCATTCTTTGTAATTTCTTCTGTACTGTCACATAAAGTCTCTTCATGTACCAAATTGTACATGTATGTTCCTGAGTCAGGTCCATCCTTCTCCCACCTCCTCTTCATTCTTGCAGTTAGCCATTTTCCAAGAGGCTAATCTTTTTTGGCATTTTAAAATTTGTATCTGTACAGTATGTATCATTAAAACTATTTTTTTATTCATTATTATTTTTTTTTTTTTTTCGTAAAACACATTTGCAACACATTTTGACTGTTATTCTCAGGCAGTCATGGAGCTACCTTTACACATGTGTTATAACTTTGTGTTTCACATCTATAATTGGTAACATATAATGTGGTGAATTGTTTCATCTCATTTTAATTGCAAAGAACTTGATGTCTATATTTTATCTTGAGACTAATAATAACTTGCAAGTTTGGTTTGTGATACCCAAGATTTTTATGTAACTGGCAATAATTGTATTAAGTCAGGAGTAAGGGAGTATTGAATGCCATTCTTTTGATGATAGTTGTGTACAGTGCATACTGGTTAGGACAAAAAAAAAATGAAGATATTTAAAAAGATTGGTAAGAATTACAAATTCTTCGGATTTGAATGAAACTATGCAAGGTATTGGTTTAAGATGTAGGACTTATGGTTTCTCGGATTATGGCCTAAACTCGTCTTTTCCGTTAGCTGATGACTGATCTTACTGTCAAAAGTACAATGTTCTCGCATTGTAACATCCATAAATTTACTTGGACATCTCCTGATGGGAAGATACACAATCAGATCAACCATATTTTGATAGATAGGAGATGGAATTCAAGTGTACTTGATGTCCGACCATTCAGGGCAGCAGATTGTGATACTGACCTCTACATGGTGGTGGCAAAGATTCAGGAAAGACTGGCAGTGAGCAAACACAACACACAGAGTTCATATGGAGAGGTTTAATCTTAAGAAATTAAATGAAGTAAGAGTAACGAACAGGTATTTCAGGAATAAAAAGAGGATATATCTGAAAGAAAAAATTGATTAACTTGCAATGAACAGTAAGAACAAGAACATTACAGACCTGTATAGAAGAATGAATGATTTTAAGAGGGGTTACCAACCTAGAAGTAACTTAGTGAAGGATGAGAATGGTGATCTGCTTGCAGATTCCGACAACATTTTGAATGTCGCACTTATTGAATGTACATAGGGTCAGTGATGTTAGGCAGGTAGAAATGAATACAGATGAGCCGTTAATACTTGATCCTAGCCCTTTTGAGGTTGAAAGTGCTATTGCAAAATTGAAACGGTGTAAATAGCCAGGTAGTGATCAAATTCTGGCAGAATTTATTCAAGCAGAAGCCGAAATATTATGTTCTAAGATCCATAAGCTAATTACTTCTATTTGGCATAAGAAAAAATTTCCTGTTCAGTGCAAGGAGTCTATTATTGTACCAGTTCACAAGAAGGGTGATAAACCTGACTGTAGTAATTATCGGGGGATATCACTGCTAACAACTTCATACAAAATTTTATCCAATATTCTTCTCTCAAGTTTAAGTCCATACATAGATGAAATTATTGGGGATCATCAGTGTGGGTTTTGACATATTAGATTAACTACTGGTCAGATCTTTTGCATATGTCAGATCCTGGAGAAGAAAATGAGAGTAGGATGAGACAGTACACCAGCTATTTGCAGACTTCAAGAAAGCCCATGATTCAGTTAGGAGGAAAGTATTGTACAATATTCTGATAGATTTTGGGATACCCACGAAACTACTACGTAGTTAGGTTGATTAAAATTTGTTTAAATGATACGTGTAGTAAATTCTGTATAGGTAAACATTTGTCTGATAATTTCCCTATCCAGAATGGTCTAAAACAAGCAGATGCTTTTCAACTTTGCTTTAGAATATGCCATTAGGAAAGTCCAGGAAAACCAGGTGGGACTGAAGTTAAATTGGACACATCAGCTGTTGTTCTGTGCTGATGATATGAATCTATTGGGTGATAATATAGATATCATAAAGAAAAACACACAAACTTTAATTGACGCAAGTAAGGAGGTTGGTCTAGAAGTAAACCCAGAGAAAACTAAGTATATGTTGCCGTCTCATCACCAAAATTCAGGGCAAAATCACGGCATAACGATAGAAAACAGATATTTTGAAAATGTGGCACAGTTCAGATATTTGGGAATGACAATAACAAATCAAAACCTGATTGAGGATTAAATTAAGAGGAGTTTGAGTCTGGTAATGCTTGCTACCATCCAGTCCGGAATCTTTTGTCTTCTCGTCTGCTGTCGAAGAACATAAAAATTACGGTATACAAAACTATAACTGCCAGTGGTTCAGTATGGGTGTGAAACATGGTCTCTGACATTAAGGGAGGAACATAGACTGAGGGTGTTGAGGAGAATATTTGGACCGACGAGGAATGAAGTGACAGGAGGTTGGGGAAAACTGTATAATGAGGAGCGTCATAACTTGTACTCTTCTCAAAGTATAATTAGAATGATGAAGTCAAGGAGTCTGAGGTCGGCAGGGCATGTAGCATGAATGGGGGAGAAGAGGAATGCATGTAGGATATTGGTGGGAAAGCCAGAAGGAAAGATGCCACTGGGAAGACCAAATCATAGGTGGGTGGACAATATTAAAATGGAGCTTAGAGATATAGGATGGGATGTATGGATTGGATTGCTCTGGCTTAGGATATGGACCAGTGGAAGACTCTTGTGAGCACAGTAATGAACCTTCAGGTTCCATGAAATGCTGGGAAATTCTTGAGTAGCTACAGATTTGGCTCCTCCTCAAGAAGGACTCGGCTCCATAAGTAAGTAAGTAAGATGACTGATCAGATTTTAATTGTTTAACTCTTTTCGTGTGTTCTGATGTTCATTGCATTGTGTGTGGTTGGACATCATCAAAGTTAATTTTGCAGTGAATGGGAATTTAGTGGACAGTGGAGCCATCTGTTTAGTCAGGCAGTTCTTGTCTCTTTTGGTATCAGTGGGCAGTGACATAGTTCCTAACAGGTTAACTGGGACTTCAGGTGTCTTCTGGAGTTTTTATGTATGAAAGATGAGTACCTGGTAAGCATTGTTCACCCATCTCCTTTTCTGATGACATCACTTGTACATTTTATACTTTTTACATGAACGTTTCACATCTTGCTTAAAAAAATAATTGAGTTACACTTTCAGCTTGGATTATAATTAATTACACTTATCAGTATCCACCAAATGATGACATTATGGTGGATATTTCCACAAGTGCTTATTGGCTGAATGTAGAATTGCTCAGAATTATGTTTACAGGAGCTTAGATATTTTGTGGTGAAAGTTACACGCAGATTTGTTTAATTAAATTAAGAATAACTCTATGAGAAGTTACAGTTTTATCAATGCCTGGAAAGCTTCAGAATATCTGAGGAAGTCAAGATTACCCAAGAGAATGTTCATCTTTTACCCTTTTTTTTTTTTTTTTTAAGAAAAAGGACTGAATCTTTGGTCCTGCCTTTCCAAATAAAGGCGTGATATGTTTGCTGAAATCTCCATGGGCCATCAGCCATGTCAATGTTGAAGTAAAAACCAGAATTTCAGAGATATCAGGGTCCAGTGATGGAGAAGAAGATCCCTGAAACATTGATTCAACATTGACATAACTGTTAACTGATGAAGATTTTAGTGAGAGCTTGAAATCTTACATGTGTGACATGTTGACTGATGTCTCATTAGGATTCTGACAGGACATTGGACCGTTCTTAGCCATAGGGCTCAAGTGGGTTTAGACTCTCAAAAGTTGTCACTTTACCTGTGGTATGCTGAGACTTACATGCTCTCTTACTAATTTGCTTGAAAGCCTGCTGTTGTGGGCTTCTTGTCAGAGCAAGTTCATTAAACCCCCGTGTCATTGCATCAAAGTCCATGCATATCTAAACTTGCACAGTGTGTTCTGCCGTTTATGTTCCGGATAGATTTTTATTCAGTACTAAAGAATATAATCATTGACTTTTGAGATTTGAATTTAGGGCAGTTAATTAAATTTAGACAAATTGCCGATTGTAATATGGGAGGCAACACATTTTCAGTTGTTGTTGCAGAAACTTGGTGAACTGTGAAAGGCTTCTTTCTTATTCTTGTACATTAGAGCTGTTTAAGATTGTTCCCAACATGATAGTCTGTGGAATAAAATATTGAGAATTTGAGAGTTGACACTTTAACTTCATCATTTAGCACTTTCAAACAGCAGGTAATATGAGTGTTAAAATACATATTTTTAGCAGTCAAAATGGAAAATATTTTTCTATGTAACAAATTAATCAAACTGAATTAAGCTTTTTATATCCATAATTAGTTGTCTAAAATACTTTTGTGGGTACTCCATACCTTGAGGAAACAACCTTACAGAAGAAAGTTGTGTCCAACAAGATCTTTGGTATTGTGATCATGGTTCCCATTCTATGTTGAAAATGGAATTTAGTAACTTTCTAATGATGATGTGACAGTTATAATATTTTCTGGTTATGATGCACTCACAGATGTTCTGCATTACTTACATTAGCTTTAGCGGAGTCTGTAGAGCCATTCATTTCTACCTTAATATTTTTTTTGTGTCATTCTCTATATTTGTGTATGTGTGGTATTTCCAGGGCACATGCAGCCTAACTGCACAAGGGCCAATTTGCATTTGCCCCGCTAACTATGTTGGTAAAAGATGTGAACGTAACAGCTGTTTGGACCACTGTGAGAATGGAGGTAAGTACTCTGTGCACTAAGAGATTTTCTGTGAAATGGACTTTACATGACTACTGAACCACCTCCAAGAATTTACTCGGTGGATGGAAGACTAAAAAGTTGCATGGTGACTGCACACAGACCATATTTGTTTGTCACACCAACAGGAGAAAAAATTGAATTAGGAGGTTGTAATGTGGTTGCATGACAGTAAAGATTTTTTATATTAGGTCGTCTTATTTCTCTGTCATCCTTCCTCGTATTGAAACAAGTTGAGCTGTTACACATTATAAAATATGACCTTTCCTTCATTTTAAATTAGAACTTCTTAAGGGTACTCCTTTCATATGAAATTTTTATGTTTTATGTTTTTGTTTATATTTAAAATTCAGTAGAGATCATTCCTTTCAAAGGACAGAGGACTGGATGGCATGCACACATGTTAACATTGAATGCAGATAGAATCTCAAAAATTTTGAACGTGAGACAAAAAGGGAAACATCCAAGAGGCAGGCAAATAAGTCACACAGAAGGAAGGAAGAATGTGGAAAGAAATTGAATAGGAGGGATTTTTGGAGGACAGATAAATGGCAAGGCTTGGTATCTAAGCAATCCACATAAAATGAAAATTTCTGTGGAAGATGAAGAGTAAAAAGAAGACTCCCATATAACGCACTTCTTCCTTATGCATGTATAGCAGAATTCTTGTCTCAAAAAACAGGAAAATGTCATTGTAACAATATTGCTTACGTACTTACGTACTTATGGAGCTGAGCCCTTCTTGAGGGGAAGCCAAATCTGCAGCTACTGAAGAATTTCCCAACATTTCATGGAACCTGAAGGTTCATTACTGTGCTCACAAGAGCCTTCCACTGGTCCATATCCTAAGCCAGAGCAATCCAATCCATACATCCCATCCTATATCTCTAAGCTCCATTTTAATATTGTCCACCCACCTATGATTTGGTCTTCCCAGTGGCATCTTTCCTTCTGGCTTTCCCACCAATATCCTACATGCATTCCTCTTCTCCCCCATTCATGCTACATGCCCTGCCGACCTCAGACTCCTTGACTTCATCATTCTAATTATACTTTGAGAAGAGTACAAGTTATGACGCTCCTCATTATACAGTTTTCCCCAACCTCCTGTCACTTCATTCCTCGTCGGTCCAAATATTCTCCTCAACACCCTCAGTCTATGTTCCTCCCTTAACGTCAGAGACCATGTTTCACACCCATACAGAACCACTGGCAAAATTATAGTTTTGTATATTGTAATTTTTATGTTCTTCGACAGCAGGCGAGAAGACAAAAGATTCCGGACTGGATGGTAGCAAGCATTACCTGACTTCAAACTCCTCTTAATTTAATCCTCAATCAGGTTTTGATTTGTTATTGTCATTCCCAAATATCTGAACTGTGCCACTTTTTCAAAATATTTGTTTTCTATCGTTATGTCGTGATTTTGCTCTGAATTTTGGTGATGAGACGGCAACATATACTTAGTTTTCTCTGGGTTTACTTTTAGACCAACCTCCTTACTTGCGTCAATTAAAGTTTGTGTGTTTTTCTTTATGATATCTATATTATGTAGCCGTCCTCCAATGTACAGTTGCCACGACTGTCGCTTGAGCTTGAGTTCTTAATCACAGGATACGGGTGCTTTGGAGATGGGAGTGGAACACACTTCAGGGTAAATAAATCCGGGATCTCCAGAACGTTGTGGATTGCAGTTTTAATTTAAAATTTCATTAATGATGAATATTGACATTATTCTCCAAGCTAACCTCTCCGTCCGCCGACTAGCTACTACTACTCTTAAACACTTCTCTCTTCTCTCTCTACCTTCCAACTACTGTCCTCCTCCGCTCCCTGTAACCGACCCCCATCTTTACAAGTCCCCCAGTTGGCATAAAACGAAACAAGAAAATAACAAGAGAAATCCAAGGGTCGAGCCCGACATCTGGCCTACATTCGTATTTTTCGAGATGTCCATAAACCTCTGTAGGTCTTCAAGGAATCCAAGACCCCTCCTGGCCGGTCTCGCACACGGTCAGTTCATGGGTTTATGATATAATGGGAGTAAACAGGCGGCGTTAGGGACAATAGCGGCACCCTTAGCCTAAGGAGGACAATAGCTGGTATCTCGCCGATGGAGCGTCTCTCACGGTATTAAACAATGCATAAGTAATTCATACCCTTAATTATATAATTTTGACTAGGGACGTACGGTTACAATTATCACCCAATAGATTCACATCATCAGCATAGAACAACAGCTGATGTGTCCCATTTAATTTCAGTCCCACCTGGTTTTCCTGGACCTTCCTAATGGCATATTCTAAAGCAAAGTTGAAAAGCATCTGCTTGTTTTAGACCATTCTGGATAGGGAAATTATCAGACAAATGTTTACCTATACAGAATTTACTATACATTTCATTTAAACAAATTTTAATCAACCTAACTAGTTCATGGGTATGCCAAACTCTTATCAGAATACGAGTATTGTACAATAATTCCCTCCTAAGTGAATCGTAGGCTTTCTTGAAATCTATTAATAGCTGATGTACTGTCTCATCGTACTCCCATTTTTTCTCCAATATCTGACGAATGCAAAAGATCTGATCTGTGGTTGATCTGTTATGTCAAAACCCACACTGATTATCCCCAATAATTTTATCTATATATGGACTTAACCTTGAAAGAAGAATATTGAACAAAATTTTATATGAAGTTGATAGCAGTGATATTCCCGGATAATTACTACAGTCAGTTTTATCACTCTTCTTGTGAACTGGTTAATAATAGACTACTTCCACTGATCAGGCAATTTTTCCTTATGCCAAATAGAAGTAATTAGATTGTGGATCTTAGAAAGTAATATTTCACTTCCTGCTTGAATAAGTTCTGCCGGAATTTGATCACTACCTGGCGATTTATTCTGTTCAATTTTGCAATAGCACTTTCAGCCTCAAAAGGGCTAGGATCAAGTATTAACGGCTCTGCTATATCGATTTCTGTCTGCCTAACATCACTGACCCTATGTACATTCGATAACTGAGAGAAGTAGTTCCTCCACCTATTCAAAATGTTGTGGGAATCTGCAAGCAGATGACCATTCTCATCCTTCACAAAGTTACTGCTAGGCTGGTAACCCCCTTTAAAGTCATTTATTCCTCTATGCAGCTCTCTAATGTTCTTGTTCTTTACCTTCTACCTCATTTAGTTTCTTGAGATTGAACCTCTCCATGTGAACTCTATGCATTGTTTATTTGCTCAGTGCCAGTCTTTCCGAAACCTTTGCCACCACCAGGTATTGGCCAGTATCACAATCTGCTGCCCTAAATGATCGGACATCAAATGTACTTGAATGCCGTTTCCTATTTATCAAAATATGGTCAATCTGATTGTGTATCTTCCCATCAGGAGATGTCCAAGTAAATTTATGGATGTTATGATGCGGAAACCTTGTACTTTTGATAGTAAGATTTTTTGATGTGGCAAAGTTTACTACACCAACTCCTTTATCATTTCTAATTTCATGCAAACTCTCTTTCCAAATTGTTGGCTTGAAAATGTCTTGCCTCCCTACTTTGGCATTGAAATCTCCTAGCAAAATTTTCGTAGGATACTTCGGAAATTTATCAACTACATGTTCTATTTCTTCATATAACCAGAGCTTTATGTCATATATTTTATCCTCTGTTGAGGCCTGAACATTCGTAACGATGATATCACACCAGCAGCCTTTTAGTATGTGGTGCAAACCAAAAATTCCCAAAATATATTAATAAAAACTATTACATCTTACCTAGATCTTATTCTGCACCATCACCATCAAAGTAGCCCCCTTGGGAGCGCATACACCGATCCCAACATTTCTGCCACTTTTCAAATGCATCCTGGAAGTCTTTCTTTGTTAGGGTGTTTAGTACCGTCTGTGATTCCGCTTGAATTTCCTCAACTGTATAAAATCTTCGCCCCTTCAACTTGATTTTCATCTTGGGGAAGAGAAAGAAGTCACATGGAGCTAAGTCTGGCGAGTACGGTGGGTGGGGAACAACTGCCATCTTGTTTTTAGCCAAAAATTCCTGCACAATATAAGCCATATGCAGTCATGCGTTGTCATGGTGGAGTACCCAGTCGTTTGTGCGCCACTTCTCTGGACGTTTTCTCCTCATGTCCTCCCCCAAAAGCCTTAGAACATCGCGATAGAACTCTTTATTGACTGTCTGATGAGGAGGGATGAACTCATTATGAACAATCCTGTCAATATAAAAAAAACAGATCAACATGGACTTAATGTTGCTCCTGACTTGTCGAGCTTTTTTTTGCCGAGGTGAATAAGGGCTCTTCCATTGCGACGATTGCTGCTTACTTTCAGGGTCGTAGCCATAAACTCAACTTTCGTCACCAGTGACAACATTCAAAAGAAAGTTTGGATCCTCTTGAAGCTGTTGCTGAAGTTCCCTGCAGACTTCCAAGCGATGCTGCTTCTGTTCATTTTGCAGCAGCCATGGCACAAACTTCGCCACAATCCTCCTCATGTTCAGTTCCTCTGACAAAATTCGTTGACATGTACCATAACTTAGTCCCAAGGTGTTACAGAGGTCTTGGATGGTCAGTCTACGATCTTGCAGAATCAGATCCCTAACTTTCGTGACATTTTCTGGTGTTTTGCCTGTTGACGGCCATCCCGAATGATCGTCATCATCAGTCAATGTTTGGCCATTTTTAAAACGCTTATACCAGTTGTAAGTTTGTGTCTGGGCTAAATAAACTCTTCACCAAAAGCTTGCTTCAACATTTGGTGCGTTTCTGCAGCGGTTTTCCCAAGTTTGAAACAAAGCTTTATACAGACACGCTGCTCTCTCAGGTCAGCCATCACAAAACCGCAAACTCATGGAAACAACAATGGAAATACTTTCACCAGCAATAATCCCAACCACTCAACTCGACGCCGCTTGCCACACTGATTCAGGTAGGATGTGTGAGGAGACACCTAGCAGTATTTCGATGTACTCATAACCATTCGCGCACAAAATTCAAATTTCGGAAACTTTTGGATTGCCCCACGTATTATATATGATATCCCATCACTAACGAACACTACCCTCTTGACTGCTGATACAGTTCTCTTATGTACAAAAAAACCTGTACCTAAGCCATGATTTTCATTCACCTTTCCATAGAAAAATGTATATTTGCCTGCTGGTGTAATGCCACCCCCTTCCCACCTGACCTGTACCCCCACTAAATCTAACTTATATTTTAAGATTTCTTCCACCACTGCCCTGAGCGAACTTGCCATATACAAACTTTGAACATTCCACATACCAAATCCCATATCCATTTTCTTTAGTATAGGTTGTTTATCCAAGGAATCCGTGTAACAGTATTGCTAAATTTATTTAATTAAATATTAGCCGTTACTTTTGAATAACTATTCTGTTTAAGATACAGACCTATAGTGTTCTCTCGTGATCATGGTAATGAATGAAGAGTACTATCTTCATGGTGGCTGCCATGAGAACCCCATCTCTAACAGTACTGAACCTTCAGATGTCAGAGAAAACAGTTCTTGACCAACTGTATGACTATTAAATTTGAAGAAGGACTCTGCTATGTGAATAACATAAGGAATTATGCTGCAGTAATGTTTCCTGTTACTGCATAACCTATTTACCTTCCTTGATTCTGGCTCTTCCCTTACACTTTGGTAATGTATCATTTTTTGACACACTTCTATGAATACAGTCGTTATGAGAATGATGTAACTACATTTCTTAGTTAATGTACATGACATACTGTTATACAGTGTTAGAAATATTAAAGAGTCTCTTCTGTACATACATCAAAATAGCATTTCAAAACCTTTTCCACACAAACCCTTGAAATTAGCACTTTTATTACTGATATGCATAAAATTCTATGTAAATTAACTTTTATTGTCCAGGTAGTTGTATTGTTTCTCTCTTTATATCTTAAGGTACAGCTCCTATACAATTGTTTGAGATGATGTTTAACATAATTGCAATTTCTGTATTTTATTTGTCTTGTTGCCATTGCAGGTACATGTGTACCTGGAGCTAAGAGGCTTGTTTGTAATTGCCCACCCCAGTTCACTGGACGCCGATGTGAAGTAGACTTGTGCACTTGTTCCCCATGTCAGAGTAAAAACAGTGCAGACTGCAGGTGTCGAGTTCCACGGCCTGCTGAATGCCAGATTTCTTGCTACCCTGGACAGTGCCAGAATGGTGGCACATGTGTCATAACAGAGGGACAGTCCTACTGCAAGTAAGTTGACATAAAGTGTTTCCCTAACTATTTTGACTGCATAACATTTCTTATTATTAAAGTACTGAGAGAACCTCACACCAAAATAAGAAGTTTGCAAATAAAATAATGGCTAATATATCTCAGATGTTTAGCCAAATGTCTGTTTTGTTTCATAAGACACATATTATAATTTAATAAAACTCATTTTTGACTAAACACCTGCAATTTTATGGTGCCCATAAATGTCTACCATAATGTTAATGCTTATTTTTGGCACTGACATTCTCACAGCAATGACTGTGAAGAATACTGTCCGGAGGATGTTACACCATGTAGCCTAATAGATACTTATAAAGGTTTCATATTTTTCGGCCATTTTCTTTACTCCAGTTAGTTCAATCATGGTCCCAGTTCCAGTACTCCCTGTCGCCATATGCATGCCACTGTTTTTCATGCTACCTTGAAGATGGAGGCAGCACATTCCTCCAAAACATCAGTAAATATGTTCCAGATCATAGACTGTCACATCTTCAGCTTGACTGTGTCTTGAAGAGTTCTGTCTTCTGGGATGTATTGCCAAGTCGGCCAGTGTTTCAGAGGAACATGTCACCACCATCTTGGGGTGGTTGAAGAGTAACTTAAGCAGGAAGCAGCTGCTCCCTGCTTCATGCTGGTGTCTTGTTTGGATTATTCTTTGGATGTGGCTCTCCAACACACTGGTTGACTTACAACAGACTACATGGAATTATATCCCAGATGATAGAAGTCTTCGTAACCATCGCTGTGAGAACCTCAAATCTTATATTGACTCTATCCTACTTGAGAGCTCATCCAGACCAATCATTGCATCATTAATGAATTATAATCTTCAGTTTAATAGTTTGTAATTGAGAGTGTTGTTATTATGGTGGAATGTTTTTGTTCTTGTAACAATTCTGGCTTCAACTAATAACTGTCATCTGCTACTTAACAAAATCAACCTCATGTATTCCTGTAGTATGCTTCATGCAAGTTATTTTATAGAAAACTGGGTTCACATATTCAGTACACTGCAAGAAATAAACACATAGCTGTTCTTGCTTATTACATTCAAGTTTTAAAAACAAAAGAATGTGACATCATATGTTCCTTGAAACATACCGCTGATGAATACTTGTTCATCATAATTTTTCTTAAAATAAACTGTATTGAAATAATGGAATCAATTATATGTTAGGACTGTCTTATGAATATAATATTCACATTGACAAAAACAGTTCTTCTTAAAACAAACTTCTCTAAGACTTCTTTGTTTTTTAAAATATTGTCACGTGTATTAGTGACTAATAACGCTTGTTCTGGATCGGATGAACAGGTCTATTTACTCCTTATACACACCACTAGCAATTACATATAATTATAGCACTATTGCTATTTCTGCACTTCATAATTCACTGTTGCACCCTCTGAGTCTTCTCTGCACAGCCACACTCTTGCAGCTAACTCTTTGCACTGTTTTATTGTTATTATTTACCATCATGACCTAAGTCATTGTTATGCTGTAGATATAGTTGCCTAGCAATGAATCAACAGCAGATGTAGATTGCTTTGTATTAAATCACATAAAGCTGTTCAGCCTGACTGCATAATGAGGAGCTTCATAACTTGTACTCATCTCCAAGTACAGTGCGTTCAGTTAAGGAGGAAACTTCGCAACACGCTGACCCAACCCAACATTCCTCACAGATTGCTAGTTTAACTGCTGATATCAGAATGAGTCATTAATGCTGATAAGCATGCGCCGTCACAGTTACAGTTACAGCAGGAACCTGTGAGGAATATTGGGCCCGGTGAACGGTGTTGTGAAGTTTCCTTCTTGATTGAACACTCTGTATAATTAGAATGAACAAGTGAAGGAGGATGAGGTGGACGGAGCATGTGGCATGAATGGGGAAGATGAGGAATGCATATAGGATATTGGTGAGAAAGCCAGAAGGAAGCAGACCACTGGGAAGACCAAAGCGTAGGTGGGTGGACAATATTAAAATGGATCTTAGAGATATAGAATGGGATGGTATGGATTGGATTGATCTGGCTCAGGATAAGGACCAGTGCAGGGCTCTTGTGAACATGGTAATGAACCTTAGGCTTCCATAAAATGCTGGGAAATTCTTGAGTAGCTGCAGAATTGGCAGCCCCTCAAGAAGGGCTCAGCTCCATGAGTAAGTAAGTAAGTAAGGCTGTTCAGCAACAAAATAGCGGTGGACATAGAGCACTTTAAAGAGTATTATCTTCTGGGATGTGATCCCATGCAGAATGGTATAAGTTTACCAACGTTTTAAAGGAATGTACTGCCTCAGTCTTCAGTGTTGAAGCGTAAGCCAAGGAAGCAACAAGCAGAGTAAGTGAAATATAGAAAATTTGTACAAGTATATCCTTATCACTCCCACACCCAGCCTACTGTGCTCACTACTTGCTGCTTATTTGTTCAGTTTTCTCTTTGATGCTGAAGATGGGGCCACGCATCCCCCCCTCCCCCAAAAGAGAAATTAATGAAGTTCTACCAGACTGCACATCATCACATCCCAGAAGATGGTGTGCTTCATACTCACTACCATGAAAACCTCAAATCTCATATTCGATAATTTTGGTTCTCAGATTAACTCAAGTTGGCATTGGTGGGTAAACTTCTCAGAGTACTTAGGTAAGGGAAAGGTTAAGTTGTCTCTGTGTTCAGTTAATTAAGCATTACATCATGAATGCATGGGGGAGTGGATGTATGGCTCCACCATTCTTAACCTTAGCACTGGATGCAGATGAATGGAGGCTGGATGGGCCCCAGAGTCAGTCTACAAGCTGTTTGAGAAGAGAAAACTGTCCTGCCCGTACCAGGAATCGAACCCCAGTTCCTTGGCTGTGCAGCCCCTAGCTCACTCTGTCCTGAGTATTTAACAGACAAAAATGATCTTGACAGGAGAAACAGCTTTTTTATGTATGTACCAAAAAAGAATTGTTTTTAGACTCATCATTATGGAGTCTGTGGCGAAGCAGTAGTAGTGTATTGTATCGACTTAAGGAGGTTAACTTCTGTTTGCTCTTTAAGTTCCTGAAACTTGTCCACAGCCAAAACTCTCAAGATTGAGGCCCTTAATTGCAGAGTCAAATGAGGTACCAACTTAATGTCATCTCCTTTGTGTTTCTGGTAGCATTAGTATCTCAGACACTTCTCTTATTCAACAGCAGGGATATCAGAGCCCCGATCCCTGGTGTTGGTTATACTTTTGGTGGAACAAGAGGAAGATGGCACTCATTCTTAATGCTTAATTTCATATGGGGTACTTTCTCCTCATATATCCTAATTTCCAGTAATATCAGCTTGTATGAAAATGTTTCATGTTTCAGATGTACAAATGGGTATGGGGGAAGGAATTGTTCTGTTTACTATGGGCAGCAAAATCCATGCCTGGACTACTGTAATCAGAATGGGAGATGCTCACTTGTGACACATGGTTCAAAGTTGCCAAACCCTGTATGTAGCTGCAACCCTGGCTGGACAGGCCTTCGGTGTGAAGAGAGATCTGCCTGCAAAGGATACTGCTTCAATGGTGGAACATGCCAAGAGTCACCAGACCCCAGCTTAAAGCCTAGTTGCATGTAAGTCTATTTGCCACTATGAATGCACTAATGCACCAAAGTTTACCTCTTATCCTTTAACATGTCATGCATATATATGCCCTGCTCATCTCATCCTCTGTGGTTTGATCACCTTAAAAATTGAGGTGCAAATGTATGTCCTCAGTACAGATTGGTTATTTTCATAATTGAACTGGAAGAAGGTGACAAGGTACTGGAATCAGTGCCACTGGGGTTTACTGCTAAGAAGATTATCTGCCATGTGGCCTGTCAAACTAAATGCCAGACTCCTTGCATAGTGAAAGCACTGTCACGTGTTAGTGACTAGACATGTGGTTTGGACTGGCTTAGGAATTTACTGGAACGTATGACTTGTAACTACAAACAAGATGGTGTGTTATGTTTCTCTCTCCTTCAAGAAAACATAAACATTTGGGACTTCATTTAAAATATCATGATGAAATAGTTTTTCTTAATTATAACATGCCTCATTATTAATGTGAAGTTGCATTACCTAGCATTAGATAGTGAGTCACAATAACAGTATGCAGTTTACCAAAATTATGAAATTAACATTTTCTCTGACATAAAACAAGAAGGAACAATGGCAGCTGGTGTCATGGAAAACGATGATTTAATATATTATTAATACCTCAGGAAATTTAGTTTCATGAGTTGGGGAATGTGTGTTACCAGATGTCCAACCACAAGTACAGGTGACCGATGTCAATCTCCAGTGTTGGACTTCTCCATAGCTCATGAATCAAGTGGAAGTAGTAGTACCGTCATCATGGTGGTGATAATTGCAGTAATTTTTCTACTCGTGCTTGTGGTCTCCCTTGTGTTGGCATACTACTTCATGCGGCGCAGGAGAAGGTATTTTGACCTTTGATTTCTTTAATTTCTTCCATGAAGATTACTGTCTTCTGGGATATGATGCCGTGTAGTGTGGCAGATAGGTATCTCTCTACCAAACTGCATGGCATGACAGTAATCTTCATGTATATCTGTGTGAGAACTCAAATTTCACTAGTTCTTCCAGATTGTATTATGTATTAAGATCTATATATTTCTGCTTTTCATTGTAATTCTTGTACACAGTTCAGTTAAAATGCCAGGAGAGCTATGAGAATGGGACTTACAGCAGCTGATTTCAACTGTATAAGTAGATGCGCTGGAGCTTGTGGAATTGTGTGTATTATACATGGATTCAAGTCGAGGAGCTATCAAACTTAGGTTTTTTGGCTGTAAGGGGCTATATGTTGTAGGATACTCTGTTTTTATTTTTACATTTTTTCCATCATTAGGATTATTTCATGTGCAGATAAAACTAAATGTAATTTTTCTTACCATCAGTTTCAGCCAGAAATCCAGAAATATTTAGTATTCTTGAAGTAGCAACAGTTCGTTCATTTATTCACATTCCATGAGATCTTTACAAGGTCGAAAAACAACCAGTTAGATATAGAAATCATCAAGTAGCTTAATCACATCTTGCTTATCAATCAAGCAGCTGTCAAAAAACAATTAATAGTAGATAAGGTCTACATTGGTCATAAAAGAATTTATCTTAAAAACAGTGACAATTTTAGAATAAAAAATTCAATCAAAATATTATGTACAAATCTTGCTTATACATTCAAGCAATTATCTATAAACCAGTTTATAATATAAGAATAGTTTAAAATGTTAATATAATTAATGATAAAAGCTGTAACTAAACATTGACAATATAAGATAACAAATTGAGTATAATTAGTAATAAGAAATGCAACTAATAATATGTACAATTTAAAAATGGTTAATCACATAAAACCTGTTATGTCAGATAGTTCATTTTTTTACTAAAAAAGCTTTAATCCAACTACTATATTGCTTAAATTATTATATATTATAACCATAAAACATCATCTCATAAAAAATTCATCCAATGTATAAAAATAATTAAAGTACAAAAATTCCTTTAATTTGTCTTTAAACTTTTTATATCCTTTGAAATTAGCTTAAATGAGTTGGGAAAAGAGTTACTATGAGACTAAGAGATCTGTCAACCCTTCAGCATTTAAGTACCACAGTTGTGAGTGGCCTCTGATATATTTTTTAAATGACCATTTATTTTTGCTCCAAAATAACTTATTTTTCATAACCTCTTAACTGTACAATGTATAATAATGAATTTTTCACTCAACTCCTTGGAAAAGGCAAATTTGTAAGTTTACCTTGTAACATAAGCGCACTGAATGTGAGATGGAAGTAACTGGATCAGAAGTTCATGTACGAGTAAAAGGCAGATTTATAAACTTACCTTTGTAACATATGTGTTTTGTTTTTGTGGTAGGTAGATATGATAGTTACTTTTTTCCATGCCACATCTCCTGAGTGTTGACCACAGTGCTCTCCATTCATATATTTCTTATTCTTCACTGTGAGAGGAACACTTTTCCTGTTAGCACCTGAAATTCCAACACAGTCTGCATCTTGGACTTCGTGAACTGAGGCATCTCCAGTGAATTATAAAAATTGCCCATCCACATGGTGTTTCTATGTCCAGGAAAGTGTTCTGACATTTTTACTACAATTGCTTTAGTTTTGTTTGTTTCTTTAGTCACAGACCAAATAGCTAGTTTAGTGTCTCTTCCAGTGTAAATGAGAAAAATCCAAACATAGTGGGAGCTAGACTCGCAGAGTTTGTATGTTGTGATATCAGATTTTGCAGCCATGAGAGGTATGTGCATTTTCTGAAAGACAGTCTTTCCATAGAGTCAAAGACTTGACTATCATAGTGTTCTGATTTGGCAGATGCAAATTTTGGAACTTTTTGGTGAGGTGCTGAATGACTGGATACGTTTTAAAAAGTTTTGGAGATCCTTGAAATTCATTTTGCTTGCTTTTATTTTGATCATTGCCTCTAGTCTTTCCACAGGTAAAGTCTCAGAAAATAACAGAGTGAATAGCATATGTTTCTTTGAGTCATGTGATCCAAATGTAGCTTTTATACAGTGCCTATCAGCATGCATTTCCTCCCATGTAACACCTTCCCACTTCCAAACATTGGAGTAAAATGTAAAGAGTGGGACACTTTTCAGAATTTATTACTGAGCATATCACTTGGTTTCATCTACAACAGGGTGTACAACTGCCATATCAAAAATGTTTTTAAATGCATTCATGACATCCACTTCACCAGTGTCAAACTGGGAACCATACACATCACAAAAGTTACTTGTGAAGTGATAAATTAGATTATTTTTGCCACACAAACTTATTTGACACCCCTCCCAATCCTGTGTTTGGTTTTTTGTATTTTATGTTATTAAATTGGTGGGGTGTTCAGTTTTGTTAAGTATGTTGGTTTTGGTGTTATAGGCTACACAATTTGCAGACTTTCACTGCATCATGTGAACATGTGATCTTTCTACAGCTCATGGAGGCCCATAGGGTTGTGAGATGTTGAGGCTCCCGCATTTTCTAGACAGATGGCTCACAGATGGCAGTGAGGTTGTCATTCCTATGCGCCGGCTTCCTTTTACCCACAGGAAGATACCTGGTACTCATTTCTGATAGAGGTTGAGTTGACCCCAGGGCCATAGTGTGGCTGGAAGAATTTAGGTTAATTTGAAAAATCCAATGACCTCATCAGGAATAAAACAGTATGCAGTATGGTCTCATGTGCCTTATACACTGATGCTCTTGTTCCCAGTGGAAAGCCATTCATGCATGTTCGTATGCAAGAAAATGTGGAAATCAGCAATCCAATGTACCTGCGAGAAGAAGTAGATGATGACGCTGAAGCCCTGGATGGTAACTTCAGCCTTGATGCTGACAAGGTAGGTTGCTTGTTGGTAGGTATCAGTGCTAGTGTGACAACAAAGATGAACTAGGTGGCTGCCTGAGGCAGAACATTTTAGAACTTAATTTTTGGCCTTTCATTAAAGAAAGATTAATTTTGACTGCTCTTTTGTTCATATCATGGAAATTCATTGGAAGTCTTCTAAACTTGTTATGTAACAGTGTAAATGAAGCTGGTTTTAAGAATTATAACATCAATTATGGTTTCAATTGCATTGTCTAGAAACTTTATGATTTACATGTGTTAAGTTCTCAGATATGAAGGGGGACCCAAAAATAACCGGAACCGACCTGTTGTGCGCGCATGCTTTGTAGTTACGAGTTGTGCTGCTAGGTGGTGTTAGCTGGGGGTCTCCCGCGACTGTTAGTGAGCTGGCGTCAGTCTGAGTTAAGTGGTTTGTCTGTGGTGCTCTGTTGTGTGCGTTCCTGTTTCAACCCTTTGGCGATTAGTGAGATGGCCGACCAGAAGGAACAAAGAGTGTGCGTGAAATTTTGCTTTCTGTTAGGGAAAACTGCAGCCAAGACTGTTGGGATGCTTCGGCAAGCCTTTAATGATGATGCTTTGGGGAAATCACAGGTCTACGAGTGGTTTTCCCGTTTCAAATCTGGCAACATGTCAACAGAAGACATGCCACGCCCCGGGCGTCCTTCGACAGGAAGAAATGACGAAAACATTGCCAAAATCAAACGTGCAATTGATGAAGATCGTCGAAAGACCATTGACCAACTTTCTGAGGAAACGAACATCTCATGGAGCGTGGTCCAGCGAATTTTAACCGAAGGTTTGCACATGAGACGGGTGTCTGCAAAATTTGTTCCTCGCTTGCTCGGAGATGACCAAAGAGAAAACCGCGTGAATGTTTGCCGCGACTTGAGTGAAGTGCAGAAAGATCCAGAATTTCTTAAAAGAATTGTGACTGGCGATGAGTCTTGGTGCTATGGGTATGATCCAGAATCAAAGCAATCATCAACCCAGTGGAAAACTCCAACTTCACCACGACCGAAGAAAGCGCGTCAAGTGCGATCCAATGTGAAAACAATTTTGATTTTTTTTTTCTGATGTGAATGGCATTGTCCACAAAGAGTTTGTTCCGCCAGGACAAACAGTGAACCAACATTTTTACCTGGATGTGTTAGATTACGAGAGAGTGTGCGACGAAAACGGTCCGAAATGTGGAGAAATGGGAACTGGTTGCTTCACTACGACAATGCTCCAGCCCACACAGCTTTGACGGTCCAACAGTTTTTGACAAGCAACAGCATGGTGATTATGCCTCATCCACCTTACTCACCCGACCTGGCTCCGTCGGACTTTTTTTTGTTTCCACGGATGAAGAGAAGTCTGAAAGGAAAGCACTTCCGTGATGTGGATGAAGTCAAAGAAAACACGCTAAAGGCTTTGAACAGTATCCAGCCTCAAGAATTCCAGCACTGTTTTGAGCAGTGGCAAAAGCGTTGGGACAAGTGCATTAATGCACATGGACAATACTCTGAAGGGGACTAATATACAGTTCAATAAAAATGCAAAAATAAAAAATAACAAAAATAAATTCCGGTTATTTTTGGGTCCCCCCTCGTATATGAGCTCTTTTTTAGCTGGGCAAGATATGCAGGATTTCACATCATCTGGGACAGCATTTAGGCATGTGCTGACACTGGCAGGTAGAGACCAATCGTAACTTCAGTTCATTTTCTTATCTATGTGATATTGGTTTCAGAGTGGAAACTTTGTGAACCCAGTGTATGACTCACTGTACAGTGTTGGCTCAGCAGGAAGTACAACAGCAAACATCAGTGAGGAGAAGAAAGGGCTGTTACAACGAGCAAATAGAGATGGTCAGCACACACTTGCAGACACAAGAGATAGTCCTTAGCTTGCTGGAAAGTTTGCTAGGTTTCGGAAAGAACGCAAAACTACAGTGCCAAACATTACACCAAATATTTGCCCTCTCCTTACTACACTGTACACTGTTGTAGTTTTGTCCCTTGTCATATTTCAGCTACTCAGGCATTTTCCATTTTTCTTTGTGTTTTTCCATGTTTTCACTGCTAGCTCCATACAAATTGTTGACATATTATATGCATTATTTGACAGTGAGCTATTATTCCTTGCCTCCTATTAGTCTTCCATTTCTGTATCCCATACCTTACACACTGTGTATTGTGTCAAGAAAAATATTGTTTCTTCTTTCATGTGCCTTAGGTGATGCTGTTTTCATCTTCTGTATGTAGTACTCCTTCTGTACTTTATCTCCTTAATCTAACAATATTATTTACTTAGCCCACATTTTAAAGTGTGTCATTGAAAGATTTTAAATGAATTGTGAACACAGCATTATCACAAGTTACTGGAGACCTGTAAGCAAAAAAAGATACTGATGTCTTGCCAGAATTAGATCCAAGACATACTTCAGAATTATAGTAAACGTTAATTATTAAGCATATCATTTACTTCCTGTGCCAAATATTAAGAAATTATGTTACTCTGTTTGTATAATTTGGTGGCGAGCAGCTTCACATGTGATTTTGCACTTGTCGTTCAGGATCTCTTAAAATGGATCAAAGCTTGTTAGGTCACATGTATATTAATCTTTTTACTGATGGCCTTGAATACTTTTTAGCCACCATTAAAGTGATCTGTTTAAAAGTTAATCGTTAAGATGGTAATGCACAGGATTCTTCTACAAGATAATGATAAAGTAAGAGATGAAAACTGTGGTTGCAAATAATTCCCCGTTGAAAAAATATGCATTTCACCTTTCAAGACATCATCACAAAATAAAACTGAAAACAACAGCAACAAGGAATTTTGTTAACTTTGAAATAATGAGTTAAGTATATGAAAAATAATAGTCCCAATTGTCACTGACCGATTATTATGAGTTTAATGTTCCAAGCAGTCTGAAGCATGAAATGAGTGAGTGTTGTAGAGGCATTCGTATATTATTTCAGTGCGGCTGTCGTAAGTCACATGTTCATCTGTGCATCCAGAAGATATCAGTAGCAAATCAGGGAAACAATAAGACCTCATGACAGAAATACTGCCAACCACTCTTGGCAAATAATATCAGCAATATTTTGTGCAAGATGCAGGATAAACTTTACTGTGAAGTGCAGCATCTTATTGTGATACAGTTTCTACCATCTCTTAGGGTTTAAAATAGATTTTTGCAGGTCACCTCTCTTTTTTAAAGTTTAAGTGTTAGTATATGCTTCAGTGGGTCAGGATAAATATTGTTGTGATGTTTCACATCAGAATCTTGTACAGTTTTCCTGTAACCACTTACCTAGAAGATGTAAATATTATTGTTTGTATTCAAGTTTTGAGAAGTGGGGTTAGTTTTTAAGGAAATAGTTACTGGTTCTGTCATAATAATTACTAGAGACTAGTCAGGTTTCAAATGCATGAAACCTTGAATGGTAAAACATTTTACAACTGAGTTGTGCTGACCAGTTGTGTTTACTGAAGTTGTAGGCCGTGCCATAGCTGAAGCGGTTAGTCGCTGGCTTCCCACCGCAGCGGCCCAGGTTCGATCCCAGGTCTGGTGAAGTGGGATTTGTGGTGGACAAAGTGGTGCTGGGGCGGGTTTTCTCCAAGTACTTTCGGTTTCCCCTGCCAATCTTCATTCCACCAAATTCTCAATCATCATAATAACCCGGGGCAGGCTACAATAGACCAATCAGTGGTCGTCACCGTGCCGAGTGGACCCAGTTGGACTCCACCCTCCACTAAGTGAATTGAAAAAAAAAAATTACTGAAGTTGTGCTTTGCCGGTTGTGTCAATACAGGTACCTATATGACAGTGGATTTTCTGAGCAATGGGACATATATTAGTGTAACTTCTTTTCAGGAAATCCCATTTCATTGTCAGAGTTAGGCAGCAATAATATTCTTGTTGTTTCAATCGATTAACTTGTTGGAAGCTGACATTTTTTGTGGATGTAATGTTCACAGTAATAATAATTTCATATTATGTTAAGTGTAGTAATGTGAATCTCCTTGTCTCTGTTTACCATACTACTTTCTCAGATATATGCATAATTTTTATTTTGTATTGCTTTTATACCTTCACCATCCCAGAATCAAATGGGCTATGATCAAATTGTAAAATCACATGATGCAGCAAACTACATCCCAACATACTCTTCCATGACAGCAGTTCAGCATTTTGTGGAACAGATATTTTTAATCTTTAATTGTTATGTTAGTGATACAAATCTTATTTCTTGACATGCTTATACTATGCAACTTGTCTCAAGTGTGACATATTTTTGTACATAATAAGTTAGTCTGTAAGTTTCGATGATTATAAAGACTGCATGAATGAGTCCAGTTACTAAATTTAAAATATTTTGTACATTACTATAGATGTCCTGGACCAGAAAATAAAAATGCAGCCTCCTTCAGTCTGCACAAATTTTAGTCTGCAGTTTTTCATTTTTCCTAAAACCTTTTCACCACACAAGAAATTACAGGACTGAAGTGACTGTCATCTTGCTGGCAGTTCAATGTGTAAGAAAACATAAGTGTAGGAACTATTAAACCTTCGTATTAAATATTCACATTACTTCTGTTATTTTAAATATACATTCAAAAGGTTTTCCACAAACAGCCAAAAACATTATGATAATTTAGTTGGTATACTTTCTTGAAAAATGTAGATTTTTTGTTATTCAGAATGGTCAGTGGCTCTTACAAAATAAGAAAGAATTTGCATTTTAAGAACACCATAGTATTCTTCAAAAACGTCATCATAATTGAAGTTTTTTCAGTTGTCCTGTCTACACATTAAGCCAACTTTTATGCAGAAATGTATAAAAGGTTTGCAGAAAAAACCCAACTTGACATGTTAGTTAGTTAGTTATTGGAGAGGGTGGGTTTCCCCATGCACTTAGACCAGTATTGGTCCATTGTGCTTCCCTCTATGATATTCTACCAGTCTCTATACCCTACCGATAAATGGTGCATACCATTAGTCCCGCCGAGCAAGCGAGTTCGGCCACTTCATTAACAGTGTCTGTAATGCTTCCCCCATCTATCAGAGGCCTTAGAGACTATTGTTTGGCGGGAAATGTCCTGGAATTTGGCTCAGTGATCTCCTTTGGAGATATGAGGTTCTTTTACATGCCGTAAAGTTACAACACAGGACACACAGCTTAAAGTCCCTCCCGGAGGACTTGTTCCCTGAATTTTTCCGCCCTTAAAAATTCGACGACCTCTGCCGGGTATTTGAACCCGCGTACCACGAGTCATGAGGTGGGAATGTTACCTCTAGACTACGGAGGCCGCTTAACTTGACATGTTACCCAAATTATTTGTATTATCAGAAGGAAAGTGGTTGACCAGAGAAATGAAGTCACTAAATTGGCCAGCCAACATTTTAAAAATGTAACCATGTATGTATAGGGCAGTGGCAGAAGAAATCTAAAAATACTGTGACATGTCTAACCATTGCTGGGTAACGGGAGGTAGAACAATTTACCACAAAGACAGATCCTTGATAAACGGTTGGTTGCCAAGTTATGCAACAGTAAGGAAAGCAGTGTTTCTCCGAGCCGAGCAAAGCCGAAGCGCGCTGGTTGCTACGCATCAACAAAAAACTCTCGGCAGCATTGCCCAGCAATGCCTTTGTAAACACGGCATCACACAACAGGGGAGCCCTTGCAATGACTGTTGCTAGGCAATCGGTAAACATGACGTTGCGCATGTCACGCATTGTGGACCGCAGAAAGAAGTAACCGCATCCATGAGGAAGATTACACGATGTGCAGGACACAAGCATATGCGACAAAACAAGAATTAAGGTCGCACCGAAAATCACTGAGAAACGGACGTTCGGGAAGATACTGTGGAAAGGCCTGGAGTGCAACACTGGCATAAGAGACTGAGACCTGAGACAGCAACTACAAGGCAGAAAGGAAGTGAAGGACCTAGGTGGCAGACAGCCACGATAGCTGAAGAAACAAGACCTGAAGAAGGTACAAATGGAAAGCAAGGGAAATTTTGACATTAATTTCACAAGAACTTCAAGACTGGAGATCGCCAAGCGAATGGTCAGATCTACTGTTGGGTTAACAAAAATCAAGAATTGGACCTTGTGAAGGGGTCGACCCCCTCTGAAATGGAAAGGGAAACAAGGAATATAGGAGGAACCAGTAATGTAGAAACACTGGCCTCCCCAGCATGAATGAGGACAGAATGAATGTGAGGAGCGAATGTGATACAACAGATCGATGAACACTGGACCATGGAATTGTTCAGGATGAACAGTCTTAAGAAGAGAGCGAATGTAACAGCCAGAGAATAGTCACTGCAAGAGGAGTATCCGAACCAAAAGAAGACGCAGAAAGCACAGACTTGAAAGGAGAGGAATGGGGGTCAACTGTTAGGCTGTTCTAGATGAACAACCTTTAGAAGAGAGCAATGTGATGTGGACGGCGCAATGCTCGGTAACCCCCCTCCCCTCTCCAGTGGTGACATCACATCATCGGAGCAACTGCCACTGCTACAGTAACAGGCCAGTCACCCCATCCCCCTGCCCCGCGGTGATGTAACAGCACTTCCCAATGTGATGTAACAAGGGGACACCGCTGGTAACACGAGGCAACAGGGAACGGTATAAGAAGCCGGCTGAGCAGTATGTGAAGGGAGTGTGTGATCAGGAGTGACACAGTGTGGATCGTGAAGTTGCCGAGTCAGTTGCAGTCTAGCAGTTGCTGAGTCGGATTGTATTGAATGGAAACAGGAGAAGTATTTGTGATACTGCAGATGGCAATAATTGTGTAATTGTAAGAGTGAGTGTTCAATAAATTCGCTATATCAAATAAGGCATGAAGTTACTTCTCGCGTGACCTACCCAACACGTGACAATTTTTGGTGTTAGATTTAGCGGGATACAGGAGGTCAGATGGGACAGAGGTGGCATCGAACCAGCAGGTGAATATATATTTTTCTATGGAAAAGAGAATGAAAATCATGGATTAGGTACAGGTTTTTTTTTTTTTTTTGTACATAAGAGAATTGTATCAGAAGTTAAGAGGGTAGAGTTCGTTAGTGACAGGATATATATAATACTAAAAGGTTGCTGGAGTGATATCATCATTATGAATGTTCACGCCCCAACAGAAGATAAAATTGATGACATAAAGGACAGGTTCTATGAAGAACTAGAACATGTAGTTGATAAATTCCCAAAGTATCCCACGAAAACTTTGCTAGGAGATTTCAATGCCAAAGTAGGGAGGCAAGACATTTTCAA